ACTGTCTGACCACAGAAATGTTCCTCTAGAAGAAGATGTAGCTGTTGTGGCTGATGCAGTTCAACATATTATTAAAGAATGGAGAACCATTAAAGTTTATGTTAAGGTAAAGGCAAATGATTGACCACTTGGAGATATATACTGTATAATACCTCACATAGCAGAGGATATGTATGGCATATGTGCATCAATGTGATTTGCCATGCTTTATGACCATTAAGGTGGATTTTATGTATTTTTTACAGCATGTATTTTATCTGTCTTTAATTTCAAATCCAAATGACTGTTCGCCTTGTTTTATCAAATATGTGACTTTAGGAATGTATGAAAAAAAAAAAAAATCCCTCTCTGATTATTCTGGCAATGATAAGAGAGTTTGGTAATCCTAAAAGATCAAAAACAGGCAAACAGTTTGATTTGTAAATAGGTTGAGATGACATTTTTTTAAACAAGTGGACATAATCTTCTGACATAAATTCACCAACATTCACGTTTTTTTTAGTTTTTTTAGTTTTTTTTTAGATTTTGTGTAGCCTCTCTGCCTTCCTGAGGGCTATTTATTATTTACACTAGGAGCAGAGAGTTGGTCACCGCACTGTTTGAAAGAGAAGTTGATCTGAAAGAGGGCTTTGCCAATAACTTAACACAAAAGTGTGCTTTTTAAACTGTCTTTAACATTTTATTTTAGGTATTAGTGCAAGCTGTCAGGGGTAGAATTGCTAAAACTTTGACTTCATGTCGATGTAGACCTTTACAAAAGACCGTTAATGTTTCCATATCCAGCATAATCCACAACAGGCAGAAGTTGAACAACTTTGCTGTATTTGCGATATCCAGCCAGCACATTCTCTTCCTGATTAAACCCAAGTAAAACTTCTTCACCTGTCATTTATATGCCACAATTTAGTGTCCGATAAATAAGGCTTAAGGCCATTTATCTGTGACAAATAAAGCATATCACCAACTTATCCCTGAAAGGATCTTCAAGACACCTTTTGGGTATTTTTATTACGTTTAAATAAAAGGTCTGGGATATATTCAAAAGTATTCTGTGAAGTCAGACACGATAACAGCTGATACTTGTTGACTGGATACGTACTTGTTGCCCAGGTTCAGACATGGATTTGTTTTGAACTTTTCACTTCCTCTGACATTCCCTCTGAGCCTTTTGATTGGTTAATTGTTGCTGCTGCCACACAGAGCCGGAGAGAGGAAGGGGAGAAATGGCTGTTGCCTAGCAATCTGGTTGCCATAGATACCGCCAGGGCTCCCTCCTAAAGAGTACACAGCTATGTACATTGAAAAGAGAGAAAGATTGAGAGAGAAAGGGAGGAGGAGGAGGAGAGGAGAGTTATGGGAAGATCAGAAATAGTGAGGAGAAGAAATGAAGAGAAGCAGAATCTGAGAAGTTCAAGAGCAGACAAGAGCCAGAGAGGCGCTCAGATGAGTTCATTAAAAATAACATAAAGAATGGGAGGAGTGAGCGAAAGCAGACAAAGAGGGAAGCAGAGCGAGGCGCACAGAGTTGAGGACCAGGAAAAACCTCTTCATGATTCATCATATAGATCCCCCCTGACACTCCGACTGGTGAAGGCAGCGTAATATTGGAGTCTGCTTCATTTGGTATTCTGTCTCAAGCTGGTGTGCTGTGGCTTGCCGGCTGGTTGTTCTGTGGTTCTTTAGTTGTCTTGGCTGTGTTTGGAAAAGCCCCAGCTCGCACAACCACAGCCCACCAGCTTCCAACCTAATCTCGTCGTACTTTACATCTGTTTCCTGTTTTGTTACTGTCTGCGAAAGGAAGAAATTGGCGCAAATCTTCTGAAAGAGATAAGAATCGACACTACCTTGGTTAGCAGTCAAATTATTTCTGCTAGAGCACAGAAAATTGCTCTAGCAGTTTTGAAAAATTATTTTTTTCAAAACATTTTTTCAGAGTGGAGTAATAATTTGGTTCTTCCTGGGAAACTTACCAAACCTGATGCAGGAACTGTTACCACTTGCACTGAAAATCTGTTTGAAATAAACATGTGAATGGAAGAAAACCAAAGAACCTGGTCCACTGACAAAAACTCCAAATTTCCAAGCAGAATCTTCTCAAAAATGGGATGCAGTGACTCCCCTCCACCCCCCTGTTTTTTTGTCTGAAATTCTCCCCCTTTTATACACTCTGCTTTGTCCCAAGTGGTAATTTCTGACATTTCCACATGATGGTGCAGGGCCGACACGCTGTACAGTGGACCATGAGAGGCTGGGCGCAATTCAAACAGGATTTCACAGTCACATTCCCAGCCGGTTCTCTCCCCTGGAACCAAATAGGATTAATAATTTGCATTTTAACTCTTTATCGACGGGGACACTGGTCTGTGCTGGCTAAGTGGCTCTTTCTGAGAGTTTGCAAATGTGAGCACATTTGCACAAAATAATGACACACAAACACATAGTCCCACTGTAAGGCTGATTTTTTTCACATGCATGATTTATGGGCAAGGTTGTGTGACTGTGTGCATGGGCCATTTATTTGTATGTGTGTCTGTTTATTGTATGCACACACATTCAGAAGGCTGTAGAGCCTGATAGATAGATGCTGTGTATGTGTGTGTGTGTGTGTGTGTGTATGTTTGTGTTGTCTTGGGTCAGTGTGATTACAGTGCAGCCATATATCAAGTTTTACTATGCACCAAAACAGCCTCCGTCCTCTTTACTTTGCAATGTCATCTCGGCACACCGACTCACGTTGCACACAGAAACGCACACATCCAGTCCCACAATGCACTGAGAGTTACGCAAGCTGCTGAGTGGACACGAGTGGAGGTAATACTTTGTGCGATGCATGTGAAAGGCTGAAGGTTGGGATGGGTGTGGTGAAGACAGAGATGGGGAATAAAAGGAGCAGGATTTTAGGGAGAAACAGAGGACGGGTATGGCAGGGGGGAGGACGGGGGTGGTGGCACTGGCGCAAGCATTAGTGTGACAACAGATGGATTGCAGCAAAGAGTTCTAATTTCCTATCCAAGAGTGAATGAAGCAGGAGCAGGCAAAAAAAAAAAAAAAACCCAACGAAGAGATGAAACATAAAAAGTAAAGAAAAAACAGAAGCACAATGAAGCGTAGAAGAGATGGAATCAGAAACAGAGAGAGGAGAAGCAATAATGAGAAACTGTGAGGAGGAAGAAAGAGGAAGAGGATGGGAAGAAGACAGAAGCAGAGGGAGAGAGAGAGGGCGGAAGGAAGCCAGTGACTTTTCATCTGTGACTGACGGTTTCCATCTGACTGCATCTATGTCTCCTCGTCTGCATAAAAAAAAAGCTGGAAATGTCTCCCTAAGCATTTGGGATAGTGTCAGTGTGAATGTGAAATATGTGCTGCTGGTTTCCTCTGCATCCGTTCATTTCTTGTTGTCCTCTCAACAACATCCTTAACTTTACATGTAGACAGTAAATATATGTGTGTGTGTGTGTGTGTGTGTGTGTGTGTGTGTGTGTGGGGCTGCAGAGGGGTTAGAGAGGCTCCTGTACATTATGTTAAAAAAAGCAAGCAGCAGGGGGAAGGGGATGGAAGTAAAACTGGACAGCCAAAGTTATTATGCAAAGGCATCGCTGTAAATCTCTGTGTGTGCACGTGTGCTCCCTACTGTATGAGTGTGATTTTGGCCGTGCATGTGTGTGCTCTCATTGTGTCTGTGTGCGCTACCCCTCAGAGGCTTTCCTCATTAAGCAGCGAGGCGACAGGAGTGCAGAGTGTGTGTTTTCACACACTGCTGCTTCGACACAACATGGAGACATTTTTTTCCTGCTTCCTTTCCTTCGCTCCCGTTTGTTTCCTCATTGTCTTCCTCCTCGTTTTTTCCAGCTCTCTTTCACTTTCACTCAAACCCTTCCCTTGCCTTCTGCCATTTCATCCTCGTTTCTTTCTTCCATCTACACCTGCCAAACTGGAAGCCCTGCGGTCCTGAGTCCAAAGAACAGCTAGAACAAAATGGCTACAATCAGTAATGGCTTTGCTTACTTTTGTATAACTGCAGAGAACCAATAAAGAAAGAAAGGAAAGGAAGGAAATATGCACAAAAAATACTTAATTACTTTAGTCAGTCCATTACAGTCGCAAATGCCATTAAGATATTATGCATTGTCGGTAAAATCAAGCAGCAGACATAGAGAAGGAAAAAAAAACCTGAAATGAATAAAAAAAAAAGATAATTTAGAAGACAGTGAGAAACATCAACGCATTCAAGCGGAAAGGTTAATGCTAACATTTCTTCAGTGGAAGTACAAAAGTCATAAGACAATAATAAGTCAAAAGAAATATATTACAACCTACAGGGGGAAAGAAATAGCTGCTCAATTTTGGATTATTTTGCTTAACAAGCTTTGGGTCCAATATGACTCAACATGGTCTCGTTTACAAACCGTATCAATCCAAAAATAGCTGAAATTGAATAATATCTAATATTAAGGGCAGAAAAGTGTGAATGAAAAAAAATAACCCTTAACTTGGATGCTAACACCCCTGTCACACTGTTGGTTTATTGGCAAAAGAAAGTTCATCAACAGATTAGTATTTGACATGAGGCCATTTAGGCTTCATTAACTCTTAATAACTTAAATAACATAAAACTATATATAAGTCTGAAGGTGATGAAAAATTATAAGCTAGCTTTTGTGAGTTTTCAAGCAGAATGAAACTTTTATGGTACAAGGAGTCTCTTTTTTCTCCTTAGGCCACAAGCCTTATGGTTTTCCCCATAATACCTTCCATAAATGCAAATCTTTATATTCTGTAAAAGGTACATTAACTTAAAAAAAAAAAAAAAACTTTAGCTTTTTAATTATGATATGGTGTAATTTATAAATAGAACACATTTAGATAATTTGCTCAATTATATTTTTGAAAGGGCCATAAAAGTTTTATCGCTCAAGAAGAAAACAAATTATGAGAATAATGGTATGAGGGAATAAAGTTGTTGATCCATAATGTAAGTCATTGCATTTTACCATTTTTTCTTCTCCCCACCCTCTCTTTGGCAAAACTCGAGTGTCTGTGGTTGCAGGCAGCTTCTGAAACATGGCCACAAGCGTTTAATCATTGATGGGAGTTTTTTTCTTTTCTTTTCCCCCTTTTGACTATTTGAATTCTCAAATGCTGGATAATTCCCAGAAATCATTTCAGCGTCCGACACGCTTTCTTCCAGACGTACCTCGTATTTAGCTTCATGCATCTTCCCATGAAGCCTGACCACCTTCCTTGTTGTTGAGGGGGAAAAGTCCACAGCATGATCCTCCTGTTACCACGTCTCACCATGGTCGTAATTTACTTTTGGTCTCCTTCATCTTTGGACCACATCATCTTCTTCCTCATGTTTGTTACATCTCCTGCGGCTTAAAGCAAACCACAAACAGGACCTTGGTTAATGAGGGGCACATTATGAACCACAGCACCATGTACTTACAGGGTTTTATTGAGAATATATTTATGTTTATTAACATCATTTGAAATAAGTTGATTTTGCAGAGTGGCCACGGAACTGCACATGCTCCATATTGCAAATGCAGATCTGATTTAATATTTCTTAGATTCTTCCCCTAACTTGCTCTTGACTTCATGACTTTTAAATATTAGGTCAGAGAGATGTTTCGGGGGGGAAAAAAACTGATTATCAGCAAAATCAGGGTTAATTTCTGAGGTTACACATATTTACATGGGATAATGACTTCTTCGTATTGTTCATGCACTATTTTCTCTCTGCACAGCAGTTTTCTTGTGACTCCCTTTTGGTCATCTAGTAGAACAGTATTAGCTGCGCGACTCACAAATAAACCTGTTGAACTAAAGAGTGAGATAAAAAAAAGATTCAAGTCAAATAGATCTGATAATTTTGGGCTATTTTCAAGGCAGTCTGGATGGATTAGTTCCTACTGAAAGTCTTTAAAAGGATGGGAATATTTTAAATTAAGTTAGACAGCAGGGAGATTAGCACTCCTCTAAGCTATATTTGTAAAGACTTTGTTAAAGTAATATTCTGCACTACGCTCATCAACTATGATATTATTTGTAATTTCACAAAGATAAAACAAGAGAAAACACTTGTTTTAGTAAAAGAAATGAGACACGAGTGAAAACAAAAGGATTCAGGCACAAGAGCTCGAAAGCAAAATAACAGCAGATTGTAATGAAGGAGCAGCACGGAGGAGGAAAAGAGGAGAAAATGAGAGTGTTGGGGGAGAGCAAGGCTGATAGGGAGAAGGGTTGGTGTTGTTGGGGAGTCGAAGGGACCATTTGAGAATTCATCTCTTGCTGGATAATTCCCAGGAGGATTTCTCTCCACCACTTGAAAGCTGTGAAGTGTGCGGTTCTGCTCGTACTCCTCCTGGTAATTGGAAGAAGAGAGAGGGGAGCAGAAGAGGGGAGGGAGAGAGAGAAGAAGATGGTCAGGTAAAGGAGGAGAAAAATTTGGTGATGGGGATAAAGAAGGAAGGAATTGTCAGGAGAAAAGGTGGAATATATATAAAAAAGAGTACAGATTCAGCTCTCTTTTTCTCTTGGTCACTTTATTTTTTCTTCTTGTCTTGTATATCTTCTTTATTTTTTCCCCTTGTTTCCACTCCTCTATATTGTCTCCCTCTATTACTGTTTTCCACCCGTTTTTCTTCTCCCCTCCCTCTCTTTGGCAAAACTCGAGTGTCTGTGGTTGCAGGCAGCTTCTGAAACATGGCCACAAGCGTTTAATCATTGATGGGAGTTTCTTTTTTTCTTTTCCCCCTTTTGCGCAGGCAGACCAGCGGGCAGCCCCGACTCACTCTCGTACGTCAGGACCTGCTGATTCACTCTCTAGGGGCCTTGAAAGCATGCAAACATAGGGAGAGGCAAAGCAAACAAAGATACACACAAACAGATAAAACAGAGAGAAAGCAGACGGAATGTGTTTTAGATGTGTGTGTGTGCATGCCTGGGTGTGTTCGTGCGTGCGTGTGCGTGTGTGTGTGTGCGTGTGTGTGTGTGTGTGTGTGTGTGTGGGTGTGTGTGTGTGTGTGTGTGTGTGTGTGTGTGTGTGTGTGTGTGTGTGTGTGTGTGTGTGTGTGTGTGTGTGTGTGTTTATCCCACCAGGGAATCTGAGCTCCAATCAACAGCAATGAGTCCAGTTTAAACAGTAAGATGAAAGAAATGTATTTGACCACAACAAGAAGACAGAAATATGTTTATACTGACCTCAGGCCTGCGTACCTCAAGCCTGCAGCTTTACGCATCCTCCTGTTACTCTCAGTCAACGTCTGGTTCTGTTGGTTTATTAATAAGTAAACACACATTCATGCATGAAGTCTCCACTGGACCCATTTTTGCAGCTTTTTTCACATTTGATCACAGTTCTTCTGTATCTATGGGAGGAGTGGTTCCATGTTTTAACACAGATTTGTGCCTCAAAGAAGGTTTTTCTTTCACTTATAGTGGGCTTGATTGTTTTTCAAATGGATTCATTGGAGGGATTTTTATTTAATTAACAATAAGTTAAAACATTAAGTTTTATTTGTCTATACAAAATTACAAATTTAATATACAATGTATGGTGGAAGTACAAAAAGTTAGTAAAAACATATATATTTTGACTTGAAATAGTAATATGCTGCTTCAAAATAATAAAAAAAATGTTTCTCAATATTTCCCCTCCGATTGCCCCACGCATACGTAGCATGCACATATAAAGAGAGGGCCACATTGATCCATCCTTTTAATAATTCAGTTATAAGAAACTTTACTCACATGGTGCTAATAAATAGCTGCAAAATAAAGTACCGAACTCAAGTCTTATGCTAAATTTTATGTTTCTCTCAAGGTTGAGAGAAACATAAAATCACTTTGTGTTGCAGTGGCTGCGGTACACCCTGCGCAAACCTGTCCTCATAAGACCCCAGGAGTGAAACCCTTTCATAAGCAGCTCCTTTAGCCTCAGTGCATTTAATATTGTTACACCTCCAGCCTCCATGCATAAAAATGGAAATAAATCTTGTTTAGATAAAAAACTCCATCTTATTAGTACTATTAAGAGCTATAAAAGCATTGATCTGTTTACTCTTAGGTCTTGTGAAATGTATTACAGTTACTGTAAGTTAATTTAAAAGATGCCAGTGACATTAAGTGAAAGACTATATGTATATATTATTATTGTCTGATCTCAAGGACAAAGATCCATTTGCCTTTACAGCTCCCTAAGATTACACATTATGCTAAATTGCAAAGCAAAAGTATTGACTCACTCACACTACTCCACACCTGGCATTGAACACATACAGCCATTCACCTCAGATGGGCTCGGTCTCATTGGCGACCAGTTCAGCGTACGGCTCCAACCCAAAGATAGCAACGGGGCATTACAGTCATTTATTCCCTCCAGAACTGAGCAGGAGGAGCTAAGAAAACTTTCCTGCCCCCTAAAGAAACTAAATGAAAAAGTTAGAAAAGACAATGGATAGAGAAACAATTGAGGATTTTTTGTTTTTTACTTGTTTTTATATGTAAAAATCCTTGAATCCTTGAATTCTTAAAAATGGTTATTGTGGAAATTTAGTCACCAAAATTAATACAGACTCAAATGAAGTCCACAAGTCATTAACATATTGGTTTGTTAATAAAGTTGATTTCTCAATGCTTCCAAGTGTCAACCTCAGTGTTGCTGAAGTCCTGACATAGAAATTTTGATAAGCAACAGAAAGATTATCCCCACATTCTGCCCCCTGATGAAACTTTGCCCTGGGTGCAGAGCCATTTCTTTGACAGACCAGCGGTTGCAGGTTTATTCTTTAGTTTTTTCACTTGTCCAGTAAAAGAGTAGTTGTGTGCTTTGTCGTAACTTTCTGTTGCCCTTTTAAAGATTTTCCAAATAAATCTAAGATGGCAGTAAACGTAGTGTTGCTTTTTTTGTTTTTGTGGTTGTCACGCAAAAATGCGCAGAAAAGTATTGTGTTGTTAAGCAAGCAATTCGGGGAATTACCGTCACCTGGTGGTAAAATTATTAGCAGCATGTAAACGATATGCCTGGTGAAAAAAAAGATAGACATCTAAGAACAACAGTCACATTCTGTTTTCGGATTAAAAGAACTTATTAAAAAATATGCAAATATTATGCAGGGAAGATATATTGTTCCAGTGTGACTCTTACATTTAACTCCTTTGATTTTGCAAGCCAAAACATTGAACATGGTAGTCTACAGGCAATCTTGTTTTCCTCTTTGATCATTGAAGGACTCTGCTGCTGGGCGTCATGCACAAATTGAGAGTACAGCACCTGACACACACCTTTGATTTTCAATGAAAAGGTCACAAAAACACAAACACACATGCACACAAAAAGCCAAGAACTGTTGGGTTTGTGCTGTCACAAACTGTTAAATTATCACAACAACAATGCTAATAGAATGCTATCCAGTTTTATGACTCTTAATCAGGTTACAACTTCATAACATCATCTCTACACATAATCTTTTTGTCTCCTGTATTTAAATTATTTCATTTTGCTAACACCACTACAATGTAAATTACTTGTCTAGGTGAAATGCACAAATATGAACTATATGGATCCTCTCTGTTAATTTATAACCCCCAAGTGAAACAGTCAGCAGATTGGGAACAAAGTGCTTGTGAATTTATTGAGTAGAATCTCTTATGTTGAACATCAGGCCAGATTTAACAATGCTGAGACTTCTTTTTTTTTTTTTGTAGCCTTTCTTATGATTTTTTTATGTTGGAAAAATTCAATAGCAGTATAGAAAAAATTCCACCTCATCTGATTTTATTGAAATTGTCATGTTTAATACAATCAAGATCAAGCATCTTAATTTTCATTGTGTAAGATATGAAACATGGTAATTTACAATTACTGAAAAATATAGTAATCCTTCAAAATTTAACATTTTTTAAAATTCAGTTAAAAAGCTGCAAATGAAATACAATACAATAGACTGATGCTTCACGCATCACTGTATTCATATTTGTTTCCCTATTTGTTTCCCATATAGTTTGACTGCATTACAAGATTTCTTCAGAGGATTTAAATGATGCAGCTGCAAAGAATTGTGGAACAGAAACACCCATTTTGCTTTCAGAAAGTGTTGGCCAGGGAATGCATTGCTGAAGGACATAATAAAGGGAACACTGGAGCTCATTTCCTTAGTATTTGGATAATTTGAACAGCACTCATCATGGTTCCCACTTTAGTACTTCTGGGTCATTTCACTCAGCAAGAAACCTTCCTTAAAAATGACTTTTTGACCAGATCCTAGTGTGTTCGTGTCCTGGAGAGAAGCTGCAGCTGCAGATCAGGAAGAGCATTTCCTGCTTGCTTTGTCCACCGTATTGCAGCTGAATCAACTAATGATTAAAAAAAAACAACAACAACAAAAAACATACAGTGCAGGAAAGTTTGGACAGCACAATTCTTTATTTATTTATGTTGACAAGAAGTGTGGGATTTCTCTGGGGGGAAGTAGAACGTGTGGCAAACAAACCCCAGCGGTTGCCTTTCCATTACTGTGACTGTATACAGCGGGGATTGGTGACATGTTGTCACAATTTATTAGAGACAAGCACTGGGATGCTCATTTATACTCACAGCTGACATGATCAGTTTTCTTCATGTTGTTGGAAAAAGGCCTGAAAGAGGCTAAAGGGGGAAAACCTCCCATCTGTATTACATTCAGAATTACAAATTACTCAGCACTGAAAGTATGAGACAAATTCAGGATACGTTTGAGCTGACTAATAGAATTACACTTTTAAGGTGTACATTTTACTCTTGGAATAATGTGATAATCTTCAAGACTGATATGGTATATTGTGGACCAACAAAAATTTAGTCTTGTTGACATGCAGCTGTTGGAGATTTTCAGTCTAATGATTTGTTTCTCCTCAGCATGATTCCATCTTGAAATGGATAATCCACCACATTTCTGTCTGCACATTTCACTGACTACATTTAGTCATTCATCATTTAGGAAAGTGATCACTGAGAAAAAGTCTTCAGACTTAAAATCAACTGCGTATCTGTGTTCAGATTTTGAATCAATTCACTCTGATATCAAAATGCTTTTCAAGGGAGGATGGGCAAAAATGTCAGTTTATTGTTGTGCAAGGCCCAAAAGACTGAAGACAGAAGGTGGTTCTACAAAGTACTAAATCAGAGGGCTCAGTATTAAACGGTCACCAGGCTGAAGTTTCTGCTTTTAACTTGACAAATGTAAAAAAGTTAAAGGGGCTTGAATACTTTTGCAAAGTTCACCTGTGAAATCTATTACATTTTGACTCCATGCTGCTTGGTGACTCATTGTTAAAGGGCCAGTACATCTTAGAGAAGAAAGCCTACACACAGCAGAGTGCAGTTATGTGATTGCTTCCGATAAAGGGATTATGCAATCAGCATCAGAAAGACAGGAAGCGAGATAGTTGAGGGTTACATGTGGAACACATACACACAGACATGCCCACATACTGTACATGCACAGCAGTGAGGTAGGCAGGAGGAATCTCTCGCTTGTTAATAATTATTATGAAACGGATTCACACAGAGCACTTGTTTCCTGTGCTCAGCGTGTTGCCAGGTCTGTCGCTGCATCTTTCTGTCAGGAATAAGTACACTCGGTTCTGTTCAGCCTTCTGTTCTTTCTTACATTTGTTGCTCATCCTTGTCTTTGCTCCCAACATTATTTACCTGCCCTCCCAGGAGGCACCACTTCCTGGATGAGTTTGGGTTTGGAGAGTCCCTGGTTCCTGTGAAGACTTACATTTGTTTTAAGCAAACATAACGAGACAATCGGGACAGCAAAGGCTTAGTGGCTTGTCTCTTTTCTTCTCTTTTGTCTTACATCTCAGCTGTTTGTCTGTAATCACAGTCTTTCAGTAACACTCCATGGTACTCTTTGTCACATCCTGCTGATGACCGCTTTGTGGATCTCTTTTAGTTTTTCATCTGTCTTCAATCTGTCTTACTATCGAGAGACTGACACAGGGTCCCCGTCCCAGGACAACATTTCATATCTCCAACTTATGAGTTTACAGTTTGCTCTTCATCGCCTTTTTTCTCTGGAGAGCAGTTAACCTAGAGTGCCTGCTTTTTCTTCTTTTTTCAGCTAAGAAAGCACCGGACGGCTCAGTGATTGCCAATGGCTACTGCGACTTTTGCCTCGGAGGCTCAAAGAAGACGGGCTGTCCCGAAGACCTTATCTCCTGTGCGGACTGTGGACGCTCAGGTAGGACACCGCAGAAGGGAATGATTGGCAGGAGGAAGGCAGCCATCTGATGACCCACAGTTTGGAGATGTTTGATTTCCAAAAATGTGTATTTCAACTAGTATAAGTTTCAGCCAATTTGATCTTAAAGGGTAGCTTGGATTTTTATAAGTGAGGTTCTGTGAAGTTATCAAGTGTAATAGTTCCCCTTTTGTCTGACAGACAAGTCAGCTGATATTAATCACCTTTACAAGAGATTGCTATTAAGTTGTGAAGATGTGGGACGTATCAATTGGTCAAAGTGCTCTAACTTCACTAAGAGAGAAGTAAAGTTTGTGTTTGGCCATTGTTTGTGGAATGAGGATAATATGTCCCTCTGCCATTCTTGGGCTTAATAACGTAGCTTTAGCGTAGAAAAACAGCAACAAAGTTAACAATTGTCTTTTGAAAAAAATGGTGACTAAAACCCCACCATATATAAATGGCTACAAATACTCTTCTATATTTTGGTATTTGCCTTGTCTGGGTAAGGGATCTATTATCGTAAATAACCTTATGGAACCTCAACAAAAAATCTGAACTGTCCCTTTGAAAACTAAAGGACCATGCCATTGTTTTTTGTATTTTAGCCCTTTAAATAAAAGTCAGAACACTGAGTCTCTGATAACTTTATAGTGTTATGTTTTCAGTCTTCTGAGGCGTTTTTGTGACCACGCTATTTCTAGTGATTACATCTGATTCTTCGACTGTGTGAAATCAGATTGCTTGAAAGACAGCTAAAATATAAACAAAAGGTTTTTTTTCATGTTTTGTTGTTTTTTTTGTTTATTTTTGTTTTCTACAAACATAGTTAACACTCTCTAAAATATTATACATGAATTCCCCGAACACAATATACAAATTACACTGCCATACTGGCTAAAAGACTATAAAGTCACAATTACCCAGTAATTCAAAGTTTTTCTTGGAAGTGATTGAGAATGCGAGGTGATTGTTTTCAGTGTAACCGTCCTACAAATGAGGGTTTTTTAACATCACATATCCCTGATGAATTTTTAATTTAAAAACTCAAATTACATACAAATGAATTCATACAACTGACAGATTTAGATTTAAAGTTAATGTTTCTTCTGACTGGAAGTAATATCAATGTTTTATGGAGGCCCAGCAAATATCCCGATTTGAGATTTTGTGGATGAGAATAGATGATGGTAAGGAGAGCTTTCTGTCTCAAAGGCGTGGAGCTCATCACTAGAGAAAAAAATACCAGCTAAGACATATAAAAACCATGTTGTAAGAAAGGTTGGATTGCTGTATTAAAGTTTTAGAGATTTATGTCTCATTTTGTATCAGAAACAAACTTTCAGATTGATTGAAAATTATTTTACGTCTAAATATGCCAAATGTACGAACCATTTCAGGCTTAACTTTTCATCTTCATGTTCATGCATTTGGCAGTCATTTTTATACAAATCAACTTTCAAATGAGAATCTAACAATGCAGTTAATAACAAAGCTGCCAAAAGGGTACCTAACTATAGTTTCATACATAGATATGGACTAGTAGACTTATGTTCAGCTCAAAACCTTGAAAACATCCTGCTCCCTAGTACTAAGAGTGAAATACTTTTAGATTATTTTATATAAATTGATCCAGTGAAATTCCATATTTGAAAAACCTTGTACAATACACCAAATTTCTCTATTAATCATTTTATAATAACTGACTGTTACATAAGTCTACTGACATCTCTAAGAGTGGAAGTTTCCATTTGCTCATGATTGATGCTTTTATAATAAATGATTGTGTTATTTTCCCATCATCAAACTTGTTTTGCAACAGGAAGTTATTGTACATGTTGCTTGCATGCAAAACCACAGAATGTTGTGTAATTGGTACAGAACTTTTGTATCTATCATTGACTGCATGTACTGTATAAATACATATATATTTATTCCGTCCATCATTTTATTATTCTGAAAAATAAAAAATCAATGAACAAACATTACTTCTGTGAACTGTAGTGAATGGGCTAATGAAAAAGCATTGGTATGGTCCCTTTTCTGTGAAACCGTTAACATGGAAGGTCATGACAGCTTAAAAAGTTGTACAATTTATTTAAAGTTTTCAGCGCTGGCCACATTGATTGGCATTCCTGGTAATATTGTGTGAAAAGGTTTAAAATAAATGTATATTTTGTTGCAAGAGTGTAATCTTGGACTCAAACATTTAGAAAATCCCACCTAAGTGGGAATTTATTCACTGGGGAGAAAAAACCTGACCCAAACAACTAATTGTTTTTGATCAAATGATACAATTGCCAGTAGAACCTCCTGAACCATTTGTGCATAACTTTTGCCATATTTTAGGTTCAATACCTTGTTGAAAGACCCATTGACATTGAGTGTACTGGGAGACGTTAGCAGATTTTTTTTGCTAAAATGTCCTGGTTTTCAAAAAATTCAAAATACCCTTTACTCTAACAAGATTCTTTGACACAGACCCACAGCGTCATGACTCCTCCATCATGATGTACTGTCAGGGTGAGGTTTATGTCCATGTAGTTTTCTTTTGTTTTACGTGAACCCCCCTACTGTTGACAAAAATCTACATTTTAGTCTCTGCTCACCAATGAAGAGAAATTGGTTTCAGTTCAAAGTCCCAGTAGAGTTTAGTTAACTTCACAAAGTTGCATTTGTGATGGTAGGAGGCATGATTCCCAGTGGTCGGCATTTAGATAACAGAGAAGCTTTTGTTCAGTTCTCGAACACTCAGCTCTGCTTATGATCTGTTGTTCAAATGAGTATAGTATGAACATAAAAATACTTCAGTTCAATTTCCTAGTTGGGTGTGGCAATACCTGCATAACAGGCAATTTGGCTATAAACTATTAACTATTATTCCTCAGTTTTGGATATTTTTGCCTCTCAATAAAAGTGCTGCTATTAGAAGTTACATTTCTCTAAAAAAAAAAAAAAAGTTTTTATGATTTTTCTGTTGCAATAAAAGATGACTTATTTTTTTAAGACTTTTTTCAAATGTTTACCAGGGATGCCAACAAATTTGTCCATGTCTGTTGTAGTTAACCAAGAAAAACACAGGTGCATCTAAACATTTGAATACTGTGAGAAAAATCTACATTTTTTTTGTCACTCATTTTAGAAATTGAAACTCATATGTTGTACTGTAATTGTACATAAAGCCAATTATTTCAAGCCTTAATTTCTAATTTTGATGATTATGGCTTACAAGTCAAACGTGAAACCTACAACTGAGCTGTAATGGAAGCACAGGTTGTTTTTAATAGCTGCTTTCAGGACATCTGCATTGTTGGGTCTGGTGAATTTCATTTTCCTCTTGAAAATACTCCCTATATTTTCAAACCAAATTCCTGGCCAGTCAAGTTCAGGAACACCATAGCCACTGAAGCAGCTTTTGGTACCTTTGTCAATGTGGGAAGGTATGATATCCAGCTGGGAAATAAAATCAACATCTACACAAAGCAGGTCAGGAAAACGAAGCATGAAGTGCTCTAAGCTTTTATGGTAGATGGTGGCTCTTACTGTGGACTTCAGAAAGCAAAGTGGACCAACACCAGCAGATCACATGGCACCCAAACCATCACTAAGGGGAGAGACCTTACGCTGAACTTCAAGCATCGTGAATTATGTGCGTCTCCACTATTCCTCCAGACTTTGGGACATTGATTTTGAAACAAAATGAAGAATTTACTTTCATCTGAAAAGAGGAAGTTGGACCATAATGCAAAAGTCCAATTACTTTTCTCCTTAGTCCAGGTAAGACACAGTAACCTATGTGTAGGATATGTCTGTGTGTAGTGGCTTCTGATGCTCTCTCTCCAGCTTCAGTCCACTCCTTGGAAAATTACCCCAAATTCTTAAATCGATTTTGGTTGGCAATCCTCTCAAGGCTACTGTTATCCCTGTCATTAGAGCATCTTTTTCTATGACACCCAACTGCTGATGAATATGCTTGAATACAGAACTCTATGAACAGCCAGCTTCTTTATCAATTATCCAGTCAGTAGTCTTCCCCATGATTGTGTAGTCAGAGTGAGTCTAAAGACCTGCAAACACTCAAGAATCCTTTGCAGGTGTTTTGAGTCAATTAGATGATTATGCTGAGACACAATGAGTTTTCAATAATGAACAATTATTAATTTTGTGACATACAGAATTTTGGGTTTTTATAAAAGCCATCATCATCAAAACTACAAGAAATGAAGACTTGAAGAATTCACTCTATGTGTGATGAATCTATACAGTATGAGTTTCACTTTCTGAAATGAGTGACAGCAAGCACAGAATTTTTCATCATATTCAAATATTTTGGGATCAACCTGTGAAGTGAAAAATGAATTACATTTGCTGAAATTATTATTATTTTTTACTTTTTGAATGCATAACCTTCTAAATTTCACACTATTTCATTATTACATTATTATATTGAATGCAATTTCTCTTGTATTACACAAACGAGATGTTGCACAAATATATAGATGGTAAATGATTGTCCTAGAAACACAGAAGCAATGACAGTAAAAACTGTGTGGCCATGTGCTTGTGTGCACGTGTTATGTTTTTGTATGTGTGTGTGTGTGCGTGTGTGTGCACCCAGGCCACCCGTCCTGTCTGCAGTTCACAGTGAACATGACGGCTGCGGTGAGGACTTATCGTTGGCAGTGCATCGAGTGCAAGTCCTGCAGCCTGTGTGGCACCTCTGAGAATGACGTAGGACCCCCTTCATTATGCTACATAAACACATGTGGCTGCACACTCACACAAACATGCACACACACACACACACACACACACACACACACACACACACACACACACACACACACACACACACACACACACACACACACACACAGTACACATTCATGCACACTGTACACTCTGTGTACAAGCACATCTGAATTAACTAGAGTCCCTTAAAAGTTAATTTATTTCAGTAGCCTATCTATAGATTCATTACACACAGAGTGGCATATTTCAATCATTTATTCTGTTGTTGATAGTAATGGTTTACACATAATGACAGTCTACATCAGCCTTTCTAGTAAAGTTTTTTAGTACTGTTAAAATATTGCTGAAAAACCAATAAAAATTGACAAAAAATTATATTGAGGTATGGTAAACTAAATGCATTCAACACGTGCTCCAATTATTGCATCAATACAGTGTGACAACATCTTAGCTCTGCTGAGGTGTAAATTAAGCCCAGGTTGTTTTGGATAGGAGCTTTCAGTTAAAATATTTTGTTGGGTTTTGTGTATCTCATCTTCATTTTTGACTAAACTATATAGCATCTATGTAGGGTCTGGTCAGTTTGGTGTCTGATCCAGCACAGTTGCTCTATGGCCATTAAATTAGGCGACAGTACTTTGGAAGTCCAAAAAGCATCTTCAAAAGCTTGTCAGCAGTAGGAACCGCTCCTGGTGGAGTCCTGCTCTGATTTTGGACTTCATTATTAATCACAGTGGACCAAAAGCAGTTGATGACGTGGCTCACATAAACATCACTGACTGTGGAAACATCAATCTGCCCTTCATCAATCTGGATGCTGCGGCCCTGCACTCTTAACCAGACTCTGGCATTTTGATTTCGAAATGAAAAGTAAAACATACTTTCATCTGAAAAGGTGACTTAGGACCCCTGAGCACCAGTCCAGTTTTTCTTTCTCCAGGAAAAATGCTTTTGAAGCCTTTGATTCAGGAAGGACTTAAAACAAGTAATGCTGCTGCAGCAGCTCATCTGCTGGATGGGTCATTGCGTCCTGAAATTCTGACTTCAGCTTTGGTCCATATCTTGTAAATCTCCCTGAAACTCTTAAATGAATTTTACTTCACAGTCCTCCCACGGCTGTGGTCCCAGTTGCTTGTCTACTTCTTTCAACCACACCATACTTTTTCCTTCCTTAACTTTCTGTTAACATGGAATATTAAGGGCCCAGCAATCTTTGGACATCATAATTTTTTTTCATAGATTTCAAGACAGCAGTCTTTTCTATAACTTGGTAAATTTTTGCTATGACACTTCTTTATTAAAAATCTTGTTTTATTGGCATTATTTCATATTTATATTTTATTAAAAACTATATTTGGAGTCATAATCCTTAGCATAAACCATTCTAAACATAAGTTTTGAGTCAAAACACGTGCCACAACATTATGCAATTAATTTAAACATTAGTTTTACCTTTGGAATGGAAGGTAAAACTAACACATTATATAAATTACTCACAGAATATAATATTTCAACTCTTATTACTTGCAGTTTTGATGATTATGGCTTACAGATAGTGAAACTCTAAGTCTATGCTGTAGGAAATCTAAATATTACATATAAACAACACAAAATATATATTTTAATAGAAAATATCAGGCTTCTGAAAAGTATGTTAAATTCTATGAACTCAATATTTGCTTGTGCATGAATTCATGCTTCAATGTGGTGAGGCATGGAGGTACGTACAGCTGGGCAATAAAATCAGTATCTACACAAAGCTGGTCAGGAACAAGAAGCATAAAGTGTTCTAAACATTTCTGGTAGATGGTGTGGACTTCAGGCAATCCAATGGACCAGAACCAGCAGATGACATGACTCACCAACCATCACTTACTTTGGAAACGTCACTCTGGACTTCAAGCAACATGGGTTCTGTGTCGCTTCACTCATCCTTCAAACTCCTGATTTCCAAATGAAAACCATATTTTAGTTTTCTCTGAAAAGCGAACTTTGGACCGCTGAGAAAAATGCAGTTTTTTTTTTCTCCTTAGTCCAGATAAAACATTTAAAATGTGTCTGGTTCAGGGGTCACTTTACACAAAAAATGCAGAACTGTAGCTCATGTTTAAGAGTTATCTGTGCATAATCACTCTTATTGTGCTGACTCCAATCTCAGAGCAATCTTGCTGAAACTCCCCACAAAATCTTGAATTAATATTCCTCGACAGTCTTCTCATGCAGTCATCCTTCTCACACGTTGTTCTTACACTCAACTTTCTGTGAACATACTAGGACACAGAAGTCTGAACAGTCAGATTCTTTAGCAATTACTTTTTTGCAACTCACCCCCTTGTGGAGGCTGTTTATGGCTGTATTCTGCACATCTGTCAAGTCAGCGCTTTTTTCACAGCCTACAGACCCAGAGTAAGAGACTGTTTACAATAGATTTTTTTAAAGATATATCTGGGTTTGTAAAATAAATAACAAATCTTTTCTTTTCACAGTTTCATTAATTAATTACATTTCCCCCCACATATTAAAACCAGGCAAACATTCTGTTTCTGCTTTCCATAAAATCAGTTTTTATGTGGATTTAAACCTTGTTTTAATGGCCTATAAGAAAAAAAAATATCAGCTTGTAGCTGCTGATGTTAATAGTGTTTGAGCCGGGACAGATACAGTTTCCTAAGCATTAGTTGTACATAAAAAGAAATAATTAAGACCGTAGTCTAAATACAGACATTTTGCAGGGTGTTGCTGGAGTGCAGGTTTTAAAAAACAAACTCAGGAAATTAGCCGTTTCTTAATATTTCACTTTAACTCTCTCCTTCAAGCCTACACTGTTTCCACGGTTTATTAAAATCAACCCAAATTTACAATTCCCAAATAACCCAACACACTTAAATCTGTGCTGTTGAGTCCTGCCGCTATCGTTTCAAAGTTGTTCATGTTACTAATGTTAACGTCTGTTGTTCTGTTGTAGGACCAGCTGTTGTTCTGTGACGATTGCGACAGAGGCTACCACATGTACTGTCTGAGTCCTCCCATGTCTGAACCACCAGAGGGTACGCACTAACAGTTGGTTCATTAAAACAGTCTTGTAGTCGAGTGTTACAGCTTACGAGGAGTTCACAGGCCTGGTTTTGGTCACACTGCACCAACCAGAGCCATCATCTGAAAACATTTTAGCCATCAGTGCAGAATAAATGCCTCATTTTTGTTCATTTTTTTTGTTTACTCTCAGGAGAGCAGCCATGTTTTGTCTTATACTTTGATACGAAGGGGAAAATATAACAGTGAGGAAGCGGCAACTCTCTACTGGAACGTCTTAATCTGAATGAGAAAGACAGACAGAGAGAAAAAGAGACAGAGACTTGGCACTGTGTCTATGATCCCATTAATGGTGCAGGAACATCTATTTAAATCAAACTGTCATTTTTCCACATAAGATGGCTGCCTCAGGATGTTTGATGGCGTTGTCATGGAAATGAGTCGTGGAAAGATAACCTGTTTCCATGGTAAAAGTGGCTGAAGATACACTAGCAATGCCACTTGTGTTTAACGCTTGGTAACAGTGTCAAGCTCTGCCCACACACATGCGATGCCTTTTAATTTAGCAGAAACAAGTTCTGAAAGCCAGCCTCTTGCTTGAGGTGAACACTCGAGGGTTCCGTCTCACGGATGGCGAACTTACATGGTGTGTGCTTCAGCATCTGTGCTTTGCTCGCTGCTCTCAGCATCTTCAGGCAGGATTACCAGCCACTTTGAAGTATTAAGGTTGAGGTAAAATTTAGCTTTGGCCTGCAAGGTCTTTCAGAAATGTCACAAAGTCTCGAATCTCACTACAAACCAAACTATTTGTGAAATCCCCTGCATCTACAAAATCACAGACGCAGCATGTGACCTCTCTTCGCCGAGCTTTAATTTACAGTGTTACTCAGCTCTCTGTGTGAAACAAGAGATTAATCCAGCAGGCTTTACGATCGCAGTGATTGAACGTCTGATCCGTGATGTGGCTGATCTGTGTGCCTTACAGGGAGCTGGAGCTGTCATCTGTGTTTGAGACAACTGAAGGAGAAGGCCTCAGCCTACATCACCCTGACTTAATCTGCAGAGCACGTCCTCATGGCCCCTCGCCCTCTCCCAAACCATCTCTCTGTCGCTCCTCCCGTGTTCTTCAGCATCTCCACCTCTCCTGTTTTACTGATCTACTTGTCGGCACAGTCTTCACAATCTGTCCCTGTGACCTTTGGTGCACGCAGATTACCCACAGTGCTACGCCTGTTCTTGAGCGTCTCTCCAGCGGCGAGCCACGCTCCGTCCTCTTTTGCCCCCTGAAATTCCCTTTTGTGCTTGACCCAAACTCCAGCCTCTCTCTCCTCCGTCTCAGCAGAAGAATTCATCAGCCGGCAATAAGTTTGTCAGCAAGACACACACTTCAGCCCGCCAAGGGCACTTCTGAAGCATACTACTCCACAGGAACCCTCATAAGGGCCCTCGGATGAGCCCTAATGATCTTCAGCTGTGACTCTCTCAAGTAGTGAATAAAAATTAATAAAACTGTGACATGTTTGAGAGAGGACGAAGCAGTGGAGAACCATGGAGCAGTGCATCTCAGTGTTTTTCCAACTGTGAAATGTACATTCAACCAAAATTTTATTTTCTTCTCTCTGTCCACCTTTGTGTATGACAGAGCTGCAGAGACGCTGAACTCTCCTCTGGTATTTGTCTGGATGTCTTTTTCAACCAGGGAGTAAATTGTACAGAATTTAATCTGATTTGATTTTTGAACCACACACTCATGAAAAGACTCGGCTCAGTGGTAAATAAGAGGCATCCAGTTAGGAACTCAGACCACCTTTGACCTCACCCTTTCTTCTCTCTGTGCATGGGGTTCCCACAACTTAATGGTGCATTTTAGAAATTGACACTGAAGGTTTTTAGTGCATGGTTTTGGCTCCTGGATAAATGGAGAGAAGGATTTTTCCCCCCTCCATTCAAATCAAACTGTGTATTTGAAAAAATAACAGTTTTGGCTTAGCATCTCTCATAAGCCCTTACCTGACCTGCATATAACCTTTCCTCCCACAAAACCATGACTGTGAAGCCAGTGCAAGACTGTAACACTTCTGGTGATTGGTGTGTTGTCTATGATCTCAGAATGTAGGACTGGTGTGTGGAAATATGCAGCTCTAATGCCGAGGCCTGAAAACACATTTTCTACGATTCCTTTAATTTATTTGTGTTCATTTGCATGTCATTATTTTTATTCTTTAAAAAAAATACTTTTAATTGAAATGGAAAGGAAAGCACACTTAATTCGCAATAATGTGTTTGTGATACAAACTCTTTAGCCACCCATTGTAACTTTGAAGTTCTGTTTGTGCCTGTTTCTTTGAGCAGTGCAGCCAGTGACTGTGGCCAGTCAAAGACCAGTTAGATGTATGAAGGCATCAAAGATAGAATGATCTGAATGTAGAATGGAAGATTTAACAGTGTAGGCAGACTGACTGAGATACACATCCTGCTGTAAGTTTGACATACAGAGTAAAGTTAAAAAGTGTTAAAAGTTTAAAATTCACATTTCATTGTGCAACATTTCACAGTGTTACACAAGTGGTCAAGGTCTGGCACACAATACACTGTATACAAAAACAAATTTCTGCTCACGTTCATATTTTACCCTTTAAAGCTTTATAGCTGTAAAACAGCCAATTAGCTTATTCAAGACAACTATGTTCGCAAACTGCATATCCTGGGTAGAAATCTATCCCAGACATGAACCTTGGCAGGAAACTTTTGACATAACCCTCAGCTTTTGGTTTGGCGGGCAGTAAAAGAAGATGCCAAACATTTTGAAATTGTTGGCTATTTGTACCATTCCACTCACCACAGATTAAATTGATAAATACTCAATTTTTTCTGCAAACTTTAATGACTTCTCTCATGTTTTGAGACAAATTTGGGACACTAAATCCTCCAGTCAAGATATGTTTCATATCATAACTGATATTGTCAGCATGCAGCTGTGTTTACAGCCCTCTTTTGGGTGACGTTGCACTAGCTTTTTTGTTTTTAAGCATCAGCTGTTGTTGTGTTTCTTCTGAATTTAGGGTGATCTTTTAAATTTGTTTTAAAGTGTGACTGCATCAAAAGTTTTACAATGTGTGTAGATCCTTTTTATCTCTTGTCTTTATCAAATGCAGCGATAAAAAAAAAAATCTGCATTTGACAAAGATTGGACAGTTCTATATTCCACACAGTTTGAAGTTTACTTAATTGAGACAAGCTGATTTTTTATTCTTGTTGTTTTATTTATATATTTATTTTTGTTATCAGTTTTAGCAGACTGATTTTCTTTTTAAATTAGTTCTTTGTGCTTTCTCTGACCTTCTGTCTTCAATGTGGGAGTTATTAACTCCCACATTGAAGAGTGTATTTGTCACGGTGATGTAGGGTTTGGACAAGGTGCATTCACTGACTGGAAAAAATAAAAATAAAAATTTCGGGACTCCAAGAATCTGAGCACTGGTCAGGGTCCGTAAAGCTGGAAATGAACAGATTCTGGTCACCAGACAGTTAATGGACCGAATCTATATCATATTTTTTTTTTTTTTACTGTGTTTTCTATATTTTTGTTTTCTAGCCAAACTCACCACGCATCGTGCTTCATATTAGCGCCACACTCACTAACACGCATTCATGCACCAACACACATATCACTTGGCAACTTGGGGTTAAGTGCCTTCCAGGAGAAAGCTGGAATCAAAAACTTTCAGATTGCAACTAACTACTCTTCCTACTGAGCCACAGTCGCCCACACAATCATCATTATCTTATCATCTCAAGTAAAAGAGTGGAGATGTCATTGGTTATAGGACATCAGGGTTGTCACAGTCAACTTAAAATCATTTACAACTTCTGACTTCCAGAAACTCACTTTTTTTTTTTTTTTTTTTTTGCTAATATGTTAGACAGCTGTAAAAATATGAATTTAATGCTTTGTTATTCTGAGTTCACTGTTTTTGTTCCATGCAGGATCTGCCTTTCCCGGTGCAGGAAGTAGTCCTGACAACTTATTTGTCAGAGTGATAGCACTTATTCAATTCAGTTCAAATCAATCCAGTAATAGTCTATTTAGCCTGAAGGGTAATAAGGGTAATTCTACCATGCATTTTTCAAAATATAATTTTTTTCTGTATACAGCAGCGACACTAACAGTAGCCAGTAGAGGATGAGCGAGACTCACAGCTTCAGTGAATCTAATTTACCTAAACAACTGAAACATCCATGACGAACAGCCTGGGGAACATTGAGGGTTCATGGCCGTTCGGTCCTGAAGTATGAAAGTTTATGGTAACATAATGGAAACAAACTTGTAGGTCCTTTACATCTTTATTTACCTGTTACATAAGTGAATACTTCTATCTTTTTCCCATCATGGTAGCTTAGCCATATTTTCAAGGTGCATTCTTTAACTCAAACAAATCAAAAACCGTTTTTTTGTAACAAGTAGGTTACCACTTGGTGCACCTACATTTTTTAATCTTTCTGTTGCCATTAAGGTGACCTTTGCTCATTTTTGTGCCATGATTTCTTTAACTGTTTTAGCTGCACTGCTCTTTTGAGTCTGCAAATCTTGTCCTGTACCTCTTAGAAGACTCCATAGTGAATTTTGAGGCATGGTTTGTATCACTATGTTGCTTTAAGGTACTTTTCCCCCGCCTGTACTGGAAGAACAAATCTTTACCATCTGTTGGCTGTGGCTTTATGACTTGTTTTTCAGAGCTGTTAAGTACTGATTTAATGGTTAGGTAAAAACAACCAGGTCGTTTTTGAACGACTGGTCCATCTTTCCATGTAGCTATGGCAATGGAGATTAAGTGAAGGAAGTAGAAAGTTACTACAAGTAATTACGAATGCAATTTAAGCAAGCCCTTGATGTAAACATGCATATGAATAAATGCAGTATAGCTGTGGTGTTACATAGCTGGTCATGGTCATCTGCTGGAACAGATTCATATAGTTCTTCATTCACTGAAGGAGTAAATTAATGTTCGAAAATGTACCGAAGCAATTGGTGGCAATTGCTTAAAGGTTTATTAAATCACTTTCAACTTTAAGCTAGCTAAGAAGATATCAAAAGTTTGGGATTTTCTCATTACAAATTGTTAATGGGATTAAAATGTAAGATGTGAAAACAACATTTTATGCCAAAGTTTTAAGAGTTTTTCATCTAAAAATTCTGAAGCCAGTAGAAATCTCCAAAGTGCAGTATCTATATGTATTTTATTACAGTTTCTAAGAAAGATTATCCAGTGAACCTACTCAGTCATTTCTATTTCAACAGGCCAAAGGTGTCGTTCAAGATCATGTAAGTTAGACAGACTCAGATTCCTTCCCCTTTAATCTGTTGTCACATTTTCCTGTCTTACCACAAATCTTGGTATATTAGAATAAAGGGCCTAAATGTGAGAAAAATAAGTGAGTTTGTGAAAAATGTAATTGTTTTCATGAATTGAGGTACATGTTGCTCTTCTGATGGACTCCTGTTCTCAATAGTGCGTGGAAATTCAAAAGTGTGAAGTTCACAGTATCCCACTGTGGCATGACAGGGTACGTTTTGCCATGATGTCACCATTATTTTAATTTTTATTTTATTTAAGGATTAACTGACTAAATGGGAATTGGCTACTTCAATGGTCCTTCCCAATGTTAATATTGTACACACTGAGAGTAAACTGATAATACATTTCTGATATATTTTACAGTCCTGAAATGGGCCAAAATATGTTGGAATACTAATCATGTTCATCATGACCTCAGTATGCTTAACAAGCTTTTTTAAAGCTTGCACTAAGCAGCTCTCCTCTAATTTAAAGTCCTATTGTTTTTATCTATCAACAGTTTAACTGGATTTTTTAAAAGCCACTTTAATGGCCACTCTTGATGGGCAAAGTGCTGAGTGAGAAAGAGTCACTCAGCATTTACAAATCATTCGCTGTAACAGAGCAGAACAACATTGATTTGTCTGATAGCTGTAAGCTCGGAAACAATTGCTGTAAATCTGAGGATATCTTCAGATCAGCAAATGACCATTTCACGCAATATTTTCCATGCTTATGTATAAATAGATACCATTGAAATTTGCTGGCTTTAGTTAAAGTTGATCTTGTTTAAATCAGCAGCTTATGCAAGTTTTACCCAAACTGTCAGACTGCAGGTGAAAAGTTAATGCCACCACTTCAGTTCAGAGTAAAATCCAGTGGCACATGAATGACACATTAAGCGACTACTTCAGCTTTCATTCATTATCATTAGGCTTAGAGTTTTTTTTTTTTTTTTGTCTAGTGGGATATTACACAGTGAGGACACATTTGATCCTCAGGAGTATTTTTGTGAGGTAGTGGAAACCCTGAACTCAGAATTAGTGAAACATGCAAACTGAACCAAAATGGCTTTTTTGTTGTTTTTTGTTTTTAGATTTTTTAAAAAGAAAAACAGGTTTCTAAGATCAATCAGTTGTATGGCACGACATTATGCAAAGCTGGTCATTTCATCCCTTCTCTATTTTATGCTTTTGAGTGAATTGTTTCATATCCAGTAAAGGTTGAGTTTTCCAGAAAATGCTGATTTGTACCCAAACTAAAGGGATTTTGTTCCCACTGTGACAGCTGATTAAAAGTAACATTCTGAGATCTAATAATATTTTACTGCAAAGAAATGTAAATATAAGGTGTCAGAATTGTCTATCAGCAGAAAAATCACTCATAGATATTCTGCCCTTATTAGAACTGATAATCTGTCATATTTAGTCAATATGCCTAAATGGAGATGGAAACAGGGTGCAATAAACAAGTTGAGACAGTGATGTTATAATGAGTTATGCTATGATCGATATCTCTGCATTTGTAGGATCATTTAACTCTATAATTCGTAATAAAAGCATATCCATGAGAAAAGGATGCTATACAATGGGCATAAGATGGGAGAATGTTGGGATGAAATGGCAGCATGTATTCATAAAAAAGAATGATGAATTGTAGAAAGGGCAAACTGACCTAGCTCTCACAAAGATTCACCCGAGTCACATTCACCTCAGTGTACTTACAGAATTCACACCTTGCACTTGAATAGCACTCTTTCACATTGTTAAAACAGGATGAACATTTTCACAAACATGCCGTCCAATAACCTATGCTTCTGTTATCATCAACCAGTCAGAGCTAACATTTAGACTTGAAGTGTGCATGAGTGAAAATGTTTCTTGATAAGCCTTAGCTGGGAAATGTTTGTCTTTTGAGTGGTGAGTAAAGACAATGTCAGGGGGGAGTAAACAGCCTTTTTACTGGAAGCTTTCTTGGCACTGGGATAAGCGTGGTGGAGTCAAACTCATTTTGATTGTACTCTCTAGGGAGGGTGTGGAAGCCATGTTGGACTGTGATTGTCTGATAAAATGTGAGCCTTCACTTTGTACAAAATGGACAAACCAATGTGAAGGAGATGTGAGGAGTCGGGGCGACAGAAGCCACACCCGGATCCACGGGGCCCATGGTTCGGCCTGATCTTCGGCTGCTAGACGACGAGACTTTGGGCCACTGTCTGATTTTCTTGTAAATTGTTGTTCTTCTGTGATCTTGCTTGCACTTTCTTTTGTTTCCTTTCTCAAAAACCTGAAACTAATTGTAAGTATGTAAGTGTGTGGGTGCGATTGCACTTTTTATTTTTATTCTTGCCATTTTTAAAAAAAATGTGATTGTATGTTGTTATCAACACTAGATGCAGAGCAATTTTTAATTTGTATTTTCTACCTGGGATGGAAGATGAAATCTTCTTGGACATTTTTTTAACCCCCCTTTACCTTTCCAGCTCCTGGTCTCTTTCTCTGTCTGGTACTGGGAATGCTTTGAAGTGTGGACTGTGACTGCATTGCTGCCATCCTTGCTGTCAGTCATTCTCTGTGAATTCATTTGGCTTTCTCAATTTAGCCAGTTTTTTCTCTTCCCTTGACTCTTTTTTTTTCCATTAAAAATTGCAATTGAAAAATGAGCCTCCAACCTTTGTTGTGTAATTGTTTGTTTATGCTTATGTTATGCTTTGCATATTCTTTTTCTATTTGTTTTCTTCATTTTTTTGTATCCTTCTTGTTTACTCCTGTGTATCCAGAAGTCAGAATTTCAGGAGATAAGTCAGTTCTTATCTCACATTGATAAGATAGTTCAAGTCAATTTTTCCAATTCATAGTCAAATTTGGATAAATCTTTTCTTGTGCATCCCCTCTAGTCATCTGTTACTAAATGTTATAAATTCAAAATTAGCACAGTTTGTCCTTACACCAAATTAATGCCTACATTTTTATCAAATGTCATTTAGTATTTTGCAATTTAACAACAATTATGTTTTAGTCTTTCAACATTTTAATCATTAGCAAGAATTGTAACGAGTTGAAAGTTAAAAGGTGAAATTATAAAGTGATTTAGAAATATAAAAATAGATTCATGTTTAAAGACAAATAAGTTTATAGGTGAAGAAAACATGTAGATATTATGAAGGTTCTGCTAATGCAGACAGTTATAGTTCTCAAGAAAAAACAGCTTTTTACGATTCAAAACCACAAAAATTTTCTGTCATACCATTTCAGCCACTTTGTTGAATGTCAAAGAAAGAATTAAACATAGCGCCCTTTCCCTTTCCTTTCCTTTCCTTTCTTTTCCTTTCTTTTCCTTTCTATTTAGAAAGTCATGGATTGGACACCCACCAAATTAGATGCAATATATACCTTTTGTAAACATTTGATTTTTTGCACATTTCTTAAATGAGACAGATAAAATGTGAAAAATCTGGGATCCTCTTGTTTCTTCTTTTATTCATGTAAATAAGCAATTAAATCATTTTATATATATTTTTGCCTATACGACAATAGTATGAAATCATCATTTCTAGTATTTAAGCCTGTTCATTTCTTATTTCACATTTCCTTTTGACGTTTTTATTTAGGTAAAGTTCTTGTCTCAAATGCTGCCACACTTCTGGGCTCAAATCTGAGGTCAACAGCAACCATTTTCCTCTTTCTGCTTTGCAGATCACAATCTATCAAAGCAGTCTGTTCAAAGTCAACTCTCAACACTGAATAACAAATGATAATTTCTTATTTAAATGAAACACTCTTCTGCTAAAACACATTAAACAGAACTCTGCTTTTCTTTTTCTCTTCATGCTCTTGAAAAGAATTTAATTGGTTATTAACTCACAACAAAAAGGAACAAAATGTTTCACTAAGATTACCTTATAATCTAAGAATAGGAGACAAAGCAGCCCTATCGTCCACTATTGTTTTCAACCACAGCAGAGCCAAATACGCTTTGCTATTCAGGGCAGGTACAGCTTTTATTTGTGATGTATTCCTGAAGATGAGACATTCATCACTGTTGCTGTGTTGGCCAGACTTGGCTGTACAATGGCAGCATGGGGAAGTCAAGCCCATCAACACTTTCATTTTTATCCCTCCTGCTGACTCCCAGTAGACAAAACAGACAAAAAAAATACTATGCACTTCATACTAGGGGGAGCATATAGGTATTTTTAACTATGCTCTCCAAAAAGAAAAAAGAAATCCTCCATCCATTCTTTGGCAGAGCTCCAACCTTATCCAAAATCTTGCACACCACCCCCAACTCCAGCCATCATGTTCATAGAGAAACCCACACAAAAATGCCTCGAATTCAGACGTGTGCACTTTCACACAAAATCACTTTGCACACACACACACACGCACACACACACACGCGCGCACACACACAGAGCCTAGAGCCCATCTTCTTATGAGCTTCATTACTCTGACCCCAGTCTCCCTTTCATATCTCTGAGGATGTTTATGCAGTGTGTATGTGTGTTTTAATATCCAGCAGAATATGTTTGTATATTCATTGAAGGCCCAGACTTAATACAAGTGTTTAAATGTGTGTTTAATATTGTGTGAATATTGAATTGTGTGTGAACGTGTGTGTCGGTGTGTCTGTGTGCGTGTCTTCCCAGCCAATTACCACATCTCCCAGACAGACTGAGACTGCCTGGGTCCTGCCAGCCAATCGGAGAGGGGCTGCGCACTGCCGGGCCGGAGGTGGTTGCCGTGGCAACCAGGAGGCCTGTTTGCATGGTGGCTGATGGAGGAGTGATGGATTACAGTAATGGGATAGAGGGAGGGAAGGAGAGGGGAACAGATAGGGAAAAAGGGGAGGAAGAAAGAAGAAAGCAGGGATGGCAGGATGAGGAGAGAAGGAGAGACAGAATGGGGGGCGGAGGGGAGAGGTGACAAAGGGAGGTGAGAAGGAAGGAGGGAGTCTCATACATAAAGATATTGGAAATGTATGAATGCATCTGAAATGAGGTGATTTTGAAAAAAGGTATAACAAAAAAAAAGTGAGAGAAAATGATCAAAGGAGAGTGGAAGAGGGAAGAGGACATTTGGAACAGGTTCTGTGGGGTAAGATGGGGGGCAGCCATTGTGTGAGAGTGAATTCCTTTCTTTCTTGTTTCTGTCTGAGAAGAGGAGTGTTTCTGTCAGGCCATTTTTACTTGGAGCGCAGGGAAGTGCATGGAAAAGATGTTAGTCTCACCTTTCGTTCTTCTGGCGATCACTGTGGATGATCTGTGCAGGAACTTCTTTTAGATTTCCACTCCATCGCCACAGACTGGGATGGAAACACACAAGAAAGTCTCAACCTCAAAGAATGCATATAGTGCATACGTTCCTAAATCCAAGCATAGCTTATTGTAGATAAAAATAGAAATTATTGGTGATAAATTAGCGTCTATTGGCTGAAGATTTTATATTGGAAAAACTATACCGTCAATTGTGATAATCAGCTCCTAAAAGGCCCTTTGATGTTGTAGGTATAGAGGCTCGATCCACTCCTCATCATCTTTATTTGAAAGATGTTAATGAAAAACATATCCAAACACATCAGATTAAATTAAAGCATTTGCATTCATCTATAAATCCAGATATAATTTCCAGGACTTTTATTAACATTGTTCCCACTGAAGTCTAGACTTTTCCATTCACTTTAAAATGAAAACATGGCAGCAGTTACACCAAGTGAAGAGAGGAGACAAACATTCATATTAACCACACATTCTGAAAGAAAAAGTTTCTGGAGAAAACGCCTTTTATTTTCATTTTTCTTTCCCTGCTGCTGACCCCCAGACTAAGCCACCCTGAATAAAAATCCAATTCTTTTATTCCATTGTGCAATCATTTTCTGGGTTTGTGTTTGAGAAGTGCTCAATAAATAAAGGTTTGTTGATTTTCACATCACCATTTGACAGTAAAACGTTCCATAATTTAGATTTGTTCTTTTTTGTGAAACTCTCCATTTAAAAACACAATTTTCTCTTCTGATCTACTGCATCTCTCAAAAACACAGACTTCCCCTGTTGAATCGAGTTTCCTCTTATTTGTCGACAGAGTCTGAAGACGCTTGTGAGTTGAGGATTAGGCTTAATCTGCGCCCGGAGACCCTGACTCCTTGTGATCTTTCAGAGTGACAAAACAGCAGTCTTCCATGTTAAAGAACAGTCCACTAAACTCCAGGGGTAAACTAAAAACACACATTGATAATTTGAAGAAAAACACTCAATACTTTCACTTGTCAGTTTTTCCTTCTTCAAGCCTCAAATTAAAGTTAAAAATTAAAGTAAAAAAAAAAAAAAAGGTTTCAGTTTAAAAAAGTCTATAATTTACCTGCCGAAGTACAGATGGAGTAAGTCAGAACTGGATCATACATCCGCTAAATCTTTTCCAGGGGGATGAATAATAATCTCCAGTGGTGACATCAAAAATTCATTCAAAGGTTCAACTCAAAATCACAACTCAACAGTGCAACCTAGAGGAGGAACTGCTCAACGACACACAGAAGTAACTATAACGAAACAAAATGTAATGAGCTCTCATTTGACCAGCCATCACCACAGATGGATACAAAATGGACACATTTATTGACAGAAAAAGAAAAAAAAACAATTAACAATTATGATTGCTTAAAACTCAAAGACATTGCCTGTTACAGTTTGTTGCTTTCAGAAACAAATTCATTTCTCGTTTACATGCTTTTGTTTTTCTTCTATACCTCATTCCTTTTCTTTTTGCAATATTTTTCAGTTAAAAATTTTAATCTTACATCCAGCCAGATGAAATAGCTTCAAGCACTATGTTGTAATGTGATATATGATTTTATAATTTTTAACTTGTTGCAAGAAGAATATAAACATATATATTTTTGCAGTGCGTATTCTAAAGTTCCAGTTTTTTAGTGTCTTCACAAGAAATTTCATATAAGTTGAAATTAAAGTGTTCATATCAGTCATTTTTGTTTACTGTCTCATTTCTCTGCAGGCTTTGGCAAAAACAAATATAGATTAGTTTAGTAGCAGTTCACTTGATTCTGGACCTGCAGACATCAAAACCTGTAATTTTTTCGATCAAAAACAGAACCGAGTCTTCTTATCTCCACAGAAAAGTTCTCACAGAGGAAAGAGACAGTAACATCAGTGCTCATAATGAACAATTTCTCATTGGATAACTGAGTGATCCTGAAGTTCAGACATCAAAAACATGTTGGAAATAAACTACTAAGTTAATTTCCCAGGATTTAGAACAAAGGTTTCTTCCTGACACGGGTATTTCTAACAGTGTCAAAAAGGATGTTTTCTTTTTTTATTGTAACTTTGGAAACACTTTTTAAGTCATTCATGTTGAAGTAATATTACTCAGGGTCTTTGTCCATTTTGTGTCTGTGAACAACACCCAGAGGTCATGAGAACAGCAACATATGAGCTCAAATCTTTCTGTTATCTAACCCGAAACGGCATGTGGAAGATTATTAGGGAACCTGTCAACATGAAACGCTAAAAATATTCTGGGACATGAGGTCCTGATATCAAACATCCAAACCAAACATTTCTGCACAAATATGAACATTTTATTTGACTCAATGAACAATTAGCTAATCATATTCTGCAAAATGATGCAACCTCCTGGAGGACTTAAGTCATTTTACGTAGTTCCTATATTTTCAGGGAAGCTGCTACAAAGAAAACATTATTGGAAACAGGCTTTAAGACATGTGAAAACAGATGACTAACGTAAATAATACAACAAATATTACGAATAAGTGATTATAGATTATGGATTATGCTATCAATAAGGAAATAAATATATTTCAGGGCTTCAATACCAGACCATAGGGGTACTGTAAAACATTCTATGACTGCAAATTAAAATATTAAATCTTAGCATTCAGTAAAAAATAGCTTTTAAATAGAAGGAAGAAATTTCGATTGTTTCTTAGGTGTATTTTTATTTTCTCATGAAAGTATAAATCAGAAGCAAAAAAAAAAATCTTCCTTCCTCTTGAATAGTTGAAAACTGAGTTTTTGACTGTTCAGTGTTTATGTTTTGAGATCAAAACATAAACACTGAATTAAGTTGAATGGGTGGCAAATGTTTTGTTGTATGAAATCTTTTTTTCTTGGATGAAATAGTAGGATTTAAAGTAAATTTCTTACTCAAATTAAAGAAATGTTTGTATAAATAAATATCCGATTGTGTAATCAGCCAACTAAAGTTTGATCAAGGGAAAAATCAAATAAATTAGGTTTAGAAAAAAACAGCTCAAACTAAAGTGTTGGAAAGAAATTAGATAAATATCATCACATGACACATGACAGGGTGCTGACATACGATGAACTTGCATATTTCACTGTGTGCTCTCACCTTCCTGGTGCTAATTGTAGCACTTTTTCACATTTTTCACTCCCACTTTTGGCCATCATCATCCAGGCATCACGTGTTAGTCAGATCTGAATTTATCCTAGGTCAATATAAAGCGCGAGTAAACATGACATCAAATAACACAGGGGTCATTCAGGGAAAAAGGAGGTGAGGAGAGGTCCTGTATAAAGGTAGCAGTCGTGGTAGAGGACAGGCTGCAGCAGCAGGAAGGTGAGTAGAAATATACTCATGCAAATACAGATGGCACAAACTGACTGCTTCTCCTCCAATGTGTCAGGAGCTGAAGTAATTCCACATGCTTTCATCAAACACTCTCCTGACGGCTAAATACACAGTAATTTGCTTTTTCCCATCTTTCCAGGCCAACTGACACTCCTGGTTTCCTCACCTTCTTCTCAGAATGCAAACTTTGGCAGCTTTGTGCGCTCTTTTGTCACTCCTCTTTTCTGCTCAAGCAGATGTTGTGGAGCGTTTTGAGGTTTGTTTTTTCTCCAGTTCCATCCAGATCTCAAACATTCAAAAGTGTGTTTGGTTGAAAGTTTTCAGGAAACAGCTGTTATGTTGTTCTTTCCTCAGGATGTGCCAGAATGCATGACTTACTTTTATAAGGGAAAGGTGCCAGAATGGGGAGCGTCCACCCCAAGCGCTGCCCGTCTGTGTCAGCGCTTCGTCAACAAGTAGTTATAATGATTAATGTCAACGCTGAGCACATGAAGCAACTCTGCGCTAAATTATTTTATTGTTCTTTGTATCTCCATGCTCATATGCTGCATGCTGGTTTCTCTCCTGATGACATTCAGCTTTGTAATCATGATCTTTGCACTTTTAGGTTTCATTTTGCCACACTGTATGACACCAACCATCGCATTGCTGTCTACTCCGCATATCAGTTTGAGCCCAGCAATGGAGGGGGCCGGGAGAATAGGTGGTTCGTGGAGCCTCAGGTGACACACAGCTTTACTCTGTTTGACCTTAATGGTTTGACATCGTTAAGAAGATGTTTAAAAGATTGTATCCAAAAAAATTATTTCCATGGCCAGCTTTCTGTTGACATTCTAATCCAGTCTGTACTTTTATTTATTCCAGAACAAAACCTAATGAAAAGTAAACAAAATTAAACCTCACCCCAGCCCTAACCTACTTAATGAAAAGTGAACTGTTCATTAAGTCCCTAAAAGGTAGCCTTAATTAATACATTTCAATCACTGCTTGTTTAGCTTAGCTGATTAACGTAAGCCACCATTAAATGACTTTTACAAATGAATAAACATCTTTAAGCCCCAGTTCCCATTTCAACCATATTTTAACATCATCTTTTCTATTTCTCCTCAACAAAACATTGCTTCTTCAAGGTGGGATGGCTTCTAAGGAATCCACTGCATGGTTTACTATTTGATTCATTTGACATCTTTCATGTTTCGGTCTCTGCATGTTCTGATGTGCTTCAGTTGGTGAATGATGGCTGGCAAGCTGAGATGAAGGATGGATACTGGCTGGGTCAGGACTACCCTGGCATCTACCTCGGAGAGAAACAAGCTCTGAACGAGGACTACACAAACTCTGGCTTTGACCGTGGTCACCTCAACCCTAACGGACACCATCCAGGTAGGAAAGACCTATTGTGCCTCAAGGATACTGGTGTTGTATCCTTGAAGCACACTAGGTGGTGCTATGGCACTAGAGATGCAAGATACAGTATTTATTGCTTTAGAGCAATAACTTAAAGTCCCTAAAGTTACTTTAGGTCTTAAAAATGAACAAACCTGTGTTAAAATGAGAAATTCTGTGATGTAAAAAATAACAATGAAAAGTTATTTAAAAGGTGTGTGTGGTGCATTTTGTACAGTCCAAGTGAAACTGTTTTGGGGTTGAAACTGTTGACAGATACATTATATTTGAGGTTAGATGTGTACTCAAGAAAACATGTTGAAAAATTTGTAAGATTTTTTTTTTACATGTATATCCTAAATAAATTTCTCTGCTTTTAAGTTGAATTATGAAAGATCTGAGTCAAAACTCATTACTTCCGCATGGATTCTCATGTATACAAATATGTTTCAAGAACAAACCACAATAAATCAGACGATTTATTGTATATACCACTGGCCTCATAAATCAGATGAGGCCAGTGGTATATTACAAAAAATGCACAAATGCAGTACTGTTTTGTGTTAACCAAATTAACACAAAAAAGACTAACAACCTAAAGAGGATTAAGCAGCAATTTAGCAAAAATGACTAAACAGGTCAACACAAAGTAAATTCAGAAACATTGACCAATAACAGGTTCTCTCAAAGTTTAGGTGAATCTAGAACACTGCAAATAAACTAAAAGCCTTGAATAAATTCCAATTGTTCGACATAAAAAGTTAATGTTTCTCTCAGAAATGTTTTGTATTTGTATTACAAAACATTTTGCTTTAAAAGAAAGAGAAAGACAGATTGAGTCTGATAGACCAAACTCCAAATATTCTCCAAACCCCTGTCTATATGACAGGGGTTTAAGTCAATATTGGAGAAAAAAAAGTGTAACACTGTTAATAGTGTTAATAATAGTCTATTTGCCAAGAACAGACAATAGCTAAACTCATTAAAATGAGCTCAAAATAAATCCCTAGCAACTGGCTACCTTACTCTCTTTTTCCACTTACTCCTCTTTCACATTCCAACAGTGGCAAAGCAATGAAACACAACTATAATTTTTCTTCGGGTTTCTGTGATCAATTTAGAATACGTTTAGAATTACTGGTTACTCCAATAAAAATCTTTCTTTTCCAGTGCCCAGTCGTAATGCCACGTTCACCCTGACCAACGTGGTTCCCCAGAACCCCAAAATGAATCAAGATGCCTGGAGGATCCATGAGTCTGACCTCACCACTCTTTTCCTTCAAAAGTGCTCAAAGGCCTACGTCCTGGTTGGTGCCGTCCCCTCAGCAGACAACTGGATTGTCAAAAACAACGTGAAGCGCGTCAACATCCCAGACTATGTGTGGAATGCCTACTGCTGCGTGGACAACAATGACCAGCCTATTCAGAGTGGCGCTGGTACAGCAAGAAACACAGAAGAGAACTATGTTGTAAAACGTTCTCTGGATGAACTGGGTGCCTTCCTGCAGCAGTTCTCCAATGAACCAGTGGGGGAGCTATTTTACAACAACTGCAGAGCATAAATAATTGGGAGCTGAAAATCTTAAAGTGGTTCCCTAATGTTTTAGATTCCAAAGTATATATTTGAACAACCAACCTGAAAATCAAACGTATGCTGCAGTGTGATCCTGTTAAAAATTTTAATGAGGCTCATCCCTTTCTAGAGGCATTATAGGTGAGAGGCATCAAGCTAGCCAGCTTTCAAAATCACATTAAATTTCAATTCCAGATTAGATTGGATTACATACAAAACTGGTTAACATGTCTTGAGTAACAGTGACCCAACAAAGAGCAAAAGTTATTAAACACATTCAATGGACACTAAGATTTAATCCCAGTTTATTGGTAAGTTTCTTTGTTTTTTTACAATTGAATTAAAAATTAAGTATTAGTGTTTTTTCTTTCACACTGTTGTTAAATTTGGTATCAATTGTTGATTTTATTATAACATACACAACAGATAAGACTTAAAGTATTTAGAATGCAAATCAGAAATATTTGGCATATTTTGGCATCATATCAACCATTAGATGGCAATAAGGTGTCTCCAACATGATCCTTTGTACATGTGGAATTTGCATCAAGAGCTTCTGATGGACCCTATGAGGTTAATTCATAGCAATGTTCGAAAAGGGGTTAAAGCTAATGAAACAACTATTTCATTAGCTTTAATCAACTATTTAATCAAAATGAATAAAAGCATGTTTCACTGGACTTTTACAACTGATTATTTGTGTACATCTTGTAACTTGCACAATCAGACTAAGTGAAAACTTCCAATCCAAGATCAGGAGAGAGAAACTTCCCTTTTCCTCCAGTTGGGAAATGTAGATCTAGTGTAATTCCAACAGCCAAGGATGCTGATCAACTGCAGCAGCTGTAACCACCTGAGCTGGAAGAACTGCAGGTGCAACAAACGATTTGTTTCCCCAACATACAGTACACAAATCAAACTTTGAATCCTCTGAAGACACTTTACCTTTCATGCCCATACCCTGTAAGTAAAATAAATAAATAAAAAATTCTGTCTGTGTTATTAGTTATATTTCAAAATTAAAATCAGAGGATGCTGCATGCACGTTGTCTAGAATAGCAACCTTTCCACTTCCTGCCAAATTGTTTTTCTGCCACAAATTTCTACTCTAGAAAACAAGTAAGTAGACCTTAGAAGCAACAAGACCATTCTTCTGGAGGTCGCCTGTCAACCTCTCAAAACCTCTCATCAAAGTTGGTCAAAAGGTGTCGTAGCTTTATCTCTGCTTGGCATTGAGTATTTAAAATAATCTCCACATATCCAACCTCAACCATATGGAAAATTTGTAAACTAGTCCTGTCCATAGAATAAATATTATGTATTAGACACAGGAAGAATACATTTAAAATTGACAATGAGTTTAAACTTTAGCACACAATTTTTAACTAAATTAATTCAGTTTGTCTGCAGGGTTTTTCCAGCCTGAGAAGCAACATTTCAAATTCATAAAAAGTCCAAGATTAGTATGAAAAACAGATTTAAGGAAGTTGAATGAACAAATTTAAGAATCATAAAATATCAAATTGTTAGGGTTAACACCTGTTAAACATACATTAACAAAGACAGAAAAGACAAAAGAGTTAGATTCTTTTTCACTCGCGAGGAGAACGGACAGAGATGTGCTTCAGTTACAATCTCTTACCGCTCTGAAGCACATTTTGTCTGCTCCTCTATTTTATTGTTTCTAGGATCCCTAATCACAAGGACGCTGTAGCTCTAAAGGGAGGGGGCAAACAGCTACAGCGTCAAATGTTATTCACTAACTAACACACAATCATTCTGTACTAGATAATGTCCTTCCAGGCACAAAGATTAATAAAATATGTAGTGATCTTAGCAATGATGGTTTTATTGGAGGCCAGCAACTCAACCGAAGCAGAGCTCTTCACCAAGAGGTAAACCTGCAGGAAGATTTTGTTTCTGCTCTCTGTCAGTGAGGCCTTCTGAGAAAGGAATCAGAGTAAATCAACAATACAAGGAACATTCTTAATTCTATAATGAGATTAACTTTAAGGAAAGCATCAATTAAAGATACATTATAAAGATCAATGAGAATAACAAATAATTGATTAATAATATCACAATTTCTCCAACACAAATGATTCAGCAGAATATATAAAATTTCTCAGGCCATTCCGGAAAAAAAGCACCAGACTGTGTGAAATGTAAAACTACTTTTACAGTTTCCTACATTTTCAAATTTGATTAATAAATAGGAGATCATGTTGCATGTATCGCTTTAGTTTCGTCTCTCACAGCTGATGAATATTTCCTTGATTAGACTCACCTTATTCACAAAATCCCATAGCAACATCATTCACCAATCACAAGTGAAAATGCATGCAGTGAACTTTCTCCTTGGTTTACAGTCCTGACTAAATTGAGCCAATTGCTCTTTGAGAGTCTGATTAAACCGTTCAACCATACCATTCCCTCCTGGGTCATATGGGGAGGTTCTTTTCTTTGTCATCTGAAGTTTCTGACAAATGATGTGAATAATTTCAGACTCATATTGACGCTCCTTATCTGACAACAGCTCCTCAGGATCATCATGTTCAGGGATATACTGATCACAGAGTAACTGTGCTACTATGGCAATCTTTTGGTCAATCTTATAGCATAGACATTTACGTACTTGGTAAAATGGTCCTGTACCACAAACACATATCTATTACCAAGAGAGGTAACTAGAAGTTCAGTAATGTCAGGTTACTTAGTTACACCCAAAGTAAACCAAGAATGAATGGAAAAGTCCTCAGAATATTTCTCATTGAAGAAAGTATTATGGGGTAATAAACACAAACTGTTAATATAATGCACACAGAGACAAACATTAGCCATAAAAGAAAGCTACTTTTGCAAGTGCAAAAGTGAAAAAAGGACATTGTGAATGGCAAGATGCTTGAAAATCTGAAATATGTGTGGCTGTGCAGGGGAGCATGGAATAGCAGTTTTGACAAGATTTGGTGGAAAGATCATTTCAGTCTTTATGCCAGGATAGAAGTACAGGCCTGTACTGATCCAGTCCATGTTTTCTCACACAAACATAAGAGTCAGTGTGACATTCATACTTCCTGCTTGGTTAATTAACAATTAGATCTAACCTCCTGTTTGGGCAGTGACCATGGCTCTTTGGTTCTTGACCACAGGCAGTCGATCAACCTTGATGATGTAGAGCAGAAACTCCTCCTGGTTCAGGCAAGCATCATCTGTTGCCAGACTGAGGAGCAGATGCTCTTTAGGACATTTTAGAGAGGTACTCTCACTCACCTTGAAATAAAGTTCACATGAACATTTAGACACCAGAACTACTAAACACGGAGCCAATATGTTAGGTAATCAACATTTAGAAATACAATGAGGGAAAAAAGGATCTAAAAAAAGAAACAGTTTCTGCCTTTGGACCCACTGGGTATGCATCTGTTACATACACACTGACACCCAGATCTGCTCTAAATTCCTCAACAAGACTGTCTTTAGGTGGATTTGTTGACGTTATCAATGACTCCTTTCATTGTTTCTGATACACCTAAAGACTGGTTGCTCCTCCCAGCCAGGTGAGAGCATTATCTACCAGAGCAGGACAGAGGGTCAGGTAGGTCTCGTGGCGCAAGACCACGATTCTTCCTCGGCCGTACACAGAAGCACCCATGAAGATGTGACCCTGGCTGTTCATCACTACAGGAAAGGCAGCACCAAGTTACAGGAGAGTGCTTCAGCAACTGGAGTGCTGAAGGTCCATCTCCTGAATTCCTCTCATCAGAGCCTTATAGGCATCCTGAGGGTAAGACTGGGTCGACTCACTTGACACTGTGGGAGGAATTGTCTCTCTGCAGTTTGGATGAAGATGGTAAGGAATAAGATAAGTCATAGCTTCATAACATCATGCATACCTTGTACTTATCACCAAGCAAGAAAGACATGTTTACCTTTTTGGGAATTTATTATTCAAGTAATGTTAACTTGTAATTGCTGGACAACTACTGTATTGTCCAGCAATTCTGTAACCAGCTCTTCAGAAAGGAAAAGAGTTGAAGTAAGGAGAAAGTTATTTAATTGCAGCTAAAGACAAAGCATGTAGGGAGGGCCTTGAGTCACCATCCAGTCAACAGAGGACAGAAGGACTCTCCTTTAATAGGTGTGTTTGCTGAGCTTATTTCTCGTCAGTGTTCTGAGATACCAACTGTAGAGAAGTGACTATGGCCATTTGACTACATTTATGTATCGAGAATCTATCTCATAAAATAAACAATTTAGGTTGATCTACTCGCCAAATAATCTCCTTTTGCATGGAGGTCATGCAAGTTACAAGAAACACTTGATCCTTGTAACTTGCATGACCTCCATGCAAGCTACATGGAAGTCATTTGCATGGATGCCATGCAAATGACCCTCATTTGCATGGAGATTATTTGGAGGTGTTAGCACTCGATGATAAGATGTACATTGGTTGCCCGGGGGTGGTGGACTAGGAAACATTGCACTAACCCTAATTATCTTAGGGTTTGGGATAATTCACCTTGTTGACCAAACAATTGAGCAACTGGATCAATGCTAAAATATCCCCAAAACACACTACTAAAACTTGTAGTGTAGCTGAACTTGTTATATTTGAAAAGGGTGTGCCAACATAATTTTAATAACTATGGGTTAAGAACAGAAATTCACATGGGTACAGCCAATCAGGAAATTATTCACAGCATTTCACTTTTTTGATATTTTGTTATGTCACGGCCTTATTGCAAATTGCATTTAGTTAATCTCTCTCCAATAAATTCTACCCACATGCTTTTGGTTGTTGTTGTCACATGGAACATGTAACACGATATTAATAATTTATGGAGGCTCTGTATAAAGGCAGATGAGCAAATATATTTAGTAATACCATTTGGCCACAAGATAATGCCTTGGCAAAAAAAAAAAAAATCAAACTTAAGACTTTGTTTTTCTGCAGTTTTCCACATCAGAATACATAAACCAAGACTCAAAAGACTTTAAGACAAGAAAAACTAAGCAATGAGAGTGAGGTAGTTAGGTTTGTTGTTACTGATTGTCAACTTACCTCTGAGCTGGTTCTTGCAAAATGTGCAGTCGTAATGCCACTTTCACCCTGACCAACGTGGTTCCCCAGAACACCAAAATGAATCAAGAAGCCTGGAGGATCCATGTGTCTGACCTCACCACTCTTTTCCTTCAAAAGTGCTCAAAGGTGGTAACAGGTCTACATACTGCTACAAACAAATGTTTGACAGGAAGTCAAATGGTTGCTATTTCCTGCCACGTGCATCTAGCATCCTCTGATTTTAATTTGAAATACAACTAACAAGGACAAAATATTTATTTATTTTTATTTTTTTAACTTAATGGGTACAAAAGGCAGAATATCCTCAGAGAATTCAAAGTTTGATTCGCATACCATGTCTTGCTGGGAAAATACATAGTCTGTTGCAGTTCCTCCACCTCAGGTGGTTGCAGCTGCTGCAGTTGATCAGCACCCTTGGAATGTGGTAGTGCTGTTGGTATTGCACTACATCTACGTTTCTCATCTGGAGGAATATTTAATTAAAGCCCTCCTGTTGTCTTCGGGTCATTTTGACCCGAGGCCTGGTTTTGGTTATTTTATTTTTTTCGTCAAGTTCACATTTGAATTGCTTCAGCATAAAATTCCATCTGAGTTGTGAACACCGTAGTTCTGATGCAGGACTGTTAGATTTAAAGTTGCTGTATGCAGCTGCAATTAAAAAAATGTTTTTTAAAGGCTTGTTCTCGGTCGACATGAGCCGAGGACAACAGGAGGGTTTCTCTACCCTGATGTTGAATTAGAGGTGAACTTTCTCCTTGGTATTGTAATTTGGCACCTCTTGTTTCCGCTGTAGTTAGTGATTCTGAAATAATCATTAACTATGACTAGTTAGTGGTCCATTCCATGGAGGATGGATCATGCATCCTCCAAGACTGTTGAATGGTTACATCATTTGTTGAGCAAATGACAAAGTTCTAAATGATTCTGATGTGTTAAAGGCATGTAGCACATATGTGTCACAACTCCAACTCCCAACTTTAAATGAGCCTCCAGAATTTCAGGATATGTGTTGAAGCATCTTCAGGAAAGTGAAAGTCTGGATATCGTCAATTTAAAGCTTCTATGTTTAAGTTGAACATAGAAGGTTCAAAACATGGATCTTTTGGCTTCTGACATTTACTATATAGTTATATTTTTACATCAGCAGGTTTTTTCATGAGGTGATTATAGTGTTTTTTTTTGTTTGTTTTTTTAAATAAATTGTGATATAAGTACCCACCTGTATAAGTAATAAAAATCATCAAGACATTCATACAATTGGTGAATATATGTAATCTTACTTAACTTGCATGGAAATTGAGCATAAAAAGTGAAAATGTTTGCACAGTATGTCCACTTTATAAATAAATGCTTTTGATGACATCCTGCCTCACTGAAAACAACCTGATCATGAGCTTAATTTCTCTATGACCTGTGATTTATTTTTCAATCAAATAATAAGTCTTTCAGAAATTATTTTTAAATTAAAATGAGACTCAAAATAGTATAAGTGTACAGTTTTAAGTGTATGTCCTTCTAGGGTCAAAGGTTATGTTTTTTATGTCTTGGAAAGAGGAAAGACATAAAGGAACCAACATTAAATATATTTGCTAAAAAGTTTGACATTTCTGAAAAAATATAAAGCTTCAACTTTTTTTCAAATTAATTTTTGCAAACGGTTTATTGTCACATGCAAAAATTACTTCCATACAAGTCATATAATCCCTTTTTCAGAAATCTCACCCTCCCTTCTACATACATTATCAATGATTCATTTTCTCAACAACGTCAGGAAAGGTAATCATTAATGATTTGCCACAGCTGTAGATAAAAGTCTGTCGGCACATCCTCTTCATTTTGAGAGGTAAATTTCTGTTCCCTGCCAGTCAAAGAAAAATCATCTGCAGATCTGCAGCTTGCACAGTGAGTACATGTATTCCTCATAGTTGTACCAGTAAACTAAAACAACTTGTAGGTTTTCTTCTCAATTTCGAATACAGGAAAGACAGATTATTCCTAGCTCTCATCAAAAGAGTCTTAGAGCTTGTAAGCTTCTGTAAAGACTGTAAGTTTGAAATAAAAAGCATTTTGATTTGAAATTTATAGAAAAATCTCTACTCAAAAACAATATTTTGAATAGTGACTGTGTATCCTCCAAAAAACATCTAAAAGCAATTAGCCAGTTTCTAAATTTTTAAGCAACCAAAATATTCCTACTTTCAGCTTGAATAAATGAAACTAAAAGTATTGTTCTAAAAAATTATATTCAGTCCCATAAACAATTATGGCACTAAAGATGATTAAAAACACTCAATTTGCACATCAGTTTATTACAAAATTAATTTTGTTCTAAGTTAATTAACTATTGGCATTTTTTTAATAACTTTTGATGACAAATCGGGCTGCTGTACACTGGAATTTCTCCGTAATCTTGTCAAAATCTGGGGAATTTAAGAAGAATATAAGTGTTTCAACAATCACTTTGAGCCTTGCTGTCGAGCAGTGTTTCTCAATTCTGGTCCTCAGATCCTCTGCCCTGCATGTTTTAGGAATCCTCAAATCCAGGGCTGGAGGGCCGGTGTCCTGCAGGCATGTTGAACTAGGCACACATCTAGAAGTTGCAGACCGTCCGGCCTGGATTTGAAGACCTCTGATTTAGTTGTTTAGGAGAACTTGAACTTGATGGCATGCAAATGAGGTCATGCAATCATTTGACTGAGGTTATCTGGACCAGACACATCTAAAACAATAAAAACAGACCAGAACTGAGAAACTCTGCTGTGGAGACAAAGACCATCTAATGTATTTTCAGGAGGAGAAGGGTTTCTCTGTGGATTTTGTCATTTTAACCCAGTAGAGCTCTCTGGTGATAACTTAAGAGAGTACAGCTGACCATAAGGCACCTTCAATCATGCACATTGAATTCAAAATCTTGAATCTGAGGTTCTGAAATTTTATAAGTCATTTTGCGACCATAAAAGCCACTGTATGATCACTTGTGTCCTCAACTGATGCTGAAGACTTTTTTTCTCTCTGTCTGAAATAAATATTTAAACTTACAACTTCAAGAACCAGGTAAGAGTCAAGCATGTGCAAATCAAATGCACACATTTCTAGCTGGGCCAGAAATGTGTGCATTTCTGGCCCGCTATGAGCCTTTCTCCACTGTGGAGTGGAGCACATCCCACATTCTGCATAGATTAGATCCAGCTATGGTTTGGAGAGCAGCTAATTTGTAATAATTGATCATATTTTGGCATCTTTATCACTGAATACTGTACATGTAGAAATTTGACATTTGACAATGTACATTGGAAATTATATTTCAACCAATTGGACTGATGTTCTTGGATATGGAGCATGAGAAAAGAAAGAAAAACAGAAGCTTATAAAACAAACTTGTATGAACTTGTTCAGAAACATCATTCCAAACATTTTTTTCTCTTTGGTAAATTTAAACCCAGAGGACCAGATAGGATTTTCACGCAAGGAGGCCCACGCAAGGAGGACAAACAAGAAAGTGAAGCATTATGTGGTGTGGGAAGATTTGTAAGTTGATCAACATGAGAGAGGCAGGAAACTATAAGATCTGCATCTTCTAGCTGCTCCTTTTTCACAAAAAAATGTATGTAAAACTGCATGCCAATGGACATTATTGTGTATTTTTTGGTAATGTTTCTATTGTTTATGGTCTGAAACAAATAAAAGGCTGCACAAGTATGAGCTTCTTTGACCATTAAAGTGAACCTAAAATCTCAGAAGACTGCAAAGTCATTGCGTGAGGAGACAGAAAAGGTAATATCTCTGAACTAAATGTTCATTGGACAATCACTGAATCCCTCCCTGTTTTTTCTCTTGTTCGCTTTTCCTTGGAAAAAGAATAAAAAGGTGTTTCGTGTCAGTAAACTATCTTCATCAGAAACTGCTTGGAAAGCTGCACATTGGGACAGGTTTCTGTTTTTAGAGATTTCAAGTTGCACACAGGTAAAAACAGCTATATTGATTCTATTGACAAAATGCTTTTTTAAGAAACACAAGCTAAGAATTATACTGGTATATCAAATTTTACAAATGTTAAGTCTACATTTTTGTATCTAGCTTAAACACAACTAGCAGTTAGTCATTACTGGCTTGATGATGTTCAATTAAATGACTTAATTTAATTTATTTTAATTTAATCCAAAATTTTTGTTATTAGATAGTAAGTAACCTGCTTTTGAACTAAATTATTAACTCACATTAAGTTAATGTAAATCCTTTATTTTAAAATATTACACTCACAAAAGTCCTTGCCAATTTATTATGCAATACTTTTTATTCACAAAACTGTTTTTCATAACCCAACAGTGAAATGACTATTAATTAAGCTAATTTAACTGGTGCTATATTTACACAAATTTGGGAACAATATTATTTATAAAAGTCAATTTATGTTCGGAATATGTTTCTGATTCTTATGTAGTTAATGATCTTTTTTCTTTTGTAGAATCAGATTAATTGTAAACATATTAACGTTTGAACATGATTAAGAGGTTATTAAAGACAGTATTATACAAGTTATTAAATTTTTTGGTAGCAAAATTTGGTGGGAAAGGTGTGGCAGCCTCGCTCGCCTAGAATCCTTCAGTGAAGAATCCAACATTTATTTTAGATTTTGTGTTCATTCCTTGAAAGAGTACCAAATCAGTCTGACCAACATTTGAATTGTGTATCCTTTTAACATAGCGTTAAAGTATGAGGGGCTGTTTAGGACAAAAACTATGAAGACTCATACACATACACAAAATATTAAAATTGCACATATATACTATTAAAATGTCACATACATATACAATTTTTCTCTCACATATACAATATACTAAAATTTTGCATATACACTATTAAAATATTACGCACATAAATGTTTTCTTTCTCACATGCAGACATAAAAGATTAAGTTTGCACATATAAACTACCGGTAATAAAATACTGCATGCACATGCACTTTTTTCTCGTATGCACGCAAACAGGACTAAAATTGCACATATACACTACTAAAAAAATCACACACACCCATACACACAAAGCATACAGACATGCTATTCTGAATGATAAGTCAAAAATGATATTACATCTGGAGTAAGGTACATTACAGCTGGAATAAGGTACATTACAATTGGAGTAAGGGACGTTACATCTGGAGTACGGTATGTTACATCTGGAGTAAGGTACATTACATCTGGAGTAAGGTACATTACAGCTGGAGTAAGGTACGTTACAATTGGAGTAAGGGACGTTACAGCTGGAGTACGATACATTACATCTGGAGTAAGGTATGTTACATCTGGAGTAAGGTACATTACAGCTGGAGTACGGTACATTACAATTGGAGTAAGAGACGTTACATCTGGAGTAAGGTACATTACAGCTGGAGTAAGGTACATTACATCTGGAGTAAGGGACGTTACATCTGGAGTACGGTATGTTACAGCTGGAGTAAGGTACATTACATCTGGAGTAAGGTACATTACATCTGGAGTAAGGGACGTTACATCTGGAGTATGGTATGTTACAGCTGGAGTATGATACATTACAGCTGGAGTAAGGGACATTACATCTGGAGTAAGGTACATTACATCTGGAGTAAGGTACATTACAGCTGGAGTAAGGGACATTACATCTGGAGTAAGGTACATTACAGCTGGAGTAAGGGACATTACATCTGGAGTAAGGTACATTACATCTGGAATAAGGGACGTTACATCTGGAGAACGGTACATTACAGCTGGAGTAAGGGACATTACATCTGGAGTAAGGTACATTACAGCTGGAGTAAGGGACGTTGCATCTGGAGTACGGTACATTACAGCTGGAGTAAGGGACATTACATCTGGAGTAAGGTACATTACATCTGGAATAAGGGACGTTGCATCTGGAGATCGGTACATTACAGCTGGAGTAAGGGACATTACAGCTGGAGTAAGGTACATTATAGCTGGAGTAAGGTACATTACAATTGGAGTGGGACGTTACATCTGGAATAAGGGACATTACATCTGGAGAACGGTACATTACAGCTGGAGTAAGGTACATTACATCTGGAGTAAGGTACATTACAGCTGGAGTAAGGGACGTTACATCTGGAATAAGGGACGTTACATCTGGAGAACGGTACATTACAGCTGGAGTAAGGTACATTACATCTGGAGTAAGGTACATTACATCTGGAGTAAGGTACATTACAGCTGGAGTAAGGTACGTTACAATTGGAGTAAGGGACGTTACATCTGGAGTAAGGTGCATTACATCTGGAGTAAGGTACATTACAGCTGGAGTAAGGGACGTTACATCTGGAGTAAGGTACGTTACAGCTGGAGTACGATACATTACATCTGGAGTAAGGTACATTACATCTGGAATAAAGGACGTTGCATCTGGAGAACGGTACATTACAGCTGGAGTAAGGGACATTACAGCTGGAGTAAGGTACATTATAGCTGGAGTAAGGTACATTACAATTGGAGTGAGGGACGTTACATCTGGAGTACGGTATGTTACATCTGGAGTAAGGTACGTTACAGCTGGAGTAAGGGACGTTACATCTGGCGTAAGGGACGTTAAATCTGGAGTATGGTACATCACAGCTGGAGTAAGGGACATTACAGCTGGAGTAAGGTACATTACATCTGGAGTAAGGTACATTACATCTGGAGTAAGGGACATTACATCTGGAGTAAGGTACATTACATCTGGAGTAAGGTACATTACATCTGGAATAAGGGACGTTGCATCTGGAGATCGGTACATTACAGCTGGAGTAAGGGACATTACATCTGGAGTAAGGTACATTACAGCTGGAGTAAGGTACATTATAGCTGGAGTAAGGTACATTACAGCTGGAGTAAGGGACGTTACATCTGGAATAAGGGACGTTACATCTGGAGAACGGTACATTGCAGCTGGAGTAAGGGACATTACATCTGGAGCAAGGTACATTATAGCTGGAGTAAGGTACATTACAGCTGGAGTAAGGGACGTTACATCTGGAATAAGGGACGTTACATCTGGAGAACGGTACATTACATCTGGAGTAAGGTACATTACATCTGGAGTAAGGTACATTACATCTGGAGTAAGGTACATTACAGCTGGAGTGAGGTACATTACATCTGGAGTAAGGAACGTTACATCTGGAGTAAGGTGCATTACATCTGGAGTAAGGTACATTACAGCTGGAGTAAGGGACGTTACATCTGGAGTAAGGTACGTTACAGCTGGAGTACGATACATTACATCTGGAGTAAGGTATGTTACATCTGGAGTAAGGTACATTACAGCTGGAGTGAGGGACGTTAATCTGGAGTAGGTACATTACAGCTGGAGTAGGGACATTACAGGTATTACATCTGGAGTAAGGTACATTACAGCTGGAGTGAGGGACTTTAATCTGGAGTAAGGTACATTACAGCTGGAGTAAGGACATTACAGCTGGAGTAAGGGACGTTACATCTGGAGTAGGTACATTACAGCTGGAGTAAGGTACATTACATCTGGAGTAAGGACATTACAGCTGGAGTGGAACATCTAAGGGACACACAATTACATTACACTGGAGTAAGGTACATTACAGCTGGAGTAAGGGACGTTGCATCTGGAGAACGGTACATTACAGCTGGAGTAAGGGACATTACATCTGGAGTAAGGGACATTACATACTGGAGTAAGGTACATTACATCTGGAATAAGGGATGTTACATCTGGAGAATGGTACATTACAGCTGGAGAAAGGGACATGACATCTGGAGTAAGGTACATTACAGCTGGAGTAAGGTACATTATAGCTGGAGTAAGGTACATTACAGCTGGAGTAAGGGACGTTACATCTGGAATAAGGACGTTACATCTGGAGAACGGTACATTACAGCTGGAGTTAGGGACATTACATCTGGAGTAAGATACATTATAGCTTGAGTAAGGTACATTACATCTTGAGTAAGGTACATTGCAGCTGGAGTAAGGGACATTACATCTGGAGTAAGGGACATTACATACTGGAGTAAGGTACATTACATCTGGAATAAGGGACGTTACATCTGGAGATCGGTACATTACAGCTGGAGTAAGGGACATTACATCTGGAGTAAGGTACATTACAGCTGGAGTAAGGTACATTATAGCTGGAGTAAGGTACATTACAGCTGGAGTAAGGGACGTTACATCTGGAATAAGGGACGTTACATCTGGAGAACGGTACATTACATCTGGAATAAGGGACGTTACATCTGGAGAACGGTACATTAAAGCTGGAGTAAGGGACATTACATCTGGAGTAAGGTACATTGCAGCTGGAATAAGGGACATTACAACTGGAGTAAGGGACATTACAGCTGGAGTAAGGGACATTAGAGCCCTAAGTGAATCTCTGAGCACTTGAGGAGGGAGCCATAGAGAACGGCTGGCCGAAATTAGAGTTCATAAATCGATGAAGCTAAACGTTGCTTACTCCTTGGATTATGATGTAAAACTTGCTGTTTTACATTTATCAAATCAATTAAGATATATTAATTTTATTCCCATATATTGATTATTTCCCTGGACTTTGCTTGATATAAGTTATGATTTAAGAAAATAATGCTGAAAATGGCACTGACCAATGATTCATGCCTCACATAAAACGTACTAATGACAGAAATCCTCCATGCTAATTGGGGCGCTGGGCAAACAAATCAAGACTGTGTTTTCTTCTTAAGGTTTTAAATATACTCATGGGAAAAATAGGTTTTTGTAGAAACAATGCTATAATTTTAAAGTACAAGTAGCTGAGGAAGTTTTACTTAATTTTTATTAAGACAATTAAATTATTTACTTAATATTTGTGAATGTGTTAGCATGACAATGCTCTGTCATTGCTAACAGGGGGTTCATCATCAAACCCCCTCTGTTTTGTAGGAGTGGTGCATTGTGGTGGTATGACTCACATGATACAGCATTTTTAACTTGAACATTTTGTTTCTATTGCAGGAAGAGACACTGACACACCATCTCTTTGGAACAACTATCTTTTATCCATTACCTTCTTCAAACAAACTACCCAGCATTAATTCTTCCCATCATGTCCAACCAATCGACCCAGTCTTACCCTCAGGATGCCTATAAGGCTCTGATGAGAGGAATTCAGAAGGTGGACCTTCAGCACTCCAGTGTTCCTTGTAACTTGGTGCTGACAGGAGATGCCTTTCCTGTAGTGATGAACAGCCAGGGTCACATCCTCATGGCTGCTTCTGTGTACGGCCGAGGAAGAATCGTGGTCTTGAGCCACGAGACCTACCTGACCCTCTGTCCTGCTCTGGTAGATAATGCTCTCACCTGGCTGGGAGGAGGGAAGTCTGCCAACCTGTCTTTAGGTGTATCAGAAACAATGAAAGGAGTTGTTGAAAACCTCAACAGATCCACCTACAAAGTTAGACTTGTTGAGAAATTTAGAGCAGATCTGGGTGTCGGTGTGTATGTAACAGATGCGTACCCAGTGGGTCCAAAGGCAGAAGAGCTGATAGCCTTCATGAAAGCAGGGGGAGGCTTGCTGATTGGTGGACAAGCTTGGTGGTGGGCTTCACAGAATGAGGATAAAAATCTAATCCTTGAGTTTTCAGGGAATAAAGTTACAGGAGTAGCAGGAATCTACTTTAGTGCTCAGTATGGAAAGGCAGAAAATCTTCCCATTTCCCCAGAGATCCCATCTTCCTGGAAGACAATAGAGTAAGTGTAAACTCTTGTTTGACTGCAAATTCAGACATTTCTTTTTTAATATGTGATCATTCTTTAAATGTACGTTTTAGAAATCCAATAGAGAGCTTGATTCTCAAATTATCCATCATACAGTTTTTATGGTGTTAATATTCAAGACTTATTTTCTCCTTCACTCATCATCACAGCTTTACATTTCTGTCTCTATCTTTTTGCTACACAGTTGTGCGATGGATTTCAAAAAAGATCTGGAGTTCTTGCTGAATGGAATTTCAGATTTTGATATTAAAGGAGATGGACTTCCCTCTGAGGCTTTGGTCCATGGCCCTCTTGCTTTTCCCATTGGTACCACAGATAAAAGAAAGGCATTCCTGGCAGGAAGCTACTATGGTCGGGGACGGATTATTGTGGTGACACATGAGTCATTTCTGCAATACGAGGTGCAGTAAAGGAGAGCTGAAAGTTTGTTTTTGTTTCACTAAAAAATGAATTATGATTTATGCAGAATGAACTATTATACTGTCAAAATATTTATATGCTAACATTACAATGAAGGGGTCTTCAAATCCAGGCCTTGGAGGCCAGTGTCAACTTTCAGATGTGTCTCTGCTTCAAAATGTGAGTCAAATAATAAAGTCATGAGCAGGACTCCTGATAACTTGTCCTCTTACTCAGAATAAAATTCAGCCTTTTGATTCAGGCATGTTGGATCAACAGCACTTCTGAAAGTTGCAGGACACCAGCCCTTAAGGCCTGGAGTTACATAATGTATGGTTTCATATTCTACATCATGGTTATTGGCTGAGAACTACGAATACTTTTAGTGTCTCTTCCTCTAAATATCTTCTCTTTTCTAACAGAAACTGGCATCATTTTGGAAGAACGCATTTGACTGGTTGGATCAAGGCAGAAAAGGAGTGGTTGGATTTGAGCCATGCATCAAACCTTTATCCAACTTAGGTTTGACATGCAAGAAGACAAACTTCAGGGAGGAAGTCCTGGAGCTGAGTGTGTTTGTGTGCACAGCATACATTGACATGGACGCTGAGTTGATCCAAAACTTTGTGGTCAACGGAGGAGGCCTGCTGATGGGTGGACATGCCTGGTACTGGGCATCGACACACATTGGCCAGAACCCCATGCAAGACTTCTCAGGTCTGATGCCACTTTTCTTCACATTTAAAATGAGCCATCAGGCTAATAAACCAACACAATAAAACAGAAATAGATTCTGTAAGGAGCTGAGCGAATATCAAATTTATGTGAGATTTGGAACTCAACATGAAGAAAAACTACTTCAAAATATTAGTGGAAACATCTAGAAAGCTGGTCAGTCATAATAAATGAACCTTTGATAGCTGTAATGCCAATTCATGTTTTCGTACATATTATCAGATGGAAGGTTAATAATTATTGTCATGCTATTTTTTTGTCAAAATGAAAGTACATTGAAATTATTTTCTAAATAAATAACACTAATTTATTATATTTTCAGAGATTCCTTGTCTTACTCCTATTTCAGACACAAATGTCTATTTGAATTATAATTTTAAGTCTTTATCTGCCAGGGGTTTGAATAAATTTGGGCTTTGCTACATTATGGTGCTATTATATGCCTGTGTAGAAGTTCCTTTTTTATGTGCAATTTGAACTGACTAATATCTAATTCAATAAGTCAAACTAAGATGTCAGATTTACAAGTTTATTCTGCACAATTTTCTTGTTCCAGGAAACAAAATTTTGAGCAAAATGGGCTTGGGCTTATTAACAAACACCATAAAAGCAGATGTCTACAAAGCTCCTGATCCAACTCAAGTCAACAAGTTCCATTTCCGTCATCTCCTGCATCGATTTGCTGGTCATGCTCTGGAGGGCATAAAACTCACAAAAGAAGAAGAAGAGAACCTAAAGAAACTGGGATCAGAGACTGCCTTGTTCTTGAAGATAGAGGATTATGACTGCATCTCCTACGTACAGATTCTGTCCCTTCTGACTGACATTTTAAAGAAAGAGGGCGTCCAACAGGTGGGAATTATACAATTAATTTTCTGTTTCCTTCTCTACTTTAAATCTATTCAGTTTAAAAATAAAATATAATTGGGTATTTCAAAATAGAAAGAAATGCAAAAAATTATACATACATTATACATCAAAAATGTTAGAAACAACCTTTTTGTCCATTTTCAGCTGTAAGTCTTTGTGTTTCTTCTCTCCTATATTGTTATGGACGTATGATTCGGTGGCCTTACTATGTCTCTTTTATGGGCATGTGCACACAGTTACAGAACCAAAAAACATATAGGACTGGCGACAATCAATAATTTATGTTAGTTTATGTTATCCTGGAATCCTGAATAAAAAGGGGCACATATTTATAAAATCCCTTATTTTATGTTAAATATTTTTATTTAATAGTTACTATTTTTTAAAAAAATCTGTTTTACTTTGACATTGAAGTTTTTTGTAACTATTTTTTTTTATGTTACAAAACCTTGCTGATTGTGATTTAATTAAAAAAGCAACAAAAGGAGTACAACATGCCAGGGGGTGAAAACTAGTTGTAATAAATATCAATTCTTTTGCAAACCACTGGTTTCTAAGAGTTAATATGAACTATATCATTTCAAGGCGAGTGAGCAGAATCCTGTGAAGAGTCCCAAAGAGCATGGACTCCTCAGTCTGGCAACCAGCGTGTACGATGCTTCCCTAAACCAGGAGGAGCTCCTGCCTTACATCATAAAGGATAACCCGCCACTGCCTGTGGTCAAGAACCAACAAATCATGATCACTGCACAAACAGGAGGTCAGAACCCACTGTTGTTACTGAATTAAAAAAAAAAGTGAAAACATATTTTTGTATAATGGTGAAAATGAAATAACTCATTGACTATTTTTCTTGATTGTGTGACAGAACATGAGGAGTGGATCAGTACAGGCCTGTATCTTTCTCCTGGCATGAAGACAGAAATCATCTTACCAGCAAAGTTTGTGAACAAGAGATGGAAGGTGATATACATGAACTCAAACTATTGCTGCCTTTATTTCCCTAAACATTATACTAAATCCTAAAGCATTTGAATGAAATGTAATTCTAATACTACGAACATTAGTGCTTTAAAAGGAACATGTAATGCATAATCCACTGTTTTTGCCCTAAAATATATTTTGGAGTGCAGAAAAGTTTTTATCTCTCCCATTGCTGTGTAGATATCTTTATATTTTGTTTGGGACATATTTTCAATTTGTTCAGCTTTCTTGACTACTTATGTTTTTTGAACAATCACAATATTTCCTACGGAACAGGTAATTAAGTTCTGTAAACTAGTAATACTTGATCTATATCACCTTTAGATCCAAATAGGCTGCCAAAGTGATGAGCTGCATGACGAGAAGTTACGGAGAGCTCCATATGTTATCAAGAGTTTTCCTATTGCATCAGAGAGGGTGCAGGTGTGGAACTTGTGGGGAGGACTCATCTACCTGCTGGCTCCACGTGACGTGAAGGTGGAGAACGAAAAGATTGTGGTTCAGGAGGCGATCACTGCTCCTTATTACAAGTCTGGTGAGTGTGTCTCATGCTCCATAAGGGGATATTTTGATAATCCAATGGATTTGAAATGCTCTAAGATTCCTGGTATACTGTGTAAGTCTCATCCACTGGTTGGTTGGTAACTTAAAATGTAAAAATACAATTTTTCCACTTCTCTTCCATTTCGATTGCAATTGTTCCTGTTTGTTTGGGTGTGCTATGCATTTTGTTTGAAAACCCAACTGTAACGATCAACTTAGAAAATGAAATGATAACTTTCCATGATAAAAAGGAGTATTGCTAGGATCACTTTTTTAGTGTCAGTAAGGAATTTCATTTTTAGGGATTCTCACATCTTTACCAATGGTGCCAGATATGGAGATTGCTCTATTCCATAAAACAAACAAGACTCTGGTGTATGCAGTCATAATAAAACTGAGTTTGTTCCTTTCAGAAGCTTGCACACTGGCAAAATTTGATAGATAACACAATCATGGAGACATCACAAGAAACACAGAAAACTTCCAGCTAGATTGTAACTAGATATAAAGCATATCTTATTTATAAGCAAATATGCTTATAAATAAGAATGGATTGCAGCCTTTTTTCTCACGATTTGAAAATAAGGTGTCTTTAAATCTGACACTTTTTCCTTTATAGGTCACTTAGGTTAATCATATATTTTGTTAATATCAGAATAGCAAGCAAGATAATTGTTTGATTATTTTCTCTAAAGCAGTGCTTCTCAACGTTTTTTCGGCCAGCACTCCCCTATTCATTGTCCAGGTCCCTTACCGCCCCCATCAAAGAAATTGTAAGCTACTTTGCACTGATTAGTTTAGAGTTCATATTACTATCACTATTGTTGATGTTTTGATGTCTTTTAATTTTAATAAATGGACATTCAAGTTAAAATTAGTAGGCCTAAATGTAGCCAATCACAGTGGAAAAAAAATATTTTTGTTCTGTGCAAGTTTCTGATGTTAGTTGCTAAATATTGCACAAAATGACCAGATAAAAGATGTACAACAATACCAGTTTAAACTTTGATCTAGTTGCAAAAAGACAGTGCTTTACAACATTAAAACATGGATAGAGCTGCAATTATGCCCGTCATAACTCTTCTTCTCTTCAGTGTTTCTGTTAGTTTCTGATGGTGCAACTCTGTGCTGCCTTCCAGAGAATGGGACATCTGTCCATTTTGAATTGCAAATTGCTTGCTATGGTATATTCTCTATGAATAAAAGATTGAAATATTTCAAATTAGATCTCAAGAGAAGCTTTCTTAAGTATATTTCTTTTTGGAAAATATACAATTCACATTGTGTACAGTTTTGCCCTTGTATTGTTATTGGCTTGTTTTTCCAGGTTTTTCTAAGTTGCTTTCATCACAACATCCGTCCTTGTTTTCTTCAGGTGCAACTAAAGAAGCTGATTGGTCCTCTCTGCGCAAAGCTCCAGCACCCTGGGCAGAAATGGAGTTTGAGAACATCATCCTAACTGTACCTTCACACATCATTCGTGACCTGGAGAATGTTTTGGAGGTGGAAAAACTCTGGAATGCCATCATGAAGGGTGTTGCAGATCTGGCTGTCATTCCACAAAAATTTATCCGCAAAGAACGCATTGTGGCTGATGTGCAGATATCTGCAGGTAAGGAGGCAGGAAATGTAAAAAGAAGTTAAATTATTGTTGCATTTGCATAATTAGGATGAATAATTCTGCAGAAATTTCTTTTAATCTTAGCCAAGCAACTTAAAGTGACAAATCTAAACAAATACTTAATATAAAGTAAACACAAATTGTATTTTTGATATTTAAGATTTCCATAGAAAACGAGTTAAAATATAATTCAAAACTATCAAGATGCGACACTTTCCTTTACAACACAAGTCTTTACTTATTTTATGTGCTACATGAAAGATCACAGTACACCATAGCAATGAAACTTGTAACAGAGTCATGCTATAATCAGCTTAAGGACTTCTTTTTGTCTAAATATAATTTGATTCAAAATCATTAAATTTAAGGTGGAGAAAGAAGACAACATTGTTGCTGTGAGGAAAGCAGCTGACTGAAAATGAGAAAGATGTCGATTATTTTCTGATCTTAGTTGCACTGAAATCAAAACTAAATTATGTTTCCTCCTCCCAGGTTGGATGCATTCAGGCTATCCTATCATGATGCACTCGTCCATAGGAGCTGAGCTGTTCAACCCGCAAGATGCCCGGACCAAAGGCCTGTGGGGAGAAATTCATGAACTGGGGCACAACCAACAGAGAAGCCCCTGGGAGTTTCCACCACACACTACAGAGGCCACATGCAACCTGTGGTCAGTGTATGTGCATGAGGAGGTTCTGGGACTTGACAGAGCTAAGGTGACTTAATATTTTTAGACTGAGTATTTTAAATGTGAGTTTTATCCAGTTGTTTATGACTATTTATGCCTCAATTAATCACATCCCCCAAATCACAGAGAAGAAGCAAGAACAGAAGTTCAGGAACACTGAAAAGCAGCAACCTTTTGTTGTTGAACAACAAATATTCTTCACATCATACAGCAGATTGCACTTTACTCTGGCAGATCAGACTTGTACTGTGTAGATAGTGATGTTAATAAGTTTGTTTCATTTACAGATTGTCAGATTGACGTCAAATAATTGTATTTGGTGTCAAGTCTAGAATTGCCTTTAGACTCTATGTACATGTTGCAACAAACATGAATCTGGTAATAATCAGATAATGTTTATCTAAGTCACAGAGTGAACTTTTGTTACCTTTATCTAAAATGAAGTCATTGTCTTTAATCCAGGCTCATCCCTCCATCACTGCAGCCAGTCGAAAGCGCTCTGTAGAGGAATACATTGAAGGAGGCAAGAAGCTCAGCGACTGGAAGGTTTGGACCGCCCTGGAGACATACCTGCAGGTCAGTGAACAAACAAATAAAAATAATTTAAAGAAAAAACAGTAAAGGTTTGGTCGAATGTTGGTCTTCCAGTAGGTGAATTGATAGTTTTGAATGATTGAATTGTGAATTCAAGACAACAATTTTCAGCCTACTCTTTAATCGCAGAGGACACATTATTGAATACAATCAATGGTATGAATGCTGATGTACAATAAAAAGCCCTTTTGAAATAAAAAGACAGAACAGTCACTGTGCTTATATCACATCTGCATAATCCTGTTTTCTTCATTGTAGCTCCAGGAAAAGTTTGGCTGGGATGCCTTTAAGAAGGTGTTTGCTACGTACCATGACATGACCAACCATCCCAGTGACAATGAAGGGAAGATGAACCTGTATGCTGAGACTCTCTCCAGAGTCGTGAACATGAACCTGACTGGATTCTTCAAAGCCTGGGGATGGCCCATCCAAAAAACCACTGAGAAGAAACTCTCCAACCTGCCTCTCTGGACCGATCACTCAATGGCCTAACATGATCGCCTATAACTAAAACTCCCCCTGGGTCGAGTTTAAACTGTAACCTGGTTTAATTGATAATGATTGCTGTGGTTTGTTTTTTCTTCCTAGTATAATCCTATAATTATTGAATGATTATTGAAATGAATCATGATTATCAAGGACTGATTTTTGTGGTGATTGATTTTAAAGATGATATTAACAAGATTTAATATTTTGCTGCAGAAATTAAAACACTAGAGAAGAGTTAGCTTAAAGACAATTAAGACAATTAAAGCATCATGAAAAGCAGTTAATGATTCAGTTTGTAAACATGTTGGCCAATGACTCATAAAAAACAGCATAACAAATATCACTTCATTATCTTTTGTTGTACTCATATATCACAATTCTAATTTCTTTAAGTAATTACTGTTCTCTCTTGTCTGTACATTTAAAAACTCAGTGCCTTTGTGTTTTCCAGTTCTGACTTGTAATGTCTTAATGGTTGTTTGTCACAACTGTTCTGCTAACCACAATAAAATTGTCTTTGTTGACAAGATATTGTCTCAAGACATTACAAAGATTGATATTGCATTTTATTGTGTGGCTCTAACCCTTAACTGAAGAATGAAAAGAGAGATCTAAAGAAATGACATCTGAAAATGTAAAGGATAAAACTATTGAGCTTAATCAGGATGAATGTGTCTATAGCAACTTAAACACATTCAACAAGTGGACTGATCTTCAGGTATGATTGTAATGATCATCTGGAATAATCAGCAGTGAGTTGGAAGTTTCTCTGAACTCTTTGACCTGTGGTGTATTGATGGGGCTTTAGTTAACTTTAAAATGGCTATGTCAAGTCAGCAACAAGACAGTTTAAAAATGCTTTGCCTCATGAAAACATCATACAGTTATCAATTATGAAACAAGCAGTAAACTTTACATCTTGTCAAATACATAAGAAATATGTCAAAAAAAATGTTACAGTAAAAACTCGGATGGCAGAGACTCATTTTTAAAAAAGTTTATTTCATACAGATCTGTGCAGCGATCTGGGGAAAATCAAAGTTGATAGAAGAATTACCCAAGAGCCATGAAGACAAGCTATCTGTCATAAACATTCGAGTCGTACCATTTTTGACTTTTCTCACTACATGCCTTTAATCTTGCCAACATAATTAAAACTTTATGGATTAAGAACAGGAAGTCATATGTGAACAGTGCATCTGGAAAGTATTCACAGCGTTTCACTTTTTTGACATTTTGTTATGTTACGGCCTTATTCCACATTGCATTAAGTTAATCTCTTTCCAATAAATTCTACCCACATACTTTGGCTTGTCCTGCTGAACGATTTACTTGCCACTGCTTTTCCAAATTAAATCCATTTGTGTAAACGTCTCAAAGATGATCAATAAAAACAGATCAGTTTTGAGTTTCAAACAAAGCTGCAAATACTTGAATATGTGATTTTTTTGTATTAATTTAAAAAATACTCAGCGTTTATTCCACATTGTAATAACAGAGAACACGTGTGTAATATTTTGAAGAAAGATATTCTTTTAATACGTAACAAAGCTCTTACATAAAATGTGGAACACCTGAAGCAATGTGAATACTTTATAGAGGGACTGTATAAAGGCAGATGAGCAAATAAATTTAGTAAAACTATTTGGCAAAAAGATAATGCCTTGGAAAAAAACAGTGAACTTCAGACTTTGTTTTTCTGCAGTTTTTTGCATAAACCAAGACACAAAAGAATTCAGGATAATCAAAACTAATCAATGAATCTGAGATAGTTACATTTGTTGTTACTAGTTGTGAACTTACTTTTGAGTTGGTTCTTGCAAAATAAGAACTTCAGACAGAAGAGTTGGAGCTTCTTTTTTTACTCTGTTTTAGTGTAATTGATTTATTTTATGGAAAGTTATGTGATGTTATATAATTTGATAATTCAGAAAACTGAGTAAAACATTGAAGTTAAATAAAATAGAGATGTAAAGATGCAGTCAGGATTCCTTTCCACTGGAGTTATCAACCCATGAAAAGGTTTTATGACATTTCTGTGGATTGATAAGACCAGACAAGCCTGGAAGGAAAATTATAGGCAAATAAGCAGAAACGTGTTTCAACATGATCTCTAAGGTATGAGACTCCACCTGAGAAACAGAGTATTATTCCTTTAGGGAAAAAAACAACAAAAAAACCCTGAAATATCAGTGACTCTACAAGCCTCAGTTACACACATAAAAAATAATTTTGCTGATTAACTTATTTGGTTCATAATGATTATTTTAATGCAAAGATCTGTTAAAAGTTTATTACAAATAGCTGATTAAAAGTGTCAAGAGCAACAAAAATGCACACAAATAAAAACATGGGAAATTAAACTAACAACTGAGCAGGAGCTCAACTTTTTCTGCCTTCCTTGATATGCATTTATTTAATTAGATAAAGCGTTCATGAATTGAACTGATATAGGCCAGTATTAGCCCTGCAGCAGGTATTGAGATAGCAGAGACGGTAGAAAAGAAGTTCCTTGCTTCAAAGGTTCAAAGGTGTTTTTGTTGTTTTATTAATCTTTGCCATGTAGCAGCTTTTTGTATACTGTAAAGGGACCCAAAAATTAAGTTCCTCCAGCAGTGATTAACAGGTAATATTGCAATAAGTAAAACAATATAATTCAATCATATGTACATCCTAATATCATTTGTGTAAGACATCAATACATAATTTATCTATATCCTATGAGCACATTGGTCTTACATTTGTTTTTTTTTTTTTTAAAGATACAATTACCCCTTCATGCCCCTTTCATAAAATCTTTGTTGCCACAAAATCCTACATAACTTCTGAGATCCTTTGCCAAGATTTTATGTGTGCAAATAATTCAAAGTAACAACAAAGTTTTGCATTACCCATGTTTTTATATTCTGCTCTCCTCTTCCCGAGTGCATGTAATATATACCCTTCTCTTTTAAATGTTATAAATAAAGTTGAAAATGCAGCAAAATCATCCCAACTTGTAGCTAAATTACCTCAAACTAAAGCTCATCTAAAGAAAGTGGCCCTCGTAACCATGTCAGTGCTCAGAAACAATCAGCTCTTTGCAATTCAGACCATTGGATGATCAGTCCAAGCAGGTAGGCTGGATAGTTTCTGTTCAGTGGCCTGTTCGATAGGCCATCCCCAGGCTTTGAAGAATCCAGTCAGGTTCATGCTCACAGTCTGGGAGAAAGTCTCTGCATACAGGTTCATCTTCTCTTTGTTGTCATTGGGAAAGTTGTTCATCTCGTGGTAGGCAGCAAATACTTTCTTAAAGGCATCCCAGCCAAACTTCTCCTGGAGCTACAAGAACAAACAGAGGCCTTTACTAATCCATTTAATGAGACTGAATGTGTTGATGATTTTTTGATAGGTAAAAACAATTTTTTTAACATCGTCTTACCTGCATGTATGTCTCTAGGGCCACCCACATGCTCCAGCTGCTGAGCTGCCTGCCCCCTTGTATATAGTCCTTGGCTCTTTTATTTCGGTTTTCCAAAGTCATCACTTCATGAGCCTGCAATAACCACAGTAAAATGGACTATGTAGCAGAACTTTGTAATTATAGATTCAATATTAAAATAGGAGTCGTTTACCAAATTTCTTTCACACACACACACAAAAAAAAACAGTTTTAGGCACCGTGTTCCTTTACCTTGTCCCGTTTGATACCAAACACCTCTTCATGCACGTACACTGACCACAGGTTACATGTGCACTCTGTGGTGTGTGGAGGAAACTCCCAACAGCCTCGCTGTTGGTTGTGTCCGAGCTCATGGATGGCACCCCAAATGCCATTGGTCTTCACATGGTTCACATCCACCAACTCAGCTGCAGAACCCCTGTGTGCCATTATAGGATAACCTGCATGCATAAATCCTGAGAAAAAAAATAAAATCCTTATAAAGCACTGCTTGGTAGATTCATCAGGACAAAGAATGATGTGTGAGATTAGGAAAATGCCAACCGTGTGAAATTTGAACGTCTGCCACAAAACGCTCCTTCCGTGGAAATTTGTGGGATTTGGCAGCCAGGTCAGCGATGGCCTTCATGATGTCATTCCAAAGGACCGCCAACTTATCAGGATATTCAAGACATCTGACGACATCAGAGGGTACAGTGAGGATGATGTTGTCAAACTCCAACTCCGCCCAAGGTGAAGGAGCTGTACATAATAACGACCATTCAGCTTGTGTTGTAACACCTAAAAAGAAAAAAAAAAACAAAAAGATCTATTAAAACAGAGGAATTAAGTAACACACTTCATTCATTCAATTTAGCAAAACTGTCCCAGAAGTTGGAGCTGGTATTGATATCATCCAAGTTGAGGAGCTCTCTAGTTGAAAAAATAATGTAATTTTCCTTTTGCTTTCTTGCTATCTCACATTAGCAGTAGGAGCGGATTTATATATCTATCTCCATTTTATGTGTTCAAACACAAGAGGAACAGTTGTGTCACAGCATCAACATTGGGTATAAAGCCTGGGGCTGCTTGGCTTATGCCAATGTTTCCAGCTGAAATTCTGTTTGAGCGGAGCAATCTTATTGAATCCTAAAAGGTAACCTGGGAAATATGACTGCTAAGTACAAAGAAACTCAGCAGAAACACATAAAATGCACTACCGCATGGAGAGTGTAGCCTGGAACAGAAGACAATGACTGCCAAAAAAAACAAAAAACAATAGGTTTTTGTTTTTGACCAGAAAACGTTAAATAATAAGTTAAAAGGACATTTAGCTGCTTAGTGGCAAAACAAAAAAAGTAACAATAGGAACTCTAACTTATCCAAAATTGGGTGAGATTTGTGAAAATAAATGGCTGTAGCAGTGTCAGGTCACACACTGGGGACCAACAGTGTGTGAAAGTAAGATGGTTCTCAGGTAAAAAATGTTCTTTTCCCTTGGGATTTATTTTCATATTTCTATGTCAGTACAAAAATCTCTGCTGACGTTCATCAAACTTTTTATTAAGTTAAAAAAAATTCATTTACCATAATTATGAGTTTCTATTTGAACTTCCCCCATCTTATGAAAAGCATTAGCTTAAAGTAAATGTCGATGGAAAAGTAAGTGCAGACACATTCACAGTTTGATGTGAAGAAAAGTAAACTTTTCAGCTTTGTATATTAACCTCTGTTTTACTTTTACCCAACCAAGGTAGAGCTTGCATTTATAAAGTAAACTATAAATGGACTTCCTCTAATAAACTGAGCTTATAAAGTTATTTTCTAGTCTTACCAACCACTCAAAACATTTTCTAAATAGAGTCCCACTCACAGCACGCAAACATTCAAAGGCAATTATGTAGATTGGTACCCATCTTTTCTTTACATTATCATTGTGATATGAAAGGTAATTTGCTGCAGATGTAATTCACAGGAACACTGGACTGAAAGCAGCATGCATTTAAAACTTTGAGTGGGTTGCTGGTCTGCCAGGTCTAAAAAGTATAACCTGGAAGAAATACTTCTCCTGAATTCATTTTCTTCACTGGACAATTCACAGTAGACTGTAAATCTTATTTTTAAGAGCACACTAAAGCCTTTGCCATCACTATTTTTGTTTGGTAATTGATTTGAACCTCCAATGCATGAGATCAATGCTAAATCTGTAACTGAACACCTACTGACTACATCAGAATAGTCTTTAGTTTAGGCATCAAACAGTTTGTACCACCACACTCACCTGATTTAAAATAGGGTGCAGGAACAGCCATTTGTACAACAACCTGCAATCCCTCTGCCTGTGTGTTGGGTGGGGCCACAAGGTAAATGAGTCCTCCCCACAGGTTCGACACCTGGATCATCTCAGAGTTGGCAGGAAAGCGTACGTGGACACATGGAGCTCTCTTCAACTCTGCGGCATTCAGATGATCTGTTTGACAGCCTATCTGAATCTGAGGGTATAATAAAGCACAAGTTAAAACTTTGGGAGGATGTTTCATAGCTTCATTCAAGCCCCTTTCTTATTTTAGAATGAGCAATGAGGAATAATTGCAACCATATGTGCAATAATGGCATATTAAATAGTTCTATGTTAATACAGCAACAGATTTTATGTATAGTACCTGCCATCCTTTGTTGACGATATCTGCTGGTATGGCCACATATGTCTTCATACCAGGAGAAAGGTAGAGACCTGTGCTGATCCACTCCTCTCCTCCTGATAAACACACACAAACAGGAAAGGTCAACATTACCAATATCCATTTTAGTGTTTATTAAGAAATAGCATGCACTTTTCACAGATAAAATCAAAAAAGGGTTTTCAGAACAAAAAACATAGCAAGAAATTACCTCATTTGACCGTGTGAGTAAACTAGCTCTGCAATGGATAACTGTATTGGGTAATGAATATATTGAACTGCAGTAATCAATACAAGATGGGCTGAAAGACTTAACCAGCATCTCCATATCTGCTACCCCCTAACTTTCTGGTGTCTCACAGTACAGCTGAAGTAAAGCTTATATCATATGCATAGAAATTATATAACATATTGAAGGTGGGTACAGTACTACCCAACGGCAACATTTACAGGATGATATGATTTTCAAATTACCTCTGGAACAGGTCTCAGAGTGTTAAATATGATGGTTTGTGTTGTTATTACAGTCCACAAGGAGGTGCCACAAAACTCTGTGTTAGGTCTCCATCTGTTTATTATTATTATTATCAGAATTTACTTTCACAATTTCAGTCTAACTTTATCAGATGCAAAGTTGCATCTTTTTGCTGATGAGAGAGTCAAAGTTGCAGGACAACTGTTGTCCAAGCCAGTGATTCTCAAAAACAAAACTGATGAAATTTATATAATGAACTTGTGGAACTATCCCAAAAAAAAAAAAAACACACACACACACACACACCTGCTGTACTGACATCAATTTTGACCCTGTGATTGTGGACAACTGGCAGCAGAGGATTGTCCATAATGAGGTACGGCAGGAGGTCGTCTGGATGTGGACAAACCTTGTAAACCTCTGCCCCAATGTTGAGCAGAAGGTGGTCTTTGGGACTTTTGACAGGGCATTTCTCGTTCACCTTGGTAGTGGAAATAATAATAAATATTATTGCATGAAACCACTGGTCAGAGATAACTTAAACACTTTTAGTGTGTTTGTTTCTTCTCACCTGTGGCATGCCTGACTTTTTTAAGATGTCTGTGAGTGTTGCCACTACCTGAGAGTAGTGACAGGAGTCATGAGCTTTCATGTTCAAATAGGTAGAGCAGTCGCTGCCCAGTTTTTTGAGGAGTTCCTCCTCGTCTTTACTGAGTTCATCCTGCACAGTCACATGCTTTGCAAAGCGGTGCAAAAGATGCCGGAAATGGTAGGTATCTTTGATGCTCTGGCTGGGATCCAGAGCCTTGTATGAACCTGCTGAAATAGTTGACCCCAGCAGGCTCAGCCCCATTTGGTTTAGGATTTTGTTCCCTGCAAAACAGTCAATGATCAGACAACACAAGACAAACAACAGCAATGCATACTTTCTTTGAACTTTGTGAAGGAGATCCTCATGGACGAAGAAAACCTCCAAACTCCCTGAAAAAGAGGCAACTCCACCCACAGCTCAGCTAAGATTTGCTTATGACTCTTCTAATATGTGCAATGAAACTTGCAATTCCACTACTGTCCTCATGGTGTCCTTAAAACAAACTTAAACTTCCCTGACACATTGGTTTCAAAACAAAATTGTCATCATTCAGTCACGATTAAGTTCTTGTCTGAGTTTCAACAGTAATTTCACTGTAATTTAATGCAATTATTTTACCAGCCTCCCAAATTTTCCTGTTTTTGTCTCAGAATTAACAGATTTTAACATTTAAATCCATTTCATTAGTTCCGAAGTCAAATTTGGTCCAGCCATCTATAATACTCTACCAGTTGGAGTACCAGACGTTAAATACAATATGAAATATTAAACAATGACCATTCCCAGAGCAGATTCAGGATTTTGTCTGTTCTGTCCTCATGGCTGATTCATAATCTCACCCTGAAAATGTTTGAAAAATATGACCTGCAATCTCAGTACATTTCTTCAGGAAACAAACATCTAAAGAGGAAGGAATAAATAAATTTTACTGAAGCACTTTCATCATTTCTACCTTTTTAGTTTTGTTAATCAGTGAGAATTCACATTTAATTAATAATCCATGACTCTGTTATCCTGCAAGGACAATATAAAGTATTACAAGCCATGTCTATTAGCCACTCTTCAAAATAGGAAACATGACAGAACAAAGTATTCAAGTAAACTGATGTTCTTAAGTCTGGGAAAAAAGACAAAAACACATTCTTGAATTCCCTCTCAATTTAAAACTTTTTTTTATGTATGACAAAATGGTATTTGATAAATATCAACAAGATGTTAGTTTGAGGCTTTGCCAGTAAAGGTGTAAGCTGCTGAATATGCAGAAAGCAGAAAAGTGCTTGGCATTTATTCATGATGTTTTATAATAATTTATTCAGGTTTATTACCTCCAAATTCTGTCATTGGGTTTTTTCCACCATGGCTCTGTGCCCAGTACCAGGCATGTCCTCCAATCAGAAGACCTCCTCCTTCTGCTACAAAGTTCTTGATCTCTTCCAAGTGGCTTTGGGGGTTTGATGGAGACACAAACACACTCAGGTCTTTCTTGAAGCCCGTATTCTCCATTTGTAGGCCTGAGTTGGTAGCTACATCAATCCCATTGTTCAGTGCTACTCCAACAACGCCCCTTCGGCCTTCATCAAGCCAATGAAAGGCATTCTTCCAAAACTGAGAATTTGTCTGGTTGTTGGGAGTTGAAAGAAACAAAAACAGAAAAAAAGTTAACCTGAGATGTTCTGATAAACTTTACAAAGTTTTAACACAACCATCTCATTAACTTTACCTCAGCACTCAGAACTGCTTCATGTCCAGCAACGATGACCCGACCTTGGCCATAATAGGCTCCAGCCAAAAATGCCCGCCCACCATTTGCTACACCAATAGGAAATGCTAGTGGGCCATGGACCATAACTTCTGACGCTAGTGCACCATTTGGAACGGCGAGCTCTGAAACACCATGAAGTAAGAACTGCAAGTCGTCTTCAAAATCCTTCCCTACTCTGTATTTGAAAAGTGGAGTGTAAAGAAGAGTTATTCAAAATGAAAAACAGAATTGGAGCTGATATTTATGTCAGATTCAGAAAGGTGGCAGCAGTGAACCAGTTCAATACTAAATATAGAGCTGTTGACTCTGAATTTTGGTCAAAAACAATCTTATAGCATATTAACATAAATGCAACTGCATAACATTTGGTTCTAGTTTTAAATTGAGTGATAAAAAAATAAGTCATCAAATGCCTCAGTTAGAACTTAAATATTTTCTAATCTCTTAAAAAACAAATGATTGTGAATATTACGGTCTTAAAGACAAACTGAAAAATTTTATTCAGACCTTTTGAGCTAAGATAAATAAATAAATTAGAAGAAAAGGAATGCATGCTCACACTACAGCCATGTAGGAGGATGGGATCTGTGGGTAGACTGGGAGGTTTTCCACTTCTGCTGGATTCTTAGAGAAGTAGATCCCTGCAACCCCAGACACCTTGTTTCCATCAAAGTGATGCAGTGTATTCTCCTTAGGGTGATCGGCAGCCCAGCTCCACGCCTGGCCGGCGATCATCACCCCTCCTCCAGCTTTCATAAAGGCCACTAAGTCTTTCGGGTCAGCACCAACGCTGTATGCATCCGTCACATACACACCTGCCTTCAGATTGCCATTAAAGGCCCCCACCACTTGTGCTTGGAAGGTGGACATGCTGAGGTTGTTATTGACCACCTTGACGCTGTTGTGCACAAATACAGAAGGGTCACCTGATCCATCACCCCGCAGCCAGATCAGGGCGTTCTCCACCAGAGCAGGAAAGGCAGTCAGGTAGCCTTCATGACCCAGAACAACAATCCTCCCAGCACCATACAAAGAGGCAGCTATCAGGACCTGACCTTTGCTGTTCATGGCTAAAGGAAAGGCATGGTCTCCGATCAGCAGCAGGTCGCTGGGGACACAGGGACCATTAAAGTCCAGCTCCTTCACTCCTTTCATGAGAGACAAGTAGGCTGCCTCGTGGTTGATTTGGCTGGTTGGGTTAGACATGACGGGATCTAGTTATACTTGATCAGTGAAGAAAATCAAGGACAATCTCCAGCGATGCCTTCAGTTCAATTTGTCAACAGTTAGTTTAATAGCTGCTCTTGCTTGATGGATGAGTGCAGTTTGAGGCCTACAGGAAGAAAAATGATTAAAATACAAAACAATACTGATGGAACTTGTGACATCTGAGTTAAACACAAACATGTAAACCCACAAAAACTATAAAGACACATCATTGTATCACAATTTACCTGAACGTTACATGTATCCCCTCTTAAGTAGATGGGCGCTTCACCAACCACCAGCTTCCCGCACAGTGGCAAGAATGTGAATGAAAGCAGAGCAAAAAGTGACCATCTGCAGAAAAACAATAAGGCAGGACAAACATAAAAGGAGCCACCCAGGATAAGATTACTAGTAAGACTCGTTTATCATGTGGGAGTAACTAATATTTGAGGCTGATGAAAAACCTTGTCACGCCCTGTACTTAAGCGTTTTGTCTTTTTCAAATAAACATAAACGCTTTTGGAAGAGCTGTTTGAAGATACTTAATCCAATGTTCGCACACACAACATACAGGTCTTTAAAAATCAAACCAACTAAGTTTTCTGCCTGTTTTCTTTTATTCCCTGTTTCCCCATCTGACTACGTGGAGGAGAATTCAATGACCCGGAAAGTCTTTCGACTATTTCAATGCGCGTGTACTCATAAGTAAACAATGTAAACAAGTAAAAAATAAAATAAAAAATTCAGTACTTTTTACATGATTTAAAAAGAGGCAGGCATAAATAGTGGTAAAACTCACATTTCGTGTTGCGTTTCACCAAGTTATTGCGAGCCTACACGAGCCTATTTAAAGAGCGGCCGCAAACACGGAAGACTCATATAGACTCGGCTTGATTCGCCAACGCCAAGAAAGCATCAGAAATAACGCTTTTTATCTTCCTCCCTGCTCTAAAATAGTTGGCAACAGCTAAAAGCTGCTTCACGAACGTCGTCCTGAGCCGGAAAAAAAAACAGTGTCAACATTCTCAGTGTGTGACAGTCCTCTGTTTACATGTGTTACTTGATCCTGACATCAAGTAAAAATTGTTTATCGCGTCGGTCTTCATTTAATTGAGGCTATAATACAAAAAGCTCAGCATGTAAAGATGATAGAAATACAACTTAAATTTCATGTTGTGTATTACTTGTCGGTCATTGCGGAACACTAAAAACATAAAGCACGTTTCTGCACGAGCCGAGTTGGCAGGCGCACCTCCTGCAAAACTAGCATGCAACTAAACAAATCACAATTTTTGCAGATTTTAAACGGAATTTTTTTTTTCAGTTTAATTTTTTTACCCTCAACACATCTTTAAAGTAGACTCAGAAACGCCTAAAAGAAAAAAGGTGTAAAAGAACGACCTATGTTTGCCGTCCTTGTTGCTCTATAGTTAAAAGTACCTGAAAGATGTCGTGTGCTCTGGTTGGACCCTCTGGGATCCGGATTCCACTGGAGGATGGACGGGCTGTGATTCTGGGCCGGGGGCCGGACACTGGGGTGGCCGACAAGAAATGCTCCAGGCACCAGGGTGAGGCAGAGAAAAACTCAATAACAATGCACTATTGAACTTGATGCTAGATATATGTTTTAATGCATTTATTGATCTATATTGATCTATATCAGTAGGGCGCATACAGGAGAGGAAATGTCCATCCAAGTATAACATTTTAATATAATGTGATCTTGTTCAGTATATTTTTGGCTTTGCCTTTCATGTTAGTTACTGAAGGGAATCTGAAAGACGAAGTGCCACTTGTATAATGGGTGAAATGGATCCTGTTAGTAGTTTGGGGATTTCCTTGGTATTTTAAAGATCTACATTACCTTTAAATAAAATGAAAATGAATGTCTGTGCTTAGATCTGAAAAACAGCCTAAATCAAAGGAGTTTTATTTGGAAATATGTCTTTAAGTTTATGGAAATTTAAAATGTAAAGAATATCTGATGCTTATCATGAGATTAAAAGTGATCTTATTTCAAACGTGTATTGTCAAATATAATTATTTTTAGATTGATCTTGGTGCCATAAGGCTAAAACAGAAGTTTAGGCTCCTGCTGTCTGCATTGAAAGGGAATAAACTGTTCAGAATTAAGATAAACAGGCTCCGTTCAGCGCAAAAATAATTTCTTATGAACTAGTCAACATTTGACCTGAAATTTTCCAGCCGTATGGCAAAACATGTTTTTATTCTGCCTTTGAAACACCCTGTATTGATTGTTAAATATGGATCTGTGCCTGGAGGATTGCATTATGTCTGCAGTTTTAAATCAGTGTTACTACTTAAATATTAAACTTGAGGGAAACAGCCAAATCAGTGCATGAACTGTTGTTTTTCTCTAGTTTCTGTTAAACCTGCAAATTATTATTTTTTTAAATACTGATAGCTTAAAAAGAATATTCTCCTCTCTTTCATATGTGTTTTGCTTTAGTATGTTCCCTCTCTGTGACTCATGGTACCTATGTTTGAGTAAGCCACACATGTTATATTGCCTCCTCTGTGATCATGTACCGTATCGATTTTAATAGGCCTTGTGTTTGTTTCAGTGAAGGTGGTGGCTTGTTATGCAGAACAGGATGTGGTTGTTACTCAGGTATGGGAACACACCCACCCAAAAAGGTGTTATAATTATCTAAAATTAAACAAAGTGTTACCTTGGAGATTCTCCAGTCAATTGTCTACATGTGCCATATTTTTGCAGCTTGGGCCAAATCCCAGTTTCCTAAATGGTGAGAAGCTGGGTCGGGGTCAGTCAGGTAAACTTACCCATGGAGGCACCCTGTACCTGGTTAACCAGAGCTACCCGTTTACACTGGACGTCTCTCTAAGCTCAGCTTGCAGCATAACACAGACGAACCTGAAAGCCTCAGATAATACAAAAGGGGGTAGAAACAGGAAGGAGGCTGATTCCAGTCCAACTCTGAAACGCAGCATTAAGGACTTCTTTTCTGTCTCTCCCTCTAAGGTGAAACATTTTTTTGTGCATCTTATCAATTTATGATGCACCACAAATAAATGTATATGATTGTGAAAGTGATTATATGTATCTTTTTTGTTCAGGCTTCTAAAAGGCAGCTAAACACAGAGAGGGACCAGGTTGAGGTGAAGCGACAGAAATTAGATGAGGAGGACGAGGAGGAGAGATTTGCTGAGGAAAAGCTAAAGGAGCTGCAGGAGTTTGCAGAAAGGAACATGACAGAGGAGAAAAAAGACACCCATTCTTCCCCATCTTCATCTCCAGCAAAGACTTGTGTGAAGAGCAGCTGGCAGCAGACAGGAAACCTCATGTTTTACACAGCTGCAGGAGTGAAAGCGAGCAACAAGGTGGGGAACGGTTCCTTTTTGGAACAACACATAAGATTTACTGGTATGTTTGTGCTACGTACCACTAAACTTATTTTATACACTTGTTGTTTGCTTTCAGATTGCTGGGTTTGATATTGATGGATGTATTATCACCACCAAATCTGGAAAAGTCTTTCCCACTGCACCTGATGACTGGAAGTATGTTCATTCTCCTCCATGTGTTCTTTGATAATTGTTTCTCTTTTATTTTCTCATTGTGTGAATTTTCTAGGATTCTGTACCCTGAGATTCAGCCCAGGCTGGCCAGCTTGCTCAAAAAAGGCTATAAGGTGTGAAGGACTAAAACGTCTGCACTGGTCGACTTCAGCAGAATAAAACTAGTGGAGTGGTGTTGGATTTTACATGCTTATGTATCCTGTTGCAGGTCGTTTTCTTCACCAACCAGCTGGGGATCGCCAGGGGCAAACTGATACCAGAGGTGTTCAAGTCTAAAGTGGAGGACATCCTCACCACGCTGCAGCTGCCTGTGCAGGTTGGTCCCAGGTTCTCAGCATAGATTCCTTCAGCATCAAGCAGCGACTGATTTCCTGTTCCACGCTTCAGGTGTTTGTCGCCAGCGGCCCTGGTGTCTATAGGAAACCCGTGATGGGAATGTGGAATCACCTGTGTGAGAAAGTGAGTACACACCTGTCACACCTGATATATAGCAGCTTCACCACCAGAAACCAAACAAAGAATAAATAAAGAGTTTGTTACATGGCGTCTCTGATGCGTTTTCTGCCCAGGCTAATGATGGGGTGGCTGTCGACAAGATCCAGAGTTTTTATGTAGGAGGTAAGTCAAAGCTTAGCTGTGTGACTTTGATGTCGATATAATAAATATTCTCTTTTTTATGTTTCTGTTTGATTTCAAGCATAGAAACCTCCATTGCTTGACCAAATCATGTGTCAGTTGAATTTGTAGCAGTCCATAACACGTGGGTTGACAAATCCAAATGGCATCCTGACCTTTTCCCTGTGTCCAGATGCTGCAGGAAGGCCGGAGAACTGGGCTCCAGGCAAGAAGAAGAAGGATTTCTCCTGCAGTGACAGATTGGTAAGAGTTTCAAGGTCCATACTGCTGCCTTCCAAACAATCTTTCTTGTCCTTCCTTTCATCCCATCTTTTGTCCTCTCGTTCAATCCTTCCCCCGCTCTCTTCCCACTGTTTCATGTTTCTTTTTTGTGTCCTTCTCTCATGTTTGTCTCTGGTTTCTGCTGGTTCCATGTTGAAAGCTCAGTTCAGAAATATCTGCTCTAATTATTTTTTTCTTTTTTGCTTGATTTTAGAAGGTGGCATCTGAAAAATGTAGGCATTTTTCCATGGAAAATATGTGGGAACTTTATCCTCCTGTCCCTCCCTGTCTCCACCAAGTCGTTAACATCGTGTTTGATGTCAGTGAATAGATTAGTGGAGCTCAAAGCTTTTTTCTTTCGGTTGTTGCAGTTTGCGCTGAACATTGGGCTTCAGTTCTACACGCCAGAAGAATACTTTTTAGGATGGAAGAGCGCCCCCTACAGCTTGCCTGACTTTGACCCTGTGAGTAGAGCTTAGTTCTGAATCCTCTTTTTGGCGTCACATGTGTTTTTCTGATTCATCACTCCTGAGTCATTCCTTCTGCTGTGCTTCATTCTGACTCAGCATAAAACCAATCAGGGAACCTGTGAAGCCCTAATTATGTTAAAAGGGAATAACCAATATATTTTATAAAAATTGTATTAAAGTCCAAGGTTGACAAGCCTCTGCTGCATAGATATATAATATAATCTGCGTGTATCTTAATTGTTGTCTTTCATTCTGAATTAGCGGAAGTTCGACTCTAGCAGCAGATTGTTCGACCCGCCGTCCGCCTCCCTCACCTGCAACAAGACAGAAGTTATTGTTGCCGTGGGTTACCCTGCAGGTACTGTCTGGAGGGGCATGTCACCTTTCTGGTTTCTCTGGCCACCAAAAACCCTGATATCCTTTTTTTGTCTTCTCTTTGCAGCTGGTAAATCCACATTCTTCCACACCCACATTGTTCCACAGGGCTACGTCTACGTCAACAGGGCGAGTAGATCCTGCATATTTCAGCTCAGCTAACTGAACGAGTCTCATTGTGTTGGTTTTTAGTTCATTAGAATGTGTTTCTACTCCCATCCGCATCAGGACACGCTTGGCTCCTGGCAGAACTGCGTGTCGGCGTGTGAGCGAGCTCTGAAGGAGGGCCGCAGCGTCGCCGTGGACAACACCAACCCAGATCCAGAGTCTCGCAAACGGTAGCTCTGTTGCAGTACCTCCCATGTGTTTTGTCTCTGTTTGTTTGGGTGGGTGTGTCGCTTTTATGTTTCAGTTTTAGGATCTCGATCCTCTTCACTGGATTCACCTTTATGTAAACAGTCTGCAGGAGAATCATGTCACAAATGTAAATGATTCAACACAAACAGATTAGTTAATGTTTGCTCTATCATATAATTCAAGTCACTTTTCTCTTGATTGATGCTTTCAGGTGTTAATTATTATTCAGTAACAAGTCTCTGCAGTCTGCATTAAAACATTAAAGGTGACCTATTATGATTCATTGACAAAGTTAGGATAGGTCTATGCCTGACACAAAACATGTCCGTTCTATTTTTTTGTACACAGTCAGTCTTATATTATGAGAATAAACTGACCTGTGTGGGGTTTCTGCAGATACTTGGACGTGGCCAAGGCAGCAGGAGTGTCCTGTCGCTGTTTCTTCTTCACTGCCACCTTGCAGCAAGCCAAGCACAATAACAGAGTATGACCAACTTCACACATCCCCTTTTTCTTTTCTAAACACATGGCTCAGTTTTTTCCTGGTTGTGAGGAACCTTGACTGTTTTTACTGTTGTCCTCAGTTCCGTGACATGGCTCCATCCAACAGCAAACACGTTAAGGTCAACGACATGATTTTCCACAGCTACAAGTGAGTGAAACTGACCTGCAATGGTGGCCTTGGTCATGTTGCTCAACCTTTTTCTAGTGCCAAAAGGTGCATTCTTACTGTCAGCTCATGTGGACTGAAATTACTATTTTGTTCAATGTTCTTGCTCAGATTGTGTCCTTTTTACTAAATTTCTTTTATTAAATTTTTGTGTGTGTGTATGTAAAAATGTTGTTTTATGAATTAACTGATGTGATCTGTGTTTTGTTTCTGGACAGGAAAAGTTTTGTGGCTCCAAATCTGTCTGAGGGTTTCTCTGAGATCCTTCAAATCCACTTTGTTCCACACTTCAAGGACAGACAGTCTGAAACTCTGTTCAGGCAGTTCTCTGAGGGGTGACCAGACTCCTGCGGCTGGTTCTGACGATGGACAACAGATGGGACCTCAGGGAAGACACTGGGATAGACCTGCAGCTGATAAACAGTCTGCTGTGAGCTTATTTAGCTCACATACTAAGCTATTGAAGCGATTACTTTAAGCAGCAGTGATGTCAAGTTGATAAGCTCAGGTCATTTTATTGACATAATATTACAAGAAGCATTTTAACATAACAGACACTTTTGTCTATATGTGGAGTCTCAAAATAAACTGGTAAAATGTAAGAACAGAAGATTTTTTTTACTTCCATTGCTCTAATAGTACTTCTTACCTGAATAGCGGTGTGATTAATGACAAGAAAAGTCTTAGTTTCTTTTGGATTAAAAGGTTTGCATCTCAAAATGTTCAGAGTAGAGAAACATTAACACTCAGAATAAAGTTTACATTTTATTTTTCAACTGTTGAATAAAATATGTTTTCATTTAAGATTTTTATTCAACATGTCTATTATCTTTCTCGAATGATCTGCATGATGGAAGTAAGTCAGGAATTCACTAGCATACAGTGGATTGTTTTACTGTATGGTCCTGGAACTGCTCTCTGGCTCTTAAGGAAGAAACTGGATGTCCTTCCCCAGGTGCTGTTTCAGCCACGGCATAAACTTGAAGAGGTCGATGTGAAAGTCTCGAGCGTCACCAAGGATTTCGCTCCTGCTCCTGGCCGGGGTCTCACATATGTTTACGGTGCCCCAGCTCAGCACTCCCACCTATCGATGAAAACAGAAAATAGTTTGGTTCTGATCGCATCAAACTATTTTCATGATGATCCGCCTCTTCCTTTTTTATCCTATTTAAAAGTTTTCGTACCTGAAAGAAGCGCTTCCTTTTCTGCAGATACAGGGATCCACCAGAGTCGCCTGTAACAGAGGTGTAGCGGTTATTTGTGTCCTATATTGATCTCTGCTAATGTTTTTGAACTGGAAGATTCCAGACCTTTGCAGCTGATGCCATCCTGATATTCTGCAGTACCTCCAGAGCAGAGGAAATTTTCAGTCACATATTCATCTAGCGATACATTTGTGGGTTCAGTTAGTGTCAGCCTGGCCTTTTCCACACAGGCAGGCCTCTGCAGAGAGAAAGAACACAAATGAACAACAACACTTTATTCTACCTGGAGAATTTTTATCAGATTTAAGATGATTAGTCAAGAAAACTCACCTGATTCTTCAGGTGGATATGAGTTTGTTTCCGTTCTTTGGACTTATGGATGAAGAAGGCAGGATTCACCTCGTGTGAAAGGAGTGCCTCCCCTGTTGAAACATTTTTACAGCTTCATGTTTAAGAAACAAATACCAGACACAGCTATGCTTTCCCTTCAACTGTTATATACTACAACAGGCTTCTGTGTTTTATTGTATCTAATTGAGAAACAAATTAGTTAATCACTAATTGACCTTTAAATTACCAATTGAATTTAGGTCTGGACCACTTTAAAACAAACTAAGACATTTACCGTAACTTTAGCTCTGTGCATTTAGGGTTGTCCAGGCGAAGGTGAATCACCATTCTAGTCTTAAGTCTTTTAACACAGGGCTGCTCTTCAGACAATTTTCATTTGTACAGCACATGTCAGCAACAAGGTAGTTCAAAGTGCTTTACATCATAAAAACATAAAAATCAGCAACTAGCATTACATTTTTCCAAGTGCCATCATTGCGAAAGTTACTTACTGTGCTGCTCACAGGTGGAGTTGATTTTTTTCATGGCTCGAGAGGCTGCTATGGTACATGGCAAGCAGATAGGCCTGTTGTAAAATATTTTAGTTAAACATGTTCGACCTGAAGAAGCTGTTCAATCAGACGAGTGCTGACCTGCAGCCATTTACAGATTGCTTTACTGTCATCTGCCTCACCTGGCTTCCCAGGATAACGGGATTTTCTGTTTTGTTTCTACCAAAGCCACATCGTAGTCATAAAACTCCGAGACATTCCTCCCTTTCAGTTTGAGGATGTTGTAATCAGGGTGCATGATCACCCTGATGCCGTCCACTTCTCCTCCACCTAGAAACCAAAGACAATGTTTACTATGTCAGCATGAAGGATTTGAATTCAGTATAATATATGTTCACCCTTTCCAGGACAACATATAACTGAAAAATCTATCTTTTTTTTCCCACACATAGATATTTAATATAAATATGAACTTAATCTTGTGGAAAAAGTGTGATGTCCTTGCATGTGTTCTTGCTTAAGCAAAGCCTTACTAAATTAATCTTTAATGACTAAAAGATTAATCTACAATAAATGACACCTGTATGAGAACATTTCTTTTTAATTATTTGCCTTCATCTACAAATTATTGACAATTTTAGCTCCTTACCATATTGTATTTTTAGCAGACTTGGGACTCTGCTTGTGGTCACTTTGCCAAAGCAGTGAGCAGTTGTCAGCACCCAGGTCTGACTTACAATAGATCCCGTACAGTGTAGTTTATTAAGTGGCCAGTCGCTCTACAGGGAAACAGAATTTATTTAAGATTACAGCCCACTTTAATCAATTTCCTCTAACTGAAAGACATTGTGTTTACCGATGTGAGGATGACGTGCCAAGGCCTGGTGTAGGCTTTTAGGCCATCTTCCATCTGGTCTTTGGTGATGTCTTCCTGAGCTATGCCGCACATTGTCACACTTTTGTCACCTGGTCAATAGAAAGTCACACATTTGGTTCCATTTAGACAATGTGTTTGTTTTTTGTGCTGAGTGAGAGCTGCTACTCACTGATGATGCTGTTGAACACTTCTCCCAGTAAGTCGAAGTCTTTCAGAACAAATAAATGCTTCTCGCCACTTTTCTTTGAGGCCAGAGAGTTCAGCTCTTCTTTGTTCACTTGTTCCCCAACACCAAACACATAAACATCTGGAAACATCAAACTCCCTTATTTTATGTTTTATTTTAGCACTAATAAGTGTCTGTCATTTCAAATTTGTCAATTAAAATCTTTAATCAAAACCCTTGTTGTGCACTAATATCAATTCATGTCATCTTACCCAGCAGTTTCTCATGTGTCTGATCGTGTTGTGTGGTGTTGTAGCCCAGTAAGCTCCGGATCCTGCTCAGAGCGGCCTCAGGCTTTTTCCCTGTGTTGGAGTAACCTGCAGGTTGTTGTATAAAAAAGTACAACAAAAAAGAAGCATCGTAATTATTGCAATATCTCCACTAAAATACTTCATTTTGAACCAGGAGTTCTTTTCAAAATGGCTTGTCTTATCACTATGGTAATACAGGTAAGGCATTTTATTTCTTTAGTTTCATTAAAAATAAAATGTGCAAGGTGTCTTGAAGCAAGCCAACACAGGAGATAAGCTTGTTTATAAAAGTAAACAAAAAGACATCAAACTCAATCAGGTAAAGTCAATTAAAGGACCATGGAATAGAATGTCATGATGAAGACCTTAGCAACACTCATCATCATCGGGATGTAACGTATATGCTTGTTTTCGTGTGCATGTTCAGTGTTTAGTATTTTCCTACACTTTTTCTAAAAGGCAGGAGAACTGCTGATACACAGTTGTGCTTAAGAGACTGAGTTTTTACCATCGGTTTCTATGATGATGATGTTCTGAGTCTCATTAAAATGGTTCTTGTTTCTGTTTTTATTTAAGAAGCTGATTGTGTCCAGGACATTTTTCAGAGCTGAGTAAAGGTTGGTGCCCGTCTTACGGCCGTGACCTGCAACAGAGAATGAAACTGATTAGTTTTTTGGGTTTTTGTGAATCACTTGGTTGAAATTGTTAACTCATTAGGATACTGGATGTAATTTTCGGTTAAATTGTAAAGTTCACAACAAGCCATGTCCTACTGTGGTAGTCGAAGTTCATCAGAGTCCATATGACCTCATCAGAATCCCCACTTATATCTGTATGATGGATGTTGACAATGACTTTAGTTTCACTGGCAAATGACAACACGTGGAAATTCAGCTGGACGTCGTAGCTGTCCAGCTAAAAGGACAGAGGTAAGATTCAAAGACTCAGACTGTTCTAGGATGTTATTGTAACTTTAACCCAGATCGTGTCTCATACAAACCTTTCTGATCAGAGCAATGGTTGCATTCCTGGCTAATTCAAATTTGTCCTTCTTGATGCTTCCTGATGTGTCCAGCAAAATGTAGACGTTCATACGACTGACTTCAGCCACAAGAAAGCTTCGGCCAAATGATCTGCTAACATCTTTTTATACACAAGCACACAATTGACATTTTGTCATCCATTTGAGCAAGACTTTTTTTTAACATAAAAACATCTTAATGTTCACAAAATGAAAAAAAAAAAATAATAATAACTTTTCTTTTTGGAATCGAGAGAGAGAACATCCATGACGCCGGCGAGTGATCCCGCCATGGCTGCAGCCACGGAGCTGGGCGTGTCAAAAGTTTGAGGGGCTGCAAAAAGCACAAAAGCACTGAATGTAGGACAAAGCTGGACATTGTGTGGCTGGTGGAGTTATAATGTCTGAGTTTAGGACGTGAGCTCTCTCCTGGGAAATAATAAAAATGATCACCTTGGCACCTTGGTGGTGAGCCACTCCACTCCTTGTTCTCCAAGCAAACCCTTTCAGCCGACCCAAGCAGATGCATTCCAGCCTGACATCGGTAAGTCACTTTGCTTTCTATCTGGAATCGATCCCCTGACCTCTTGGCCCCCGGGGGGATCCCTGGGTCCCTACATTCACTGGCTGCAAGAACTAGAAACATATTATAATAATTTATTCTGAGGCTGCACAAAATTGATGTACATGTTTGTAAAATGTTGAAAATATATTTTATTATTTACAAAAATGATCCTGTGCTGTGCAGAATTAGTCATATCTCTTAAGGATTTTCATGTGACATCATGATCACAAATTTTAATTTTGTTGGGATTTTATGTGATGGGTGAAGTTTTGTAGCAGTGTAAAACAGTTGCAGAACAATATCTAAACTTTGAAAAGCTCTGTTTTCTGAACAATCCACCATCTGAAAATGGAAAGCAGAAGGCCCAAATCCAAACCTATCAAGACATCACTTTCCACCCAGAGAGTAGTAATGCGTTGAGCAATCTGTGCATTGTTTCCTCACCATGATTGCGACAGACTGGAGTGATCCCGGTCCATTCTCCAGACAGCGTGCAGTTTCTTTGTTCTGACCCGTGAAAGGAGAAACCGCTATGGCAGGAAAAACTCTGTGTCATTCCAATTGGAAACCACTGATCCCTGGGCCAAAAGTCACCATTGTCCAGCTGCAGCTGACCCGGACACCTCATGTCTGTGTGTGACAGGGAGAGAGAATGGTGTCCAGCAGATGGGGGAGGAGAAAGTTGGGGATTCTGGAAAATAAAAACATTACCTTTGCAACTGGGCCGGGACACAAGCCTGCCACTGGGCAGTCTCATTGGTGACCATTCTCCATCATCGCCACAGATCCTTTCACTGATCGGGTATGGGAATTTCCCTGGATCGCAGTGATAAGTCATCACACTACCTTCCATCCCTCCCTGGGGAGGAAATATGTTATTTCTTCAAGGGTAAAACCAGGGGAAAAAAAACTAAAACAAATAATTTAATTTAAAAGAAGCCCACATTTATTCTTTTTCATGTTTCTCGCTCCTTTTGCCAGTTATGTTAGCATTGGAGATGAAGATATTTCACTCTACATGCTTCTTCTTTTGACTGTGCTACTAATTCTTCTTAGTAATCTTTAAATTATTGTTTTCTATTTCTTGTTTTTTTTACTTTTTTCATCAGTCAAACAGGCTTGATAAATTATTTTTGAGAAATCACAAATCCTTCTATCTACAGGTACAATTCAATACATTAGATTATCGCTGAACGGTGAATTTATTTCAGCAAACTGATTCAAAGTGAAACTTGTTCATTATAGCATTTAAACAGAGTTATCTTATTCATGTCATCACAATTATTTAGACCATAATAGCTTACACTCATTAAAAACTCAATGGTTTAGCTCAGAAAATTAGAATATTACACATGTAGGTAATAAAAAAATGATTTTTGATATATAAATGTATAATATGGTCTTTACTGGCTGACAGTCCCTAACATGAAAAAAAAATAAGCCACTAAAGGTGGCTGCTCGAGGCTTTCTTTTCACAGAGTGCTTCATTCAAGCACACTGAAGGGAAGTTAAGTGGAAGAAAAGTTTTTATGGAGTGGAACAGCAACAGGGATAACTGCTGTCCAGAGAAAATTGTGAAGTCCAGTAAAATATTTTCGGGAAATAAAAACACATGGACTGCAGCAACGCAGCTTGAGTCAGAGCATTAAGAGTCACCACACACACAAAAAGACCAAGTCAGTCGTTTGCAACTAACAACTTGTCTCAAGTCTTTCACTTGAATCAAGTCCCAAGTAAAGATATACAAACTGTAAATCAGGTTTAAAGTCTAAACATATCAAATTCAGCCCATAATTATTGATATGGCACTACTATTGCTACCTGTTAGTATTGGTCATCTTCAAGTCAATAAGTCCAAAGCTATCCAAATTGTGGACAGGGAAATTTTAGAACACTTTGTGGTTCTTTCTGCCAACAAGCTTCATGCAGAGGACGATTTTATTTTCCAGAAGGACTTGAGGTCACCTAGATTCACTGCTAAACAAACCAACACCTGGGAGCCATAAAAATCAACCCTAACAGAAAATAATGCTAGGAAGAGATCACTCTGTATTTATGTATATTAAATGACCTTCACTTTTTGAATTAATTCACTGAAATCTATTCAGTTTTTGACAATTATTCTAATTTGTTGAGATGAAGATGTACATGTGATACCTTATTTAAGTAGCAGTGTGACGTTGCTGTGATAAAGTGGGGAGTAATTCTTAACCCTAACCTCTGAATATGTTACAGTTCCGCCTTTGATCGTCTCCGTGGTCGAGCAGTTCAGAGGTACTTGGTCATCGTACGTTTCGGAGTAGTAGTCAAACTCCTGTGGAGCCACTGGAGCAAAACAGGTTAAAAATGTTTGAGACAAACACCTGCCTCCACACGCAAATACAAACAGTCATTTTGCACCAAACAATCTCCATTTGGTGTTGCACATATTGAATAAAGTTGTCATATTCACCCTCCAGGACAGTGATGGAGACAAGGATCCACAGTGCAGATTTAAAACTCATGATCAGACTCAGCAATGTTCAGTTTCTCTGTTTTTAAGTGGCAGAAACCACCAACGGACCTTCTGAGTCGCCCTGCAGTCAGCGGCTTTATTTGATGACTGATTACCCATTAACATCCAGCTACCGAACGAGGACAGAGCGATTGAGCAATTTAGGACAGAAAATAGATTTATTTCAGCACTTTCGTTTTTAGTGACACTACCCCTTTCTGTTGAATGAATCTGTTTTCAAAGTAAACCATTTACTCTATAATAAGGCATTAAAAGACAACTTTGCATGTTCAGAGTAACAGATTTAATGTTCCCAGACCAAGCTGCACCTACTACTAACTCAACCATTTGACATTAATCCTCAGTAACTAACATTGCTTCATCTTCACCAGTTGCCTCAAATTCTGTTTGTCCGTTCATGTTTGTTTGCACTCAAATTGTTTGATCTCCAGGCTGCAGCAGCTCAGCCATGCGACAGTATGTTTCTGTACAACCTAAGTGTTACAAGCATTTGGCAAACCTCAGACACCCTCCAGCGCCCCTCACTTTAATTTTTCCCTCCTTCTCAGGGCTTAGTCCTCTCAGCTGACACGGCTTTGCTGGGCACTGGGAACAACTTTCTGAAATCCTTTTGTAGCCAGTTCCATACCAGCAAAAACACACGAGAGAAATACAGAGAATAAAGAACATCGCGGATGGTTATGTTGACAACTGCAGCTTAAAATTTCTTTCCTCTGAATTATCTTGGTTTTATTGCTGGTTTTCATGAGAATTATGGTTACGGCTCACCAACAAAGGAATTCTATGTGCAAGAGGATCAAAGACTGGAAGTTTTCATAGTCAAAGAGGAGGCTGACTGTTTGGGAAAAATGCATGATGGTAAGAAAACTCTGAAAAATGTCCTTCAAAAATTCTAATAGAGAAACAGCTCTGGCTTTGCGATATCCCTACAGATTTATTCCTAGAAACGCCGGACCATTTGAGAGGATTGGTGACTATAATCAGAATTTTCCTTTGAGACTGATGATGTCTGATCTCAGCCAGGTCTCTGTTTACTCTGACTCCTCTGACATTTATAAGGTAAGCTGGAAAGCAATAAGCTGATGGTGGATCATTTGAATGTTGTCATGAGTAACAATAGTGGATCCAAGCCACAATGAGAGTTACTATCAAGAAGAGAAAATATGGAACAGTGCAGTGGACTACCTACTAAATATTTGTTATATCAGGGCAATCTAGAAAGGCATCAAAGATTCATCAAGAATGTCTTAAGAGAACCCACAACAATATCTAAGCAACATCTAGGGCCTAACCTGACTCACTTTAGGTCAGTTTTCAAGACCCAATATGAATACATTGAACAACAATCTGCTGACCATACAGAACAGATATTGGCCAGAAAACATCTTACTGATGGCTGTAAATGTTTTGAACGATGTGCCTCCTGTCACATCTCAGCAATGTTCCATTTCTGACTTTAACCCCGAAAACATCTGGGTTATGCAGCTAGACATTGAAGCACACCTGCTGATTCTTCTCTAAATTGCTTTAAATAAGTATTTGAAGGATCTGGAGTGGTGTGGTCAAAGTTAAAATAAATCCATGATAATGTGGCATGACCTTTAACAGCCCGTTCATTTGTGAAAGTCCTCAGATGTCAATCAATTGAAACGATTCTTTTCAAAGTGACGTAAAAAAAAAAAAAAACGCAAAGTCAACATATCCAGCTGGTTAAAAACAAGACAGTCCTGATGAACATCTGAAAGAGGAAGACTCTGTTCCCCTATACTGTGTATTTAAAAACTTCTCAGAAAATAAAATCTTGTTTAAATTAATTCCTTTTTTCATTTCTACAGAATGTGTTTTGTAATCCTGCTTTTGAGCTGGAGGGGGAGCAGGAAGAGCAGGTGGACGGCTTCAGGACTTCCTCATCCACTCCTGAACCAATCAAACCCCCAGCAGCCAGTGAGTCAGCCAATCCCTGACTGACATTTCATTTATTTAAAGATTTTAAAGTTAGGATTTACATACAATAAATTATAGTGATAAGTAGCTCAAATAGGTGAGGGAATATAGAGATAATTAGCTTGCATGTTTTATTTAATGTAAACTTAGTTTTTTCATGACTGTGAAAACAGTAAAATCAGTCCATTATTTTGTGTTTAATTGCACAGAAAACAGAACTCTGAGACTGTATCACATAAAGTGTTTTAGTTTTGTTCATCATTTTACATTTTACTAAGCTACAGTTCAAAAACACAAACTATTCCCAAGTATTTTTGTCTAATACTAGTGCAAATATCTTAGTACACTTGAAATAAGACAAAACTGACTTATAGGCAACTTCTCAGCAAGATATAGGCTCTTCTTTTAAGTCAATAATTAAATACAGATAAAAAGTACTAGTTCCACTATCAGATTATTTCACTCAACAAGCCTTTTTCCCATGCAAGTGAAATAATCTGCCAGAGAAAATAAATGCTTGGTCAGATTTTGTTTTTACAGTGGTGGAGAAAATTAAGTTAGCTGCATTTAAAACCAGATTAAATGCATGATCTGTCCTTCAGGTTTTGTGGAAATGTGCTCCATGCAGCTCAGAGGCAGAAGTGATGGGTGGGGGCCTGTGGTGGTCTCTGCTGCTGCCCTGCTCCTGCTAACAGCCATCGGATTGGCCCTGGCTCTTATTCTCACTCGTGAGTTCCTGCTGCACGCAGTTGCTCAGAATGCAATAAGTCATATATAAAAATAACTGAGGGAATGGATGAAGTGACTTTAGAATGTCCACCACATAGTGTACAGTGAACAAAAGTCTCTGTATGTCATTTTCTCATAATGTCCTGCTTTTCTTTTAGAGCTGAAAAGCCAGACAGTGGACAATCACCTGACAACAGCCTCTACAGGCTTACAGAGCACAGGACATGATGTACCCCACACTTCAACCGCAGCACCTTTGAACAGAAGTCACATGGACAGCACAGCCATACCACAGCCTGATATGATCCCCCAGTCTGAAACGAGTACATATATCCTCAATCAACAGGATTCTCATTTCTTTCTGTGCATATTTGCTTTTCTCCTTTAATAAAATATTTCTTTCTGTCTCCCAGGCTGTGGAGGTGTCATGACTGAGTCAGGGGGCAGTTTCAGTTCCCCAAACCACCCTGGCTCCTACCCCTCAAACTCACATTGCATCTGGGAGATCCAGGTCCCACCCCCACACCTGGTTCAGATCCGTGTTTCCTATCTGGCGGTGGAGGGACCCTCTCCCTGTCTGTTTGACTGGTTGGAGGTTCAGCAGCAGGTCGAGCAGACCTCAGTGTTCACCAGGTTGGTCAGGTTGGAGGCAGGATGAAAATCTAAATCTACCACAAGTTTATTACTTTAAGCTGCTTAACTGCAATGTAAGATTTACACCTCAATCTTCCAGATGAAGTGCTAAAAAAATTACACAAGATGGCGCTAAGGGATTTGCAAATATTTGTAGTCCTTTTGACAAAAAGTACTCCGTGCAAAATTTTTATCTACTCAGGAACATGTTGACCTTTTTACAAATAAAATGTTGCAACACGTTGACAAAATATATGAATACAGAAAACAGTAAAATGATTCAAGTGAATCTTTTTCTTCAGGTTCTGTGGCAGCGTCGCCCCACCAACGATCAACACCAACAGCAGTACTGTGTGGGTTACCTTCCACTCTGACGGCAGCATCGCCGGCGCCGGCTTTGCTGTGCAGTACAGAGCTGTCCTGTCCACACAAAGTCAGTATTCGGTGTTCCAGATCAGTGTTTTTCAAACAGGGGGCCTCAGCTCCCGGAGGGTCGCTCAAAAAGCTGGAGGGAAGATGAGGGGGAAAAAAGTCACATGAAAAAATGGCATTTTAAATCATTTATTTATTTATTTATCTGTAATCTGTTTTTTGATCATTTTTGAAAAGCAAGGATGGAAGAAATTTCCTTTATTTTCCCAAAGAGGGGAAATTCAGTAAAAGCTTATTTGCTACACTCATCTTTCTGATTAGCTGTAGTCACATTTATCAAGTTGCTTTCCTCAAGCTATCTGGCTATCAAGCTATCTAGGAAGAGTGAAAAGGAAAAGTTTACAATAAAAAAAAAAGACTGAAGGAAACCATTTTTTTCTCCCTGTTGTGGAGGACAGTGTGGCAAAAAACCTCAACTGTGGAAATTAAATACAATTTACAGAAGAAGTTTAAGGCAACTGAAAAAGAAAAAAAATCTCATTATTCAATCAATCAAATTTTAGTTGAATAGCATGTTTCAGCAGCAAAATGCTTTACGTCATAACGTTATTTTTCTCAGAATTTTGGCCTGTTTCTTAGAATTCTTACTTTTGATGCCACATTAGTCAGAATTCTATGATTCTATCCAGAATCTCAAAATTATAGTCAGAAAATGACTATTATTGCTTGACATGAAAAGTCAAAATTCTATGAAAATTATCTGATAAAATTATCACGCAAAAATGTCCCACCACAGAACTCATGGCCACATATTTAGTGGCCAGTAAGTCACTAAATATGTGAGGAGCATTCTGAAAATGAATGTACACTTTATTGAATAATGAAAATGAAAAAGTAACATCTAAAAGTTAATGTCTCTTTATAGGTTTTGCAGCATTGTCTGTGGGTCTTCAAAAAGGGTCTTCGGCCAGAACCTAATGCTGTTTGGGGGGCCATGGCCTGGAAAAGTTTAGGAACGCTTGTTATGTTTGTGCAAACTCACATTCATTTCCACTTTCACCACAGGATCTTCTCTCTTTCCTCAGAGAGCTGCAGCAGAGAAGAGTTCATGTGTGATGATGGCCGGTGCCTGCTGCCTGTGTCTGTGTGTGACAGTCAGCCAAACTGTAATGACCAAACAGATGAGGCAAACTGTAGCCATAAGCACAAAGGTGAGAGCACAGAAGCTATTATAAACACAACAGGAATCTTTAAGAAGAAAGGATCTGTGATCATTGTTGTTTTCCAGAATGTGGTGGTCAGAAGTCTGGGCCATATGGTTACTTGGCAAGTCCAAATCACCCCAGGCCTTATCCTCACCAGCAGGTAATTCTGGAAAAAAACAAACACACCCAGATTGCTAATAACTGGAAAAGTAACAGCCTTTGTTATGTTCCCTAGTTGTGTGTGTGGCATATATCTGTCGATGAGGGTCATATCATCATGCTAAACTTCAGAAACTTCAGTCTGGAGACGCAGGATATGTGCGAGTTTGACTATGTAGAAGTCCATGACAGCAACAGCATTGGAGCTGGGAGAGTTTTAGGGAGGTAAGAAGCTCTTTAATATCATTTGTGTTTTTCTTCACCTGAGTTCAAGAGTTGAGCTAAGACAGCTGTTGTGCCTTGGTGACAGGTTTTGTGGTACGACCTTCCCATCAGACCTGACCTCCTCAGGCCCGCACATGACAGTGGTGTTTGTGGCAGATGAGGGCGTGGCAGACAGCGGCTTTAACGCAACATACCAGGCTGTGTCTGTGTTGAACAGTGAGTCTTTGCTTTAATAAAGTTAGTGTTCTTGTTTCTAAATTAGCCCTCTAATTTCACCCCCATATTTTTAACATGGGTCATAAGAAAATGGGGTAATGCTTATGTATTTACTGAAAAACTATCCATCTCCTTGAAACGCCACTAATTTATTTTCTGATTGTGAAACTTGAATTAAACATTCATATTATTCATTAATTTGGAGCATAGAGGTAAAATGTGAGTGGCGTTGATGGAATCATGGATTTGTTTTACTGCCTGTCACATGGTATAAGCAGAGTATCTTTATTAATATGCATTCCCCTTCTATGTGTTTGGATTTTATGTAATAGACCAGTACAAAATAGTGTATAACATCACTTATAGCAAAGCAAAAACATTGCACATTACTCTGAACAAACCATCAGCTTGATTTCTCATAATGATGGCAGCATCCAGCTGTAGGAATGATTTTTTACAGCAAGGACGAGAACATTCAGCAGGCTAACTACAAGTAGCCCTAGAAAAAAATCTGTCAGAAGCCACGAAGATTTAAGACTAGAGCTGAGAATTATAGAAGAATTTCAGTTCCTACATATGGTGGTAGAGAAATACTGCAGCTGCAACTGTTAGTGACTCAAGAAGAGCTGAAAATTTTATTTGTTACGTTTCTGCAATTGGTGCATAAATTTCTATTCCCTTCACAGCTTCTGTGTGTTGGTCTGTAACAGAAAATCCCAATAAAATTATTGATGTTGTTTGGTAACTGAGAGAATCAGAACCTTTTGCAGGGCACTGTAGATTTGTCCTTTTCACAACATACTATAAATATATATGCAATTAGGTTCTAATGCAAATGTTTCTGTCCTTGACATGTTGCAAGAGAAAGTGAAAAACCAGCATGATTAAAAGCATGCATATTATCATACCAAATTAGTTTTTGTTTTCCCTGATAAGGAACGTGTGGCCCGAACCAGATCGCCTGCAGCACAGGGGAGTGCCTTCAGCAGCAGTGGCTATGTGATGGGTGGAGTGACTGTTCAGACGGTGCTGATGAGCAGGGCTGTGCTAACTCCACCTACCCTCCTTTCAGTGAGTCCATGTTATCACCGGCCTCAATCAAGAAGCACCGATAGTTTCTTTTGACTGCTGCTGCTGAGCGGTTGACATAGGAAACAATCTGTTGTTCATAACAGGGCAAAGGAAATAGAAGAAGTTCAGATACAAAAGATGTCCCAATTTAAATGAGGTCAGATTTCTCACAGCTGTTTTAAGAAATTTAAGTATGTCTTCTTTTTTCCTCACACAATAACACTAGCTTCATCATGCGAGATCATAGAGGTGGAGATGTGTCAGGGCCTCAGTTACAACTTTACCTCATTCCCCAACATTTGGCTGTCCATTGCTGACCAGAGGGAAGCCGCTACACTCCTGCGACAGTACCGGGTAAAAGTTACTTTAATAACGCATAATGATTACACACCTGAAGGGATCTTACTATGTCAATGCTTTTTCTTTTATTTTATTGCTTCAAAGAGTCACAATAACTAGTTTGGAAAGAAAAAAAAACTAGATGTTTTGGGCTGAACAACCACATTTCAAAACAAACCATATACATCCATGGATCAGACTAGTTTTTGGTCCATCTCAGGATGGTAACGCTTAACCACAATGTTTGAAAAATACACATTTCTTAGTTTCTAGATAAAATTTAGGTATGATGATTACCCTTTCAAAGTGGTGGATTAGTCAAAGGTAGTTCATAAAGTTAACCTCATTGAATTAATTCTGTTTAGTGGAACTGATGAATGTCCAGATGAGGCTTAGGCTATGGATATTTGTCAAAAACCTATGGCATAGTGTTTGGTGGCCGTATTTTGAATCTTACTTACTTAACTATTACTTGTTAAACCAAAATAATGCAAACTTCTTGCCTAAACGATACATTTCTTTTGGCCCCGTTGTATCCATGGACATGAAGGACAAGAGTTAACTGAAATACTCAACAGACTAAGGATTCAGAAAATGTATAATATTCCCATAATGTCGGATGGATGAGGTGATTGTGAGCTGTTATTTTAAAGTCACAGACTTAGACTTGTTCTTTGGTGTATGGGGAGTGTTCAGCATGTCACTTATGTATCTAGTTTGTTAATTACAATCAAATTGTTAAAACATGTTTTATCAGTATAGACATTGCATTGTTTTTGGCACAGGTTATAGACAGTGATAATCAGGGTTTACTTTGTTCTGTGGACAGGTGCTAATGGAGCTGGTGTGCTTCGAGCCTCTACGGAAGCTGGTGTGTGGGATGTTTCTTCCTCAGTGCAGCCCTCAGGGTGGAGTCCTCCAGCCCTGCCGCTCAGTCTGCTCCACCGCTGAGCAGCAGTGCAGCCAGGCCCTGGACCTCTTCTCCTTTAGCTGGCCTTTCAACTGCCACCTCTTACCAGACTCGCAAGACCCAGTGGATTGTTCACAGCCTTAAAGATTAAACTTCAACAAAACATTTACTGCTGTAAAGGGGCTGAGTATATTAGTTTTTTAAGGAGAAAATAACTGCAGGGTAAGGTTGCGAAGTTCTCAGAATTTAACCTTTGCTCTTTACCCCTCTGGAGGTCAGGCTAAAGCTGCATGACCCTTCACCAAGAAATTACTGCATTCGTTGAGCAACGTGAGCATGCAGACATTTAAAGTGGCACAACTTTAAATAGACCTAAAACTAATGGCCTAAGTCTACAGATGAAGTAAGAAACAATGTTAAGTGAACTGACTTTTCAGTTTCTTGCTTTAATGTCATTACTGTAAAAATAAAAAAGTCACATATTGTTTTAAAATATTTTTTACTGCATTGTTCTTTAACAAATATGAAAAGTCTTGATTATTCAGGAGTTGATATCAGTTTAGGTTTGATCAACAATGAAATAAGAAAATAAACTCTTTTTCTATTTGTGCTTGGTTCACTATATGACATCACAAGTTTTCTTGTGTTTTAGTCATATATGGACCAGTCAGACACTTAAATATTCTCCTTCACTTTATTAATTGAAAAAAAAAAACAGAAGAAAAGCTTCAACAATGCCTTTCAGTAAGGTCAAAAAATCTGACTTGTCTTGATTTTTCATAACAGATTATAATATATAATCATCAAATGCATAGGAGAAAAGATCTGTCTCCTAACACGTTAATAAACACAACTGGATTATTAAACATTAGACTGGCTGGAAGAAATCCAGATTTTCTTCACTGATTATTGATGTCTGCTACATAAAAGAAGCATTCAGCCATTGAAAACCTCAGTAACAGATCCATATGGAGGTATAAGAAGTTTGAGAGTATGGTCCAGAGCGACTGCAGTCAGACCCCATACTCGGTGTTTGCCATTACGAAACACTGGTAGTGTGTATCCATACTTGTTGCCAGTACGAAAGTTTGTGTAGCCGCGATTCTGGGGATTGGACAGGTGTGACAAGGACAAGGTGAAGATCTCGTCCACCTAAAGGAAAAACAAGACAAAACAAGTTCAACTAAAGTTTTGAAGAAATTAAACAACAACAACAACAAAACAATCTTAGTTTGGACTTGACTGTACCTCCTCTGGGTTTGGTTTGAATGCTAACTCCTCAAGAGGACCAAGGTTAGCCAACACTGGAGCAATCATCATCCCTGACTGCAGAAAAATAACAACATATACTGTCATGTCACAACCCTCGAGTTTCCTTATATTACAACCAACTTCTTAGCTGGCTTTGAGTCTGGACTTTGACTGGGCCATTCTAACATTCAAACAAGATAGAATTTTTAATTGCTGAATGTTGGGCCTCTCCAGTCAAGCCTTTCTTTAGAATCAAGGATATTTCTACCAATACCTCCCTGTTGCTTTGACTCTTTCATGCATGTTTAGGAAATCCTTGAATCTCCCATGGCAACCATTCAGGGGTGCTTGAAGCCTGCTCTCACACTAACACTTCATATTTCCACAAAACTCCTCTTTGGACTCTGCCTTGCTGAGCATCCCTCCTCTGCACCTTCCTCATTCAGCTTCCTCAAACTAGCACCAATTAGCAAACCCCTGGTGGAACTACATTTCTTCTGAGCTCATCACACAAACATCTTCTCAGTCCAACATTCCTATGAACTGTTGTAAATGGTATTGAGCTTTAACATGCTGAAAGTGGAGTGTCAGAAAGAGCAGGAGCTCCTTAAAGAGACAGGTGACAATTTCAAGTCAAATTGCAAAGTCAAATTCTGCTCAAGTCATGTTTATAACATCTGAATATAGCATAGATACTTAATTGTGCTGTAAAATGCCACTATGTGCCTGAAAATACATAGTACCACCCCTTTAATGATCTATATAGTTTTTTAATTATACAGATCATAATATAGTTATGATACATAATAACTATGTAATATATTCATAGTTATTACTTCTGTAGATTCAACAGGAGACAAATTAAAGAAAGCTTTCAAATCACATCAAAACACCTCCCACTCACTGTGTCCCTCAGAGGTTTCATGACACCCCAGACATTTTCAGCTGGAATAGTAACTCCCAGCTCCTCTCTGGCTTCCCGCAATGCAGTGGCCACTACATCTCTGTCTGATGGATCACCCTTTCCTCCAGCAAAGCTACAAGGACAGATAATATAGTACCCTGCCTGTAAATCATTGAAATGTGAAATACAAAAAATGTTGAGTGTGCTTGTCTTCCTTCTCTCACTAACCTGACGTCTCCTTTGTGCTTGCCCTTCAGTGTACAGGAACGCAGAGTAAACAGAAACGCCGGCCCTCCTTTATCGTAGCAGAGGGAAACCAAGATGGAAGCCCACTTCCCTTTGTTGTTTCCTTGAGCCTGGCCGGCCCCTTGTCTCACTTTCTCCATGTCGTAGTGCTTCCAGTTGGCCTGCAGGATCTGTCGGCATCTGTTTTCGTTCTCAGGGGACAGGCAATCCTTCCAGGTATCTTTTACATGAGGGACAGCCTGATGGACAGTTCTGATTTGATAGATGGAGTGATAGTGGGTTTGTGCTCGACAGTGGAACCGATTTGAAATCCGGGGATTAAGTGCTGGCATAACATAAGTTGTAGCCAGGCTAAGATCCAAAGGCCAGGAAGTCCTGTTGAATAAACAGTGCCAGAAAGTACTTAAAACATAACATGCTTTGGTTTTGGCAGAGACCTGATGCTGATGATAATGGCTTTTCAGAATGGCTTTGGAAATGGGGGTTTCAGATATAAGGCCTTCCAGCTGATAATTCTCACTGTCTGTGCTGAAAGACGTCGGTTGAGATGAACAGCATAAAGTCATAGTGTCTTTTTCATGGTTTTGATCATGTCTATCATGTCTTCTGGCATGAATGTGTCTAGCTTCCAAACATGTTGAGTCAATGTCTTTAGAGAAAAGGTGGAATTCTTTTGACAGCTGCAGTGACCTTAAGTTACAAGCACAAACCGGTATTCGTGGACCCCTGAACATCCTGTAAACAAACAGAAAATATACAGCGATTAGAATAATGTACAGACAGGTTGTGCTAATTATTGACTTATTAGTATAAAAAATTGTCATGTGAACCGCATTACATATTCTTAAACTTGCAGATTGGCAAATTATTAAGACTAAATACAAATGCATGCTTCTCAGATTTGTATTTGTAAACATTTCCCTTTACATCACAATTATGTGAAACTTACTATTCTCTAATTAAAACCACCCGATACAGTACGTTGTAACGTGAAAAATGTTTTATTTTTTTTTTATTTTTGGAAGAGTTTATTAAAAACACAATTTCAACACCCAGCAGGTAAAGTTAATGCCCAAAAGTCAAACTATGCTGCTACCCAACTTAATATGCTTTACTTTATCTTGAGGCAATTATTTTGCAAATGTTGACATTCAAATAACACAGCAGTAGCAGTCAAGACCTACTCTGTAAATCGAGCTTTCAGAATAGCAACCCAAACTAACTGGATAAGTTAGCAAAACATTAGCAACACAGATAGCTAGCAAGCTAATGTCAACCGTTACACAGCTGAAAATTGTGACTTATAAACTACGCCTATTTAACATGTCCCACATTAGTTCAGAATACGTATAAGACAAATAAATATATATGAAATAACTAAAATATTTACTGGAGTACAACGTACACCGAGAGCTGAACGTGTTCACACTGAGAGAGAAAAACAAAACCTGGTCATTCGTCGTGCTACCCGGCTAGCTGCCCTTGGGTCCGCTCCTTTTTCTCAGAACGGTGCCAAGTGCAGTAGAAGTTATGGTCACTTTCAGCGAGGGAGGAGTGGACTACTGAACTCGTTCAACCTAACATGCTTTGCTTACAAGATGATTATATAACAACTGAAAATGTTTTAAATATACACTTTGTAATACAACTTATGAAGTACTTTTACTGATTCAATTTATTTACATATTTTTTTATGAATTGGCAACAATTCTTATTTGACATTAAAACAGCCCAGCTGTTAATTTCAGCCGTATATTCTAAATGAAAACCACTAAATGTTAAAAGAGCTCAGATCTCAGGATAAGAACCGCAGAGTGTTCCGCTAACACGAATTGAACACTTATTTTGCATCATAAACAAATAAAACACACACAAAGGTTGTGGAAAGCTGTAGACAAAGCGGGGTTAAGTTCACAGAGCTTACACCTCGTTCCCACATGGGGTGCAAAAAACCCAAAGAGCAGAAACTGGAACTGGCTAAACTTTCAAAATTACTCATAGATAAGATTTAAAAATAAAAAAAAAGAAAAACAAAACAAATTCTTAGATTAAAAATATCGAAATGGCTTGCGCCGTGGGGAAGATGAGGCGGATCCAATGGAGACTCTGAGCATCACATGCGTCAGCCCCTCCCTCTGTGTTGACGTCAGACATACTTCACATAAAACTTGTTTTTCCTCTTTTTTTGGATGAGGGCTGGGTTGTAGTTAGAAAAATAATTAGTGATTCAATTCCTGCAAAACCCCATGAATTACGTCATTGCTGTTGAGTGCCGCATAGCCAGTTTGTCTTGTTTGCTGTTCCCCCCTCCCCCCCAAAAGTGGGTAAAAAAGTGTTCTTCATTATTTTCATTTCCAAAAAAAGAGAGTTAAACCAATTGTTAGTTTGAAAATTTCAAACATTCATCCCAGTCATGTTGTTTTGTGAATTTTAAAACAATGATTTTGAAGGTTCAGGCTAAAAGTACTGTCAAACGATTGACAAACACCAGTGACAGAAACTCCACCACACCTGTTCCACAAGCCCCACCCAAACTTAAGGAAGCTTGAGTACTTCAGTGGTATGTGACTCAAGTCAACTGTCATTTTACTGTTAAGGTCCCTGGCTGTCCTTCCTTTTTGCTACAAGCATTGATTTTTGTAAACTGTAACATACTTCTTCATTGACACCATCAAGAACTCAAGCATCATCATGGACTCAGCTTGGCCTGAAGAAGAGAACTTTGCTTGCTCAGTATGCCTGGAAACACTGAAAGAGCCCACCACTCTAACATGTGGACATTCCTACTGCTTGAGCTGTATCGAAAACCACTGGGACAAGGAAAACAACAAAGGTCAATATAGCTGCCCGCAGTGTAGGCAGCTCTTCGCTCCTCGACCTCATGTGGCCAAGAATAGGCTGCTTGCACAAGCCATGGAGAAACTAAGAACAAACAGCATAAAGCAAAGCAACATGGTAGGCATCTATTCAGCTGAACCAGTGAAGCCTGTCTACTTGGACGTCATCTCGGATATTGGGCCCAGGAAGGGCAGCATGTACCCTGCGCTGCCTTCGGTGGAACCCAGTCTCTGCCCTCAACACAAGCAACCACTGGATTTGTTTTGCTATGAAGACAAGGAGTGTGTGTGTGTGATGTGTTGCCAGGATGGACACAAGGGACATCATGTGGTTGGACCACAAGAAGAAAGAAGAGAGAGACAGGTATGTAACTGGCAAATGTCATGTCCGCCTTAGTATACTAACCTTAGTAAAGAGGTTAGTATATTTGATGAGTAAAATAAAGATCAGAGAAATCACAAACTATCTTTATTTATCTCGACTTCTGATTTGACTGCACTGCAATCCATTTATTCACTTTGCCCTCCAAACTTTGATGTGTGTCTAGGAAGAGCTTGTCCAGGTGCAGGCAGAAGTACACAGGAGAATCCAGGAGACTGAGAGGAATATCAGGCAGATCCCACATTCTGCGCGTCAACAAAAAGTCAGTGAAACTCCTTGTTGATTTTCTTCAAGTAGATATTTACCAAGGCATTTATGAAATCTCTCGTGTCTCTCTCTAGGCCTTGCTGCAGGCCCTTCAAAGGGAGAGCTCTGATTTATTTCCAGAGCTGGTTAAGAGTCTAAATCTGACAGGGACACGGGTTGATGAGCTCCTTATTGCTCAGGAGAAGGTCTTTGATGGACAAGTCGAAGCACTGGTGAAGCATTTAGAGCAAGATTTATCACAGCTTCGTCAAAAGAGTGAAGAGCTGGGCAGGCTGGCTTACATGCACGATAATATCTCCTTCTTGAAGGTAAGGATGGTTCTAGAAAATGGTTTCATTTTCTTTTGACAAAATACTCAAAATGTTAAAAATGAGTTGTTATGGTTGTTTTATCCGATTCTTTGCCATGTTTTTCTCTCAAGAACTTCCTCCTCATGGAGCCGTTGGGGGAGACTGGTACCGCAGGACAGTCTGGGATTATTCAGGAGGAAGGCGTGGTGGCTTCCTTAAGATCAGTCATTAAAGAGCTGCAGGAATCTGTACAAAATCTCTGCAAACAAAGTCTATCCAAAATTGCCAATATAGGTCAGATTATTTTCCTCATCATTGTTTTCTTTTTTACTTCCTGATTTGTTGATGACTAAAAGTTTATCTTTGTAGTGGGTCATGAACCCATGGCTTCGACACCCAACAGTGTGGCAGCAGCAAGCACAGCATCAGCTGATTGTTCTGGTCAGGCTGCTGCACAGGCTTCAGGTTTGGAAACCTCTCTTTCTGTCCAGTGCTACACAGAATATTCTTAAACTTGAAACAAATGTATTTTACAAAGTATTATTTTTTTCAAACTTAGTCTATGAAGAAATTGATGTTTCTCCACAGCCACAACCTATGCGACCTCATTGTAAGTTTCTTATACGCATAATATGTTTTTGTCTCTATTTTTTTTTAATCATGACAATTCTCAGTCTTAAAATTGTCATAGTTTCCTCCACAGTACGTGAGTCTTCAAGATTCAGAGGATCTATGAGTCAAGGTAAGATAAAAATAAAATGATAACAGGGATGTTGTGCTGATGATTGAGCTTATGGAGGTAAAACTTGTTTCAGTGGAATTTTTATAATGTTTTCTCTTCCCCTGCCTGTTTTGGATATGGATCCCCAGCAAACCCTCCACCTCTCCCACCTTTCAGGCCTCAAGGTACATCTACTTGCAATGCATTTAATCTAAAGGTTACACTTCACTTGTATTGTTTAGTAATGCATCATTACGAACTTGTTGTTGTAGGATCTGGAACATCAATTAAGCTTGTGAACCCAGAGCCAAAAACAAGAGAGGAAATGTTAAAATGTGAGTCTGTTTTAATGTTCAAGATAAAGTACAATATATAAAACTGAAATTTATCATTCTAGATGTCCTTAGGCTTCATCACAATGTTCTCTGTTTTTCTAGTCCGCTTTGAACCTACCATAGACCCAAACACAGCCTACCGCCACATTAAGCTGTCAGATGATTGTCGTAAGGTCACAATGCGTCCTGAAAACCTGAATCCACCTGAACACCCTGATCGTTTCTTCTTCTGGAGACAAGTTCTCTGCAAAGAGCCCCTGGCAGGGAGCCCTTACTACTGGGAGGTCGAGTGGACTGGCCAGAAGGCGAGTCCTTACACACGAGCTTTAAATGCAAATTTGCCCTTCATTTATGCCTTGCTAATCATAATACTACCAATGATTGTTTATATTGTTTAAGATTGTTTTTTGGAGAGGAATGGTGGATGGATTGCTTTTAGGCCACTTCACACATCAAAATCTGCTACTTACTCTTATGATTGCTTGGTTTTCTGTTCTCATTTGTTTCTGTCTATGCCACCATGCAGATCACCATTGGTGTTGCTTTCAAGGACATGGAGCGCAAAGGCAATGACAACAAAAGCCGTTTGGGTCACAACCCTCAGTCCTGGAGCCTTTACTGGTCTGGCACCGGCTACTCCTTCTGGCACAATAACCAGGAGAAACTTCTGGGCTTGCCTAAGGCTACGCGGGTCGGCATCTATCTGGACCAGCATGCTGGGATTCTAAACTTTTACAACATCACCAACAACAAGGCTTATCTCATCCATCACCATGAGACGCAGTTCACTGGGCCACTGTATGCAGGGTTCAGGCTGGGGGCCGGAATAGGGGACTCTCTGACTATTTGTCAACTGAATTGAATTCTTGATTCTCATAGTTTGGTTGCTTTGTTTTTGATTATTACAACTAAAGTTTAAGCTCTCAAAATGTCTTGTGACCCTGACATGCATGGACATACTTAAGACTGTGCAATTTCTAGAATATTTTGTGCACCAATCTCATTGTGATTTGAAGTTTAACTAAATTGTTGAAAGGCAATGAAATAAAAAGTATCTTATTTGAAACTTTTTTTTAAAGTTGTTGTTCTTTATATTTGAAAAGCAGCACTAGGAGGGAAACAGACCCTCAGCAAGATGCTACCTCCACCATGCTTGACAATTGGTACTTTTTTGCTGATTGAAAAGGCTCATCATAGTGCGTAGCTATTGTTGCCAATAACTGTCTGCGTCCTTAACATTTCGCTTTCTCTTGAAAAGCGAAATGTTAAGGCTTATGTGAGCAGCTGAATATCCTTTGGTCATTCATCCTTGCAGAAGTTGATTTTTGAATGCTTATTTTTCTGCTACTCAATCCATGTGGATGTTACAAACTTGATATATGTTGAGGACAATGACACTACAGTTGAATAATTTTCAACATGATTTTTTTTTGTACAATTCTGACCCAGCACAGTAATTGTCAAATATTCCAAAAGCAGAAATTCCCCGGCCAGGAGGTTGGACACACTGCAACCAAGAGATTTGTGCGTCTCTTACAAGTGACATATAATACCTGAGCAGCATGAGGAACAAAGCCCCGAACTATGAGGAAATGTCAGGGACAGACAGTCCACAGGGATTAAGAAATCTATACCTGCACATCAGGTTTTAAAGGGACACAATGAGGAGGAGGAGCAAAGTTAGGAGGTTATCAAGGGAGGAGCTACACAAAAAAAATATATATTGTCTGTTCCCGTGTTATTGGTGAATATACTTTTCTCCTCCTGCAGAAGAATCGGTATCATTTGCCACCATGAGAGGTGAGACTTTAATAGTTAGAGCTTGATAGACATTATTGTTGGAGTAGTAAATTACAAATGTCAGTATTAAAGATAAGTAAGAAAATTAGATTTGATTAAAAGTATAAAATAACACACACATTTAATAGAAAAAAAACAGCTCATCTGAAAATTGATGCTTTTTATAAAAAGAGGAAAAATGTGTCAATTTGATGATCATTTTGAAAGATGGTTCAAATTTTAGAAAGCATTTCTGCAAAAGTTTCCTGATTAGTGCATTTTTTTGTTGTTTCAGGGATTGTTCTGATGTGTCTGCTGGAAGCAGTTTTTGGTCAGGACAGATTCAGCTGGAATGGACCTGTTGTCACACAACCCACTGCAGACCCTAATCTAAACAAAAGTGGGTTAAATGTCTCTTTAGACTGAGTCCCTACCAAGTTTTGGCTCCTAAGCTGGAGTTTGTATGATTTCTTGTATGTGTACAGTGTGCAGTAACGACCAAGCGGCGTGTGGCTGCTGTCTGATGCAGAAGCAGATGGAGAGGATGGAGCTGTTCTTTAACATGACAACCAAAGAAATGAGCCAGCAGCTCATGAACTCTAAGATGACCCTCAACAACATCAAAAGTGAGTGCATAAGCCGAGCAGATTACGGCACAGAACATCATGGCCTTCTGATCCCATTAAGCAGATCTTTTTCTGATATGTTTTTCTGTTTTTTAGACAACCGCAGCGCCTTCTCTGTCGCCCTGAACAACGAGAAACTTTTGACTTGCTTCGGCCCCGTAGCTGAAGACAGAAACATTCTCTACAAGCACATCTTCCTCAACCTGGGAGACAGCTACAATGCTCAGACCGGCATCTTCACCGCTCCCAATTCGGGTGTCTACAGCCTGGCGGCCACCGTCTACAGCCTGTCTCCTGTTGACCTGCCCCAGGCCACCTGCGCCCAGCTGCAGGTGAACGGCGTAGCCGTGGCTCCCCTCGTTGAGAAGAACGGACTGGACAGCGAGGACAGCAGCACCGTTGTGATCGCAAGGCACCTGAAGGCCGGCGACCAGGTGTCTGTCAGCCTGCTGAAAGGGTGCAACGTTTGCGACGACGCCTCCCACTATAACACGTTCACCGGTTTCCTGCTGTATGCTGCATGATGACCTCTGTTCAGGTTGACAGACATGAGTTCAGTTTCCTGCGCTCAGTTTCCTGTTACTTGTTGTGTTTGAGGCAGTCTGCTTTCTTCTGTATGCCATGCACATAAATTGTTAGCATCATGTCAATTGTTAGCATCAACTGAAGAGTAAATATGAACAAATAATGTAGCTGTTATTTCTTTTTCTAAATTGAGGTATCCTGGATGTAACTTTTGACCCTGTTCCAATGAAATGATATGATCTGAGTTGCTTTCATTGTTCAGATAAAAATAAACGACTTAAACATAAAGCTGTCATTCTGAGATTAAATTTGTGAGCAAATGAAACAACAATAATAAATGAAACTTCACAGTAAATCCGATGTTGTTTTTTGTTTATTTCTACATTTTGTCACGTCACAACCATGAAGCACAACCTATTTTGTGGTGATTTTATACAATAAATCAACGGTGTTACACATAACCGTGAAGTGAAATCAAAAGGAGATGTTGCTTTTTACAATTCTTGCTAATTAAAATTTGAATGGGATGGCTTGCATTTGTGGTGTTCAGCCACTTTCTACCCTGATACCACTGATTTAAATCTAGGATAACTTCAAAAGTCATCTAATTGTGAATTAGGATTAACCTATATCCAACTTTTCTATGAAAAGTCTCCGAGATTTCCCAGAGAACATTGAAGAATAAATATAATGGAGACTAAGAAATACATTAAATACTGCTGAAACAATATTCAAAGCATCTCACAGAGCACTGTTCAATCCATTGAACTTTATAGCCTATATGCACTGTTAACATAGTGGTGGCAGCATTATGCTGTGGGCGTGCTTTTTTTTTAGCAGACACCGTGAAACTGGTCCATATTCAAGGTAAAGTGGATGGAGTTAAACGTAGGGAAATCCTGCAAGGAAATCTGTGATTGGCTGCAAAAGATTTAATGACAGCAGGACTCTAAACATTCAAACTGAGATGCAATCACAACCACACAACCACATTTCATTATAGCCAGACTTGCCACTTTTGCTTTCTTATGGTGTAGAATCACATCACTGATGTAAAAGTGGGATAAAATGTGACATGAACATTCCGACTGCAGTCGCTTTGAAAACTATCAGATACATATCGAATTTATTTTTATTGGAAGTGGCACAAATCAGATTTTGGGGGGTGAAAAGATTGGAATTAGGCTGCTCAACCTGCTGCGAAAATGTCAAACGTGGTCAAAAAATTTGATTTGGGTTGCATTTTCCTGCTGTGTGAATGTATCCTGGAACTAGTGGAGACTTTGACCAAAAACCAAAATGCCATAACTGGAATGAAGATGACTTGATGATTTTTATTATTAAAACACATATTAAAACACATAATGTGGAAAACAAGTCCAGACCTTTTCAAGGCATCTCTTATTATCTCCTGGTGTGATAGGACCAACACCTCCCTCCAGATGATATGTGATATGTACCCTGCATCAATAACAAAGAACTTCAGGGTGTGTTGCTGCTTCTGTAAGCACCCAGTGATAAAAATACTTCCAGTTATACTATTACAGAGATTAGCAGGGGGCCCGATTGAAGAAGAACAAACCAAGGTGGAGCAATTTTAAAGGAGGGCAACCATAAATATGAGGTAGTAAGGGAGGAGCCCAGGAGAACTATATATCCACGATTACTTTCCCCAAACAGTCATTCCTTTCACTTTGTCCTTCCTCTTGAAGCTGTCTGTATATCACCAACATGAGAGGTGAGATGGACACACAACAACAAAAGAAAATTTTTATTACAAAGCTCGATAAATGTTAATCTATCTTTTACTTGTTTTTCACTCCAGCTGTCGTGTTGTTGTGTTTGCTGCACGTGGCCCCTGGTATGAGTCAGTTCAACTGGGAAGGACCTGAGCGAGTCGCTCCGGACGCCGTCACCAATTCTGCCAGTGGTGAGGACTTGCGATTGTGTTTTTAAGAGTGGATGAATATGTGCATCTTCAGCTGAATGAACGCTAAATTGTCTTTGTGTTCAGCCTGCAATGTGGATACGCTTTCGTGTGAATGCTGCAAGATGGTGCGCGAGACAAACCGACTGCAGACGTACTTTAATACAACTCTAACTAATTTGGAGAGGGAGTTAGATAAAGTAAACCAAACTTTTGTCACTCTTCAAGGTGAGAATCCCATTCTGAAGATATTTAGATAAGAAATCACTGTTCTACTTTCTAATTACTCTAATCTCTTCTTCTGCAGGCAGTCGTGTTGCCTTCTCCGTCTCTCTGTACACCGGAGACAACTTCAAGTGTTATGGACCGTTTGGGCTCGACACCGTCATTGTTTACCAGCACATCTTCATCAACCTGGGAATGGCCTACAATATGGCTACTGGTATCTTCACTGTCACCTACCCTGGGGTTTACAGCCTAGCCGTGACCTCCTTTAGCGATGCCGGTTCTCCTGGCAACACGCTGGCTGTCTGCACCACCCTGCAGGTCAATGGCCAGATAGTCGCTGGATCCAGAGAACTCAACAGGAGCGACCAGGAGGACAGCACCACCATAGCTGTTGCCCTGAAACTGAAAGCTGGAGACAAAGTGTCAGTCAAGTTGGCCAAGGGATGCTTCCTCTGTGACGATTCAAACCACTACAACACTTTCAGTGCCTTTCTGCTTTATGCTGATGCATAAGTTAGGGAGTTTAGTTTCCTCCTCTGTAATGACATGTAGGCGCTTACATTATTATGTTCTAAGCTGTTTGAGGGAAATCATATTTTAAATGTCATCCTATAAGCTTTCAGTCGGGTGATCGGAAATCTTCCTGACATAAACCACGATTGGTTAGATGTGTAACATCTTATGTTTTTCCTCATCAGATTATGACATTTCTTGTTTGATTTGAGGCTCAAAGCCAGAAATCCTTCAATGACTTTAAGACAAAGAAGTTTCCTTAATTTGTGATTTTCTTTTAATCTGAATTCTTGTGTTTTCTCAACAAACAAGGAAATGTAAAAAACAATAAAATACTGGAATGTGAACATTGATTTGCTGTCTTTATTTGGTTAATAATTGATGTTTTCTTTGCATATAATCAAATCTTTGATTTTTTTTCTTTTTACAAAAGATAACATCTCCAAGAAGCCATTCTGAAAGACTAAGATTGAAGTATAAGATGTGTTAACATATAGTAAAACATATTTAGAATGTCTAAAATCATGATCTTTGGGGTGGACGTTTGGTAATATGTTAAACATTATTAATAAATGACTAAATTAATCCCCATTATTGAAGATTAAAATACAAGGTATTTTTATGGTTCAGCTTGCACTGTGAAGATTATATACAGCTCTGAAGAAAATGAAGAGACCTCTTAAAATGATTTGTCTTTTTTATAGGTTTATGTTTGAGTAAAATCAACATTGTTTTTTTATTCTATGAACTACTGACAACATGTCTCCAAAATTCCAAGCATTAATTCAGTATTAGTTTGCAGAAAATAAATAACGAAAAAGATGCATTGTTTTCAGACCACAAATAATATAAAGGAAACAAATACATATTCAACAACAATACCAATGTTTTAACTCAAGAAGAGTTCAGAAATCAATATTTAGTGGAATAACCAGGAGACTTTCGATGAGGTTCACTGCAGTGGGTTCTTCATTTTTTCCAGAGCTGCGGTAGTTGATTATACATATGAGATGAACATCAAATATAGCCTTATAAAATCCTACTTTCAACATATACAATACAATTTTTATTGATGATTGCAGACTTTATCTTTGTTTAATTAAAATACATCTCTTTTCTTTCTTTAAGTATGTAGAATAAATACTCTTGAAATTCGGGAAAGACAAGAGACACATCATACAAGTGAGGCAGACTTATGTTGAGTTTCATGAGTCAGAAAATAGCTACAAAAATTTGAATTTGCCCATTTTAAATTAAATTGTTCAAAACAGCTGTAGATGTGACACATAAAGCTTAATGGGGAATCAAAATTGTTTCACCTGAATTTTATCTTCAGGGTCAAACTTCAAAATAAAGAAGTCAAACCTACATTATGTGCAGTACAAACTGTATATACTCTGATCCAAGGAATGTGCAACTGAGTAGAAACATTTTTATAACATAGTCAATATTAAATGGGAAAAAGAAAAATCTTAATCGGCATTTCATCATCGTGGATGGGTTCATCTTTGGTAGTGATGGGAGAGCACACAGGGACGAAGTCACCAGGTTGTTTTAATCACAACATGGCCATTAAAGAAGCAATAGTTGACTCCAGAACGATATCCATGATAATGTGTGGAGAAGGTGGCCAGTTTTATGTTCCTAGTTATGCACATGGATACAGACCTGAAATGGAGACCTAACGCCACAGCAATAGTGAAGACAGCTTTTACAACAACGCTGAGACGATAATTTATGATTCGGCTCTTTGAATGTGCAATACAAAAGTATTATTTTTATCAATTAATTTTTCTATTTTCTTATTTATGGCAGGACTATACACTTATTTCATGCTCTGTGTAGTTTTGAGTGGTTTGTTGTCAACAGTATTTCTCTGTGGGTCAGAACATTAATTTCATTGTAATACTGAACATTATATGCTGCCACAATGACAATAAAGATATTGTCTCTAAATCTAAGATTCAATCACTATTTCTAATGGTAAAATCATTTTTGCTAACTGTTTTTGCTAAGTGGGACAACTGGTATTATGATAATTTACTGTCTTAATGATCTCCAAGAATTTGAGATTGAATGGCCATCCAGATTTTTACATCTATGGTATTTAACAAGGGGCCTAGACTTTGACAGTTATCTTGTGAATGGATTCTCATAAATTGAATGTGTAAAATCAGCTTTGTCAAGCTTTACATTATGTTGTAATGTCACATTTTTGTAACAACTGAAGGAAACATGATTACTTTATTGTGCTATAAAAAGGCACTAGTGCCTGAAAAATACATAACACCATGTCTTTACATTGATATCTAGTTGTGTCATGCTTAAAATATAAAAAAAAAATCTTCCAGTCAGACAGCAAAAAACATGTTAATGTATACAAAAATTATAAGATTACTTTAAATGTAAATCTTCCTGGGGTGCAAAACTTTTTAATCTCAATTGTAGGACTGTGGTTGTGCCATTTCTTTTCAGACGACGTCTTAAAATATAATAGCAGAAAATACTTGAAGTTCTATTCATGACTCCTGATTGTAATCTCTTTAACTCTTTCCTCTACCTCTTCACAACTAAAACATCTGGAAATATTAAATATCCTAGGTCTGTTAAAAGAACATGTAGCAATGTGGCTCAGTTGTAGGACAAATTGTTAAACTGAAACTGGACAAAACTCATGGCTTCTCATG